CCAAAATGGATCCGGAAAAAATTCGCCCAAATCGGCGCTTAAAGGAGTTAATCATCGTTGAAAAATAGCCTCAGGCCTAATCCGTGATCAATAGCCTTCAAAATCTTAGGAAAACGGCCTTTCGTCGCCCAAAAAATTACGAAAATGCCATCCGAAAATAAATTGCCCAAATCGGTGCTTCATGGACTTATCATCCGTGGAGAATAGTATCAATAGACTTCATTATCGATGGAGAATAGGCTCGGTCTGATTTCGTGATTTGCAGCCTCCATAATTGAAAGAAAATTGCATTTCGGAAAAATCGCCCAAAATCTGTGATGGTACCCCTTTGGAATCTGCCAAAAATGGACTCGGAATAAATTCGCCCAAATCGGCGCTTAATGGACTTAATCATTGTTGAAGAATAGCCTCAAGGCAAATCCGTGATCAATAGCCTTCAAAATCCAAAGAAAATGGCCTTTTGTCGCCCAAAAAATAAGAAAATGCCATCCGAAAATAAATTGGCCCAAATAGGTGCTTAATGGACTTATCATCCGTTGAGAATAGAATCAATAGGCTTCATTATAGGTGGAGAATAGGCTCGGTCGGATTCCGTGATCTGCAGCATCCATAATCGAAATAAAATGGCATTTCGGAAAAATCGCCCGAAATTTGTGATGGAACCCCTTTGGAATCTGCCCAAAATGACCCGGAATAAATTCGCCCAAATCGGCGATTAATGGACTTAATCATCGTTGAAGAATAGCCTCAGGCCTAATCCGTGATCAATAGCCTTCAAAATCCAAAGAAAATGGCCTTTCGTCGCCCAAAATACGAAAATGCCATCTGAAAATAAATTGGCCCAAATTGGTGCTGAATGTACTTATCATCCATGGAGAATACGATCAATAGACTTCATTATCGGTGGAGAATAGGCTTGGCCTGATTCCGTGATCTGCAACATGCATAATCGAAAGAAAAAGGCATTTCGGAAAAATCGCCCAAAATTTGTGATGTTACCCCTTTGGAATCTGCCCAAAATGGACCCGGAATAAATTCGGCCAAATCGGCGCTTAATGGACTTAATCATCGTTGAAGAATAGCCTCAGGGCAAATCCGTGATCAATAGCCTTCAAAATCCAAAGAAAATGGCCTTTCGTCGCCCAAAAAATACGAAAATGCCATCCGAAAATAAATTGGCCCAAATCGGTGCTTAATGAACTTATCATCCGTGGAGAATAGAATCAATAGGCTTCATTATCGGTGGAGAATAGGCTCGGCCTGATTCTGTGATCTGCAGCACCCATAATCGAAAGAAAATGGCATTTCGGAAAAATCGCCCGAAATCTGTGATGGTTCGCCTTTGGAATCTGCCCAAAATGGACCCGTAATAAATTCGCCAAAATCAGCGCTTAATGGACTTAATCATCGTTGAAGAATAGCCTCAGGCCGAATCCGTGATCTGTAGCCTTCAAAATCCAAAGAAAATGGCCTTTCGTCGCCCAAAAAATTACGAAAATGCAATTCAAAAATATATTGGCCAAATCGGTGCTTAATGGACTTATCATCCGTGGATAATAGGATCAATAGACTTCATTATCGGTGGAGAATAGGCTCAGCATGATTGCGTGATCTGCAGCATCCATAATCGAAAGAAAATGGAGTACGGAAAAATTGCCCGAAATCTGTGATGTTACCCGTTTGGAATCTGCCCAAAATGGACCCGGAATAAATCCGCCCAAATCGACGCTTAATGTACTTAATCATCGTTGAAGAATAGCCTCAGGGATAATCTGTGATCTGTAGCCTTCAAAATCCAAAGAAAATGGCCTTTCGTCGCCCAAAAAATACGAAAAAGCCATCAGAAAATAAATTGGACCAAATCGTATTTAATAGACTTATCATCTGGGGAGAATAGGATCAATAGACATCATTATCGGTGGAGAATAGGCTCGGCCTGATTCTGTGATCTGCAGCATCCATAATCGAAAGAAAATGGCATTTCGGAAAAATCCCCCGAAATCTGAGATGGTTCCCCTTTGGAATCTGCCCAAAATGGACCCGGAATAAATTCGCCAAAATCGGCGCTTAATGGACTTAATCATCGTTGAAGAATAGCCTCAGGCTGAATCCGTGATCTGTAGCCTTCAAAATCCAAAGAAAATGGCCTTTCGTCGCCCAAAAAATACGAAAATGCCATCCGAAAATAAATTCGCCCAAATCAGTGCTTAATGGACTTATCATCCATGGAGAATAGTATTAATAGACTTCATTATCGATGGAGAATAGGCTCGGCCTGATTTCGTGATATACAGCCTCCAAAATCGAAAGAATATTGCATTTAGGAAAAATAGCCTGAAATCTGTGATGGTTCCCCTTTGGAATCTGCCAAAAATAGACCCAGAATAAATTCGCCCAAATCGGCACTTAATGGACTTAATCATCGTTGAAGAGTAGCCTCAGGCCTAATCTGTGATCAATAGCCTTCAAAATCCAAAGAAAATGGCCTTTCGTCGCCCAAATAATAAGAAAATGCCATCCGAAAATAAATTGGCCCAAATCGTATTTAATAGACTTATCATCTGGGGAGAATAGGATCAATAGACATCATTATTGGTGGAGAATAGGCTCGGCCTGATTCTGTGATCTGCAGCATCCATAATCGAAAGAAAATTGCATTTCGGAAAAATCGCCCAAAATCTGTGATGGTACCCCTTTGGAATCTGCCAAAAATGGACCCGGAATAAATTCGCCCAAATTGGCGCTTAATAGACTTAATCATCATTGAAGAATAGCCTCAGGTCTAATACGTGATCAATAGCCTTCAAAATCCAAAGAAAAATGGCCTTTCGTCGCCCAAAAAATACGAAAATGCAATCCGAAAATAAATTGGCCCAAATAAGTGCATAATGGACTTATCGTCCGTGGATAATAGGTTCAATAGACTTCATTATCAGTGGAGAATAGGCTCGGCCTTATTTCGTGGTATGCAGAATCCATAATCGAAAGAAAATGGCATTTCGGAAAAATCACCCAAAATCTGTGATGGTACCCCTTTGGAATCTGCCCAAAATGGATCCGGAAAAAATTCGCCCAAATCGGCGCTTAAAGGAGTTAATCATCGTTGAAAAATAGCCTCAGGCCTAATCCGTGATCAATAGCCTTCAAAATCTTAGGAAAACGGCCTTTCGTCGCCCAAAAAATTACGAAAATGCCATCCGAAAATAAATTGCCCAAATCGGTGCTTCATGGACTTATCATCCGTGGAGAATAGTATCAATAGACTTCATTATCGATGGAGAATAGGCTCGGTCTGATTTCGTGATTTGCAGCCTCCATAATTGAAAGAAAATTGCATTTCGGAAAAATCGCCCAAAATCTGTGATGGTACCCCTTTGGAATCTGCCAAAAATGGACTCGGAATAAATTCGCCCAAATCGGCGCTTAATGGACTTAATCATTGTTGAAGAATAGCCTCAGGGCAAATCCGTGATCAATAGCCTTCAAAATCCAAAGAAAATGGCCTTTTGTCGCCCAAAAAATAAGAAAATGCCATCCGAAAATAAATTGGCCCAAATAGGTGCTTAATGGACTTATCATCCGTTGAGAATAGAATCAATAGGCTTCATTATAGGTGGAGAATAGGCTCGGTCAGATTCCGTGATCTGCAGCATCCATAATCGAACGTTTATACTTAAAAATTTTAAGGGTTATAGGTATAATATGCTGAATCCCTATTCGTCGCCCTAAAATTTAAATTTTATCGCCCTAAACTACACTGAAATGACACATATGCCCCTATTCCAAATCAAACCTAAACCCTAGAACCTTCTCTCGGCAACCAAAATCCGCCGCCTCTCATTCTTAGGCGAAACCCAGAACTGCTCTCTGCCGTTGTCGTGATGTTGTTGCTGGGTGGAGGAGGACGAAGCCACTGCTTCCCATTGACTGATGTGCCAACTGGAGGGGGTCTGAGTGTAATCGTCCCATTCAGAGCTTTTTCGAGTACATTAGCAGAAAAATTGTTGTCTTAATGGGAACGCCAAGCTTGTTGAATATATAATGCAGCAACATTGTATTCGTTATTCCCAAGTTTGACAAATCAATTTCCATGTCCATACTTTCAGCATCTAGAGCAGAACAAACAAGCAGCAATTGCAAGGGATCAAAAGACTGGCCAGCATGCACCATCACTATTAATAAGGGTTGAAAACTTGTCCCGGAACGTTTGGGATGGGTTGAAAACCTGTTCGATACCCACGAAAAGGGTATTTGTGTAATTCAATAAGATTTAGGGCGACGAATAAGTTATTTTAGGGCGACGAATAGCAATCCCCATAATATGCCCCTCTACTATGACGTTTTATCAAACATGCCCCTTTACTATTTTTTACATCAAACATGCCCCTGCACTTTGTAAAAATGATCAAACATGCCGTTTTGTTAAAATTTTCATCCAATAACCGTTAACCAAGGCCGAACTTTAGTTTGGGCGACACAAATGACTAAGATATCCCTAATAAATTCACTTTAGATTTTTTTAATTCTTTTGTATAATCAAATCATTCAAATAATTTCACTTTGAAAAGACTCAGGGAAATAAAATAGGGGACAAAACTGACATTTTCCCTCCCATTTACCGGTGTCGGGTCGTCTAAATCTCAATTCAACCATGATTTACTATTTTTTTTCAATGAAAATTTTAACAGAATGGCATGTTTGATAATTTTTTCAAAGTATAGGAGCATATTTGATGTAAAAAATAGTAGAGGGACATGTTTGATAAAACATCCTAGTAGAGAGGCATATTATACCTATAACCCAATTTTTAATTTCCTTAATTATAATTAGGGATTCTGCAATGGTTCACTTCCATCAAACTCATAATAATTGCGATTCAATAATGGAAAATATGTTAGAATCATGAATCATACTAATATTATATTTGATTTGTTAGTCCAAATGTCAATTTGATTCATTTTTTTTACTATTTACAAAATTCATGAAACTAAGAAACGAATCACATTATATTCGATATGATCGAGTTCGAATGTCGATTTGATATGGTGCGTTCCGATACGGACCAGGTCTTTGCATACCCGTAATGAGCTGAACAAGTAGGGGGGAAAACCCAGATGCCCTTCTACAAAATATATATTTGAAGGTTCCATCTTTCTCTCTAACAAGAATCATGTACAGAAAAAGTGTGATTATTATAGCCAGGCCAGGACCAAAAAAGCCGAGGAACACTATAATGGAAGTAAAACCAATATATGAAGGAAAAACAAGGAGTGAAGATGCAAGTTATAACCAAGCTAATTGGTAAAAACAAAAGAACTGATCGAGTGAACGAACGTAAAAACCCAGAAATGCTGTAAGAAAAAAGAATAATGGAGAAAGCACAGTGACTGGGCTGAGATGTCACATACTACCGCCTGAGGTTTTCGCCGGCTTGAACTTGGTAAGGTCGACCAGGTCGCCGAACAGCTTGTCTTCCGGCTTCGATGGCTTTGGGACCATAGACGATGAGTTCGACGAAGGTAGGCTGTAAGACGACGAGCTTCTCAAGCTGCTGTCGTCTCTCACGGACATGCCATACATTTTCTGCTCTAGGTACCGTTGCTGCTGAGGCGTCAGTTGATGTTTCTGCGGTTGCTGTCCGTACATACCACCACCACCACCACCGCCGCCGTATCCATATCCGTATCCTGCCATTTGGTTGCTGTACATATGCTGCTGCTGCTGCTGCTGCTGTTGAGGATACATTGGCAATTGTGGCGGCATTCCCATTCCCATACCCATGTACTGCTGCCCTGCTCCGGCTGGCTGGGGATACTGCATTCCGAAATACGGGTTGCCCTGTCCTCCAGCTGCTGGATTGCTCATGGGTGACATTGGTGCGCTTGAAGATGGTTGGATGTAGATTCCCACGCCAGGTTCGGCTCCCATTGGTCCCATCGGGTGCATATGGTTCGTCATGGGCTGACTGTGGGTGACGACCACCTGTGTAACTTGCATGGGTTGAGACGGGTATTGAGATCCTGCAACCGGGCTTCCGACGCCATCTGCTGCTAGCTGGGCTTCCCATGGTGGTGGAGGTAGCGAGCCGTCTGTTTGTGAGCCTTTTTTCAACACCCCACCAACATGCATTAGCAGTATATATCATCATTATAGTGCATCACAGTTTAGCAGCAATAATATTTTCTTCTCTTTTCTCGTTGCCGCAAGTAGTATATATCATCACAAAACCATTTTCCCATCCATAAAACCACCAGAAAGACATTTGAAGTGTGGCAGTAACACTATGTTATTATGATACGAAACAAGAAGCATACCGTAAACTGGAGAGGCGGGCTGTTGAGGCTGCTGGGTGAGCTGTCCATTCCAGGCAGGAACAGCACCTTGCATGAATGGTGATCCCGTATTCGGTGTGGTTCCGTTAGGATACATCCCAGGCTGTTCCGGTGATTGGAAATTTTGTTGTGGTTGGAATTGTTGGGTCATAGTGTTATTTTGACCATCGAATGGAGTAGGGTGCATGTTGACGGTGTTGGCAGGATTGTTGACAACACCGTTCGGTTGATTGTCGGAGAACATGTCAAATAGAACGAGTGCGTTCTGCTGAGATGGAGAAGCAGTTGCCTGCGTTTCACCAACAGGAACAAGAGCAAGTGAAGTGTCACCAGCCTTTGGTGAGCTGAAGTCATCACCACTTAACAGATCCATCTTAGGATTGGCTGGACCATTGCTCGTGGGAGGTGCAGGCAGCAATAGTTGGTTCAGTGGCTGAGCGGCTCCACTTGAACTCGAAGGAGATCTGCAGAAGAAAAAAAAAAACATTGTTGGTTGACGTGTTTGTCGGCTCTAAGATTGAGTTCCTAGAACTTAAATTGAAAAACTAGGTACAAACAAAGACAACTATCGAATACAACTTTCTAGAACAACGTCCAACAAATTATCAAAATTTAGAGGTACATTATGCTGCATATGACATGGTAACACGACCAGTCTGAATAAAGAAACACTTACTCACGGTTAGGCTGTTTGCTGGCACCCGCAACATCAACTAGAGGACCACCAACATCGACTAGACTCCCACTAGGTTGAGCATCCGTCTTTGGCTTATCTTTTGGAAGAACAGTTCCTGAAGAAATGGCTTCATGTTTGGCCAGAATACGCTGCAAGTCATCATTAAGAGCCAACCCTTGACATAGTAGAGATTCATCCCTGGAAAGAGGAAAACCATCTCAACAAAACCACACTAATGCTCTATAATAGAGATACCCTGTGAAGTTGTACTAACCAGAAATCTATTCACTGAACTTGTACAACTTTAACATCGTGACCTATAACCCAATAAAAAATGAAATAATATATGAAAGGTGGCTCGCAAACTCCTCCTAAGTCCCAACTCCTGACTCATTGTATATATTTCAACTCTATACCAACAGAAGCAACGACAACTTTGCAAAATACGCAAGCTTGTAAAAGAATATAAGCGTCGAGTAGAAGACATGGACTAGCAGAGTCAACGCTTTTATGATCAGCAGACCCAACATTAGTTAATGAAAATGAGCAGTGGTAAAATTTTCAGAGCCAGTGCCCAGATGGCACTATGGCAGTCAGAGAAGGATTGATTACTTATAATTCATATAATCGAGGTGATATAAACAGAAACTTACGCTGTCGAATTAACAAGGTGCACCACTCTCTGCTTGTATGTGCGACACTGGTCCACTAGGTCAACTATAACTTCCTGCCGTAGCCCCTGAGGCATTCAAGAGGAGCAAAATAATAAAGGTAGGGACTAACCTATAAGTAAACAAACACGATAAAGGTATGGACTACACATTAAGTGAATTAGACACCAATTAGATTAAGCATATCCCGCTTGGATAAAATTATAAGAATTTGAGAAAGCACAGGATATATAACATTCTGACTACCCTATAAGCTGGTAAGGTCATGGAAGGAGTAAACATTAAGAATATCATCCCTGCATGCCAATATGGTCATATATAAGGCTAGCTCTAAGGTCCTTTGTGATCTAGAATAGAAGGACAAGTTAGAGGCATTTGCGAGCTTTCCTAAGTACTATACGACTATGACCTCTTTAAAATCACAGCTTTAGTTCAAACACAAAAGAACGATCAACACATTTACTGACACGTCTCGCACTTTCATAGCATTCTGCACAATTGGGAAACCTACCTCTTTGTTTCCTGGATCCAGAGCACTAAGCATTTCTGCAAGGACATCCATGATACCACGCGCATTTTGGATTTCTGACAAGCTGGATAAAAAACAAACAAAAATTACAACAGAATGAAAGGCACATAGCAACAAGAAGCTTAGGATAAAATAGATTTTGAAAAAACACTATTCTAATCCATGGGGACTCTGGTAGTTTTGAATTTTAGACAAATCATTACATCCAGCAGCATTCAGGCTTCAGCTAACCAGGATTGTAAGTAAATGAGGATGCAACTCATCAATCAAGGATTCAAACGGAGTCTTATGAAGTCTCCTAAATCCCTCAGCTGAAATTTGACCCTAATAGCAACCATTAATTGGATAAAAATACATATGGACTGCAGCAACTGTTTCACCCGATCACTTTGGTTACAAACAAAAATCCACATAGAGTATGCAGGATGTACTGTCACACTGATAAGTACCAACAAACGACATTTGGAGCATAGCTAATTGATAAGAACGTAAACTACAGTATTCAGGTTTGTAGAATATTGTCTAATTAATCCTGATCTATGTAACTTTACCTGGCCACATACACCAAAAGAACAACATTATCATATCAACTACACGAAAATTCCTATCAAGCAAACAATGTAGACTTATGTATAAATGAGGAAATCATAGATGCACCTCAAGGTTGGGAACTCAGACTCGGAAGGTTCAGCTGGATCTGGTCTCGCCTCAGGATTCCGCAGATTCTGAGGATAAGATGACAGAGGTTGTGTCTGAGGAGGAGTGAAAACTGGTGCCGATTGCTCTGATCTCTGAGGAAACACTGCCCCAGCTCGCTGAAAGATTGAACACTTTTAGTGTTAAAAAATTGCTAGACCATGACAAAAATGCTAATGCCAAATAGACAAACACAATGAAACGAGCAGTCATGCATGGTTGGTGAAACATTCTCAAATTAACAACAAATTCAGATTATTGGGTCACTGAGAAACATTATGTCAGAATAACATACCAATAACTCCTGGTATGCTGCATAATATTGAGGATATCTGGCCCTTGGCCCTCCGAAAGCTTCTTGCCATGTATCTATTAGAGTCAGAACCTTCTCCTTCACATGAAAGTCAGGCTACAAGCAAGTAACATGAATCATTATGAAGATGCTTCTGAAAAACTGCCACTGAATAGGAGAACCAGACTGCAGAAGAGATAATACCTTTTTCCGCGCTATTTTCACCATGTCATGGAGCAAATCTTTCTCTGCCACTTGCATGTGGACGATATCCCCACAATTCTTTATGATAGTCTCCAACAACTAGAATACATATACAGACCAAGATGTAAACAATCTGCATCCTTGAAGACAGACTATAACCAAATTTAAGAGACAAAATTATATGCGAAGGTAAATTGTACTCGTTTATCCAAGCCCACAATAGCAGAACCCTCCAAAAGGAAAAACGGTACCAGAGCATGAATATGTTAAGCCCCAAGAAAACAAGCAAGGAACAGGACATCAGAACAAAAACCAAGTTAGCAGAGCTAGATAACCTATTATGCCTACAATCTATCCTTCCACATTATCCTGGATTCACAGTCTCTGAAGCAAAAAATGTGTAGAGGATAAAGGTTTGCAGTAACCCACTCAACGGTGATGCAGAGAACTCTATGCATATGTCGAACACATGCAGAAGAACCTGGATCATCTGTTCTAAAGGCTCAAGCAACTGAAGTGGAGAAATGCCACTAGGCGAGACTACTGATATTTTACTTGGCGCACAAACCATCAAAACCAATCAAAGGATGTGCAGAACTCAAATAGATGTCAGATGTTACCGAGGCTTACTGTCAATGCAAGAAGTTGAACTTTAGCATTCTTACTTCCAAGGCGCTTCTTTATTCCTTTTACGACATCTTTCGCTTGTCTGAAAATACAAGATCAAACGAAACAAGTTAACATTCCGATTAGAGAAAGTCGAAAAAGCTCAACTAAGTCATAAACAACTACTTCAATCAAGATAGGGGACAACATTGAGCTCCAGTGCCAGTTAAGAGTAAAGGGAGTTCACATACTGCCGTCTAAATCACTTCAGTAGTGAAGAAACACTCTAATCGGAGGCCCTGAACCTCTCCCAAACCACAAAACAACATGAATCAAATTCAACAGAGAGACAACTAGTCTCCACTGCTTCCAAGATACGAGCTTTCATCACCATAGAACTCCCAATAAAGTAGCAGCTAAATATTCGGGAATTCGAGCTACAATCAATAGCAAAAATTCACAGCGTTTTACCCACCAGAGCTTCCTGAATCCTGGCTAACAACTATTCGATCAAACGCCACACTGCCCCCTCCGCCGAATTACCGATTGGGCAGCAAAACAACAAAGAAACAAGCCCCTCAAAAGGAGAATCGAAGCAGAAATTACGAGAGAAAGCGGGCTAGGCAAAATAGTGCGCGTACCCAGGGTCGTGGTTGCACATATCGCAGATCTCGATATTCATAGCCCAATCAGGCCCGATCAACATGTCGCTCGTAGCTCTTTCCACCATAGGATTCACCATCTTTTTCTTTCCCCAGAATTTCTTCAAAAACCCCCCACCAGCACCAAAGCAAATCAACCAATCCTCCTCCTTATTACGGCCAAAACAAATGAGATCGCTGGAAGTCCAATTCCGGCGACACTGAAACACTGCGGAAGAGTAATTCCTCCGGCGAGAATCCTTATTGCGTGCCCTGGATATCGCGCTCGCTTTACCGGATCATAAAAAAATAAAATTATACGAGCTGCCGAACAGAACAGGAAACTGTTGTTTTATCGAAAGGTCTCCTCTTTCCCCTCTCCCTCTGCGGGAACCAGAAGAAGAAGAAGAAAAAGAAAAAAACAAAATAAAATAATTAGGAAAAAATTAATTCTACTGTGGGCTTCTTTTAATCCGTAGTTGGGCTTTTCAGTGCGGCTGTGTTGTCATTTATTTTTTTTTGGCTTTTTCTTCTTTTTCCCTCATTAAATAGTAGCCCAGGGAACCATTGTGTGAGTGACACGTTGCAAACTCCGTTCCGTTGCTTTATCCGCCGCCCTGTTTTTTTGGCTCCCGCAAAGGTTAACGAGCTAACCGCACCAGGAAACCCCGCCAAATTTCGGAAGCAAGAACCCGAACTCGCGTTTCAAATCCATCTCCTCTCCCACTCTCCGGCCTCCGTTCTCTTCTTCACCGTCGTTGCTCTTCCTTCTCCGGCCAACCTCGCCAAATCATCTTCCAAATTACCCTCCTCATTTCCGCGAAGAACTCCATTCCCCTCCCCCCGACTCCGGCCGATTCAAAATCTCGGCCTCGATGCAGCTAAAACCGGCGATCACTCATCTATTCTCCGACGCCATCTGCGACCTCTTCATTGGTGTGCTTCTTCCGCCTTCGTGATTCGGTAACTCACATCGGAACCGGATCTTGTTGTTTGCGAGGGAACATGACGGGGATCTGAAAACAGACCGGTAGGAAGAAAAGTCGAAAACCCTAGCTGGGAATCACAATTCCGCTAATAGACAATAGCAACGGGGGGGGAGGAATCCCCATGGTAGAATCGTATCATGCGTGTGTGTCAATTGCTTTGGGTTTTTGTTCTCTAACTAGTAGTATAGTTGTGGATCTGGAGAATGGCAATGATCATCAGCGACGCGCTGCGGCAAGCGTTCATGCCGAAACGCGAGTACGAGAGCCTGCGGGAGGAGGAGAAGGCATGGTCGAGGTTACAGAGGCCTTTCTTGCTCTCTGCCGTTTCCTTAATCTGCGTTGCCGTCATTGTCTGCGCGGTTATTAGCTTGAAGATCGTCTCCCCCGCCGTTGGTTCCCGGCGGCCGTTCTGCAGTGACCGGAGGCTCCTGCCACTGCCCATGAAAGGAGGGCGTGACGCTGATCTGTTTGCTGGTGCGTTTTATCTGACGGATCAGGAGATTGCCGACTATTACTGGATGGTGCTCTTCGTTCCATCGCTCATCATTTTCTTGGTCTCATTTGCGTATCTTGCCGCAGGTGAGCACTCCTTTACTTCGAATGTTATCCTGATTTGATTTACTTTTCACTGGAATTTTGAGTCTTGCTGGGATTTACTTCTGATCAGAGTGGGCAATGAATTTGTTCGTTCTCCATTTTTGGTAACATCCCCTGGTGCTAACCTTCACGAGTAAGCCAACTCAACTGATAAAGACGAGTGCTTTTGGTGTTCAACTTTGTAGGGTTTATGAGGGCGTCGATGTGTGTCATAGACTTTGAAACTTTTATCATTGAGTAATGAGGCAGTTCTTTATGAAAACCATTTGCCAGATTAGTTGTTTTGGTGCGTTCTTATGGAATGGCTTAATGATGGTGCAGGGATTGCTGTTGCTTATTCTGCTCCGACAAGGCATAGTTGCTTAACGGTGGTGGAAAACAGTTACTGTGCTTCCAGAAGAGGTGTGTAGCGCTTTGCTTTCCCTTCATTTCCTTAACGGATTATGAACTCACTTACGATTCAAAAGAGTGTGGTGCTCCTACTTCTATTGGTCTTTCATGATGTGGAGAATTACTTGTATTGGTATTTTCACGATGAACATGATTTCTATCCACGGCCTGCATGTTGTATATCGGCACCTCGGTTATCTAGAATACAGCTATATGTTTAGCCGTCTGTCTAGGTAGCCTCAACTTGGTGGCATATGATTGAGGCTTTCTGGATTTACATACTGGTGCTAGAAGTGCTTATGATTGCTTTACTGCTTCTGGCGCATGAAGAATGCAACTGTCACTATGATACTACATTAGTTACTCATTCATGGAATTCAGTGAGATGGGCACTGGACAGACAAATGGAAATACAGGAAGAGACCAACTCTCCTATGATCCAGAACAGCGCTATTGATAAGTTAAGTCCTTTTGAAGATATCTTTACAGATTTGTCCATGCCAATAGTGATCTCTTATTGGTTAGTTACTTACCTGTCTAGGTCCTACTTCAATTGAAATTTTACTCTCCTTGTTTAGCAGTCCATTGTAGTCTGGAGATTACAGTTGATATCATTCCTTTAGAGGTGACTTAATGAGATATTAGAATACATACCCGATTGCCCTTTGTAGTTTGTCTATTATCTGATAGTAGTAAAATAAGTGTGGTTTGTTCTCTTCAAACTTGAATGCTGGTGGTTTTTAGTAGAAAGAGGTAGACCAAGTTCACAAATGATTTGAGTATAGACGATGATGACACTGATTAATAACTGATCAGTTGTACGACCCTCTGGATTCCGATAATTGATAGTCATTCTGCCACTGGTTAAATGTTGACTTCTGCAGCCATAGGTAAAGCAACAATGATCGTTCAGATGCCAAAATAGAGACAATGGAGCACCAAGGACAAACCTTCACTCACCCTTGCTTCAGGAATTCAATCTGTTAGATTTTCTTTTTTCCTACTGTTATTGTGTGATCACTAGTAGAGAGAATCTTCTGCTAGATTCATAGGCATGCTAGGTTTCTTCCGTCTAATGATCATATGACCGAATCTTCTGACATTACAGGTGGAGTCCGCTGCCTTTACATCTTAAACATCATCTTTGCCATCATCTTTGGTCTTCTCGCTCTATTGCTCGGTTCAACCCTCTTGACGTTAGGGAGTAGCTGCTCCGTGCCCTTGCTCTGGTGCTACGAGATCGCTGCGTGGGGGCTCGTCATTCTGTATGGGGGAACTGCATTCTTCCTGAGAAGAAAAGCTGCAGTAATCATCGATGAGGGCGATCAAGGTAGCAGAAACCTCGGCCTGGAAATGCTGGAAGCAAACACTTTGGCCGTGGCGGTTACACCAGATGTTGAGAGACGAGTCACATTTAAGTCCTGGATGGGTTCGTCTCTGCTATCTTCCGACGACGAGGACGAACTAGACACTTTTGTAGACGCACCCTACCGGACAAATGCATCTGCAAACAGGCAGAGGGTATGGTGATTGGTGAAATCTGGTTGATTATTAGTGTATACAGCTAATGATACCAAAAGCATAAAGAAAAGAAGGGAGAGAACCGAGTTCGCATGGATCGACCATGATTTGTATTTAAATCAACTGTTAATATTAGAAGTCGTGGAGGTTCGAACAAACGACAACCTGGCCAAACTAGCACCAATACCATGTAAAGAACTAATTTGGTCTCAATGGTCATATTGATGAAGAATTTTAAAAGATCAAATTGTCTCATTTTGAGACAATTTGACCAAATAGACTCGTTTGACAGCATAGAATTTGTATGGAATAATTTGGCCTAAAGAATTTTGAATTGACTCATTTTGAGAGAATTGCAATTGCTACGTGGAACAGATAATTCGAATTGACTCGTTTTTTTTCTTTCTACAATTTATCAAATTGTCTCATTTGAGATGAGAGAACGTTAATTATGGCCATTGGGCCTTTTTGTATAACTACAGTTTGGGCATTATCATATGAGTAACTAAATGGGCTTAAACTAGTAATCCGGGAGTGGTTTAAATGGGCTAGAACCGGAAGATGGGCTCCGCAGAAGGTTTGTCCCTTCATCCTTCAGTTCACTAAACCCTAGTCTGCAGGAACTGCTTCTTGCTCCTCTGTTCACTGAATTGCTGAAAGCAATCTTCGTTCTGTAACAGTTTACCGCTTCATAGTGCTTCACTCCGTGGTTAATCTCCCATCGCCGCCGGGTCCTCGAGCTCTGAATCTCGAGCCATGGCTGCCAATTACGAGTACGAAGAAGCGTCCGGCCACTACGACGACCAGGCAGCTGCGCTCCGGCAGCAGGAAGTCGGATACGACCCCAACTTCGTCCCCGATTCCGTGAAATCCTTCGTCGTCCACCTCTACCGCCACATCAGGGAGAAGAATGTCTACGAGATCCACCAGATGTACGAGACTTCCTTCCAGACGCTGTCCGAGAGGCTGTTCAAGGACACTCCGTGGCCTTCCGTCGACGCCGTGGCTCACTATGTCGATAACGACCATGTCTTTTGTCTCCTGTACCGGGAGATGTGGTTCCGCCACCTCTACGCTCGCCTCTCCCCTACTCTCAAGCAGAGGATCGACAGTTGGGACAATTACTGCAGCCTCTTCCAGGTCCGTTTTTTTTTTTTTTTTTGCTGATTCTGCTTTCTTCTGCTTTGCGTGTGCTTATTGAGTGTGTGAATTGCAGGTGGTGTTGCATGGAGTGGTGAATATGCAGTTGCCCAATCAGTGGCTGTGGGATATGGTGGATGAGTTTGTTTACCAGTTCCAGAGCTTTTGCCAGTATAGAGCTAAGATGAAGAACAAGACTGAACAGGAGATTGCTCTTCTGAGGCAATTCGATCAGGTAAAGCCTGATTCATACGTGTTCCTTGTTCGAGATGGGTTTGGCAGTTACATTCCTTGGAGAGTAGGATTAGCCGCTGTTTCAGAATCTTAATTACTTGCACAAGAAAATCAAGCTTAAGATGTTCGTACAGGTTGCTTTGTCTCTTGTTATGTCACTGATGATGTGTACAATGCTAGCGGATTTAAGTGCCCTATTCTTTTGAGTTGTATTAGTTTTTGAACATCTTCAGAATTACGTATATTTCAGGCATGGAATGTGTATGGAGTGCTCAACTTCTTGCAAGCATTGGTGGAAAAGTCTGCTATAATCCAGATTTTGGAGCAAGAAAAGCAAGGTCTTGAGCAGTTCACTGCCACTGATGGTTACGATTACAGTGGAGGAAGTAATGTTCTGAAGGTGTTGGGGTACTTCAGTATGATTGGTTTGTTGCGAGTTCACTGCCTTTTGGGAGATTATCATACTGGCCTTAAGTGCTTGCAACCCATTGACATAAGTCAACAGGGCGTTTACACCAGTGTTATAGGAAGCCACATTGCTACCATATACCATTATGGTTTCGCAAGCCTGATGTTAAGGAGGTAATTTTTTTACATGGAGCATTTGTATCCATCTCTGCCCTCTACACTTGCTTGATTGCCTGGTTGTTTGGTTGGTCAAGCTTGTTCCACTTGTTGTTCTCCGTCAAGGGCATTGTTCCTTCTTGGACATGATGTAATATCTTGATTTTAGTGGTTGTTTCCCTGAATGTTTGACTGCTCTTAGAGCTGGGTCTCTTTTGTATATATTGTTTCTGAATCTTTACTCTGTCATGTGTTTTCTACCATACTAAGACTTAAACTTCACATTAGGTATGTAGATGGTATCCGTGAGTTCAACAAAATTCTCTTGTACATTTACAAGACCAAGCAATATCATCAGAAGTCTCCACAGTATGAACAAATACTGAAGAAGAATGAGCAAATGTATGCCCTGCTTGCAATTTGCCTCTCATTTTGCCCTCAAATGAAGCTTGTCGATGAGGCTGTAAATGCTCAATTACGCGAGAAATATGGTGAAAAGATGGGTAAATTGCAAAGATATGATGATGAGGGTTATGGTGACAAACTGAGCAGAAGGCAAAGATATGCTGATGAGGCATTTGGTATCTATGATGAACTCTTTTCATATGCATGTCCCAAATTCATTACCCCTTCAGCTCCGAGTTTTGACGAGCCTCTCGTAAATTACAACCAGGTATGCAAATGTATCTATCACACTCGTGCCTAACTTCTAATATGCAATGCCTTTCAATGAGTAGTTTCTCACATGCTTTACTTTTTCTTATTCTTTTTGAAGGATGCTTATAGGCTGCAGTTGAAGCTTTTCCTTTCTGAGGTGAGGCAGCAGGAGTTGTTAGTTGGCGCTCGAACCTTCCTTAAAGTATACTCAACCATATCACTTGGGAAGCTTGCCAATTATTTGGACGTGGATGAATCCACGTTAAGGTATACGCTCTAGTCCTTGAAAAGTTTTTGCCTTCAAATCCTGTCTACGGGAGGAGTTATTTGAGCAATTGGTTTGTTTTTTTTTCTTTTTTCCAGGATGACATTGATGACGTACAAGCACAAGACTCATGCTGTTGATTCTGATGGAAAGATTATCTCCAATGCCGATGTCGACTTCTACATTGATGATGTATGATACGTGCCCCTATCTGCCTTTGGCTCCATGCCGTCATCCATTGTCACTTGTTTAATTAACATCTCCATATCCTTTTGGCTGTTGCAGGATATGATACGTGTTGTGAACTCCAAACCAGTGAAGCGATATGGCGATTTCTTCTTGAGGCAAATTGTAAAGGTATGCTATTTCGTATTTCATATGTCCTATAGTTTTTTCTTCCTGATTATGATGTATTAGAAGAAGAAGATTGGATCTATGAATTATATGATCTCCCATGGTGATTACTTGTGCTGAATTCCCTTGCTGTAGCTTGAAGGAGTGATCAACGACGTGGACCGGATAAAAGTGGAGTCAGCCAATTAACTGTTGCATTTCTTTCATCCGACCAGATCATGTAGTTCTACCAGACAACGGCAGAGATTTCGTTATATTCATTCGCATTTTGCGTATGAATCGTGTGTTGACGCTAGTGAAAAGCTGCAGCTCTATAAGACTGGAAGAAGCACGCTGTGAAGACTTTGGAATGGATAGATTAGATCCTGTGTTTAGTTGCTGGCGGCATGGTTTTCTTCCTCGTCTTGTTTGGGATTGGTTTCAGTCATATTTGCTCGCATTGGTCGAAAGACGCCGGAATTTGGGTGATGGAAGGTTTTGATTTTTGAATGATAGTTTATGTCAGCGTAACAAGAACAATTCATTTATTATGTATACAAAAAAAAAAATCAAACTACGATGGATTTCAAACAATACAAGGATAATAACGATCTTAGAAAACAATGAACACAGCTTAGCTTAGTTGACCAAAAGCTTACGGATAAACTACCAGTAATATTGGAATGGAGATGGAGCGTGGGATTAATGTCCTAGTTGGAAATCAGTATGAACTGAGATCAATGTAGTCAAAATCGCGCTTTAAAATTTAAAAACTTACGATTTTACGTTTCTAGGTCACTAAAACGGTTCTACACAAAATCTTAGTTTTTATAGCTTATGTAGTTAAAAACTCCGTATTAAAACTTAAAAACTTACGATTTTACACTTCTAGATCACCAAAACGTTTCTATGTAAATCTCTCTGATTTTGAAAAAGCAAGAGCGATTTTTTCGGAGAAAACCCTTGGCGATCGAACTCCTGCGTCTGCTAGGGTTCGCTCTCGATGGCGGCGCCCTCGCCGTCCTCTTCGCCAGCTCTTCACCGGATGGCAAGAGCGCTCGAGAAACTATTCAACCGAAGAAAAAAGTGAGATCGTTGAACATGTTGGAAGAAGAGAAGACTGGGGTGGAGGCTCCTACGACAGAGATGGAAACGGAGAATACCCAACCCCATGGGTCGGCCCCTCAGGCAGCGTGGCAGGGAGCAGGTTCTAAGCTGTTTAGTGATGTCATACGTGATGGGGGATGGTATATAGCAGAATCGGATTCGGAGGATGTCGCGGAGAGGGAGAAGGAAGAAGATGATGTGATTGACGAAGACTCCTATGATCCTCGATGCCCTCCTGTCCTGTTCACTGCTGCGCAAAAGATCAAGTGGAGGCGGGAATGGAGATCAGCCCTAATAGTGAAAGGATTGGGTCGTGATGTACCATACATCCCTCTGGCAAAAAGACTAAATTACCTGTGGGCTAGACACGGAGACATTCAAATTTCGGACTTGAAAAATGGATGTTTCTTAGTCAAGTTCAGAGACCAACGAGACTACCAGCTGGCGGCGGAAGGAGGTCCATGGTTGCTGGGGGACACTTACCTGACTGTCCATCGATGGTATAAGGGGTTTAACCCATGGAAGGCGACTGTGAAATCTACAATCGTGTGGGTTCAACTGCCAGATTTACCCATTGAGTTTTTCAATGCTGAAGCTGTTACGATGATTGCGGAACTTATTGGAACTCCAATAAGAGTTGATAGAGCAACAGAGATAGGGGCGAGGGGAAACTATGCACGTGTGAGCGTTGAAGTAGACCTGACAAAACCACTGCTAGGGAAATATAAGGTTGAAGGGATCACCTATTTGATCCAGTATGAAGGGTTGGACGAAATATGTGGAGAGTGTGGATTATATGGAAATCGAACAGAGAAATGCAGCTGCAGCATTATGGAGGAGCAGCCACCAAGCCCCACCCCCGACTGCGTTCCGGAAACTCCGATGGAGGAGAAGGCGGAGGAAAAGGTTTATGGTGATTGGATGACTATCAAAAGGAAAACGAGAAGATACGAGCAAAAGGCGATACAAACAAACAAACGTGTGAACGGTGCCACTATGGGGAGACATGAGAATCGTTTCCATGCGTTTCAAGAGGAAGAGGTTAGGCAGACGAACACCAAGGCTACTGAGAAACAGAACAGCGAGACCCATGCAAGGAAGAATCAGCAAGAGGGAGTGCAGCAAGAAATCCCGCCCTCGGCTGGTAATAACATGAATGCTTCAGCTCGGAAACATGTGCCCAATAATGCTACTACTAAAAAGAATCCAACAATTAATGCGGAAGGCAATAGCAAAGTGGGTGGGAAAGGAGTCCAAGGTACGCAGGAGAAAGATGCCCATGCAGGCCATGCAGTACACGTACCACCCGGACCGAAACAAAACAATGGTAAAAGCTCCACCGTTAACAAATTAACTACGCTGAATGGTGCGGGGAACCTATCCCCTTCGAGGAATAAATGAGGATTCTAAGTTATAACTGCCGCGGGCTGGGGAGCAAGCGTGCAGTTAAAGCCCTTAGGTCGCTATTGCGACTCTACTCCCCGCAGCTTGTGTTTCTAACGGAGACAAAGCAGACTGACGAGGAAAACAAGGCTACAAGGATGGAGCTGGGTTTTGAGGAAGGAGAAGGTTTCTCGGCTGACCTATCACGTGGAGGTAGGGCAGGCGGGGTGGGGCTATGGTGGCGGGAGGGGATAAACATTGAGGTTATGTCTCTATCCAGGAACCATGTCGATGCCAAGGTGAGCGAGGATGATAGAGGAGTATGGAGGTTTACAGGAGTGTATGGTTGGTCGGTGGATGAAGAAAAGTGGAGGACGTGGGACATGATTCAAAGACTGGCAGCACAATGGGATGGCCCATGGCTGTGTGGAGGGGATTTCAATCAAATATGTAATATGGAAGAGAAGCGAGGTGGACGAGCTGTAGCTGATGAATTACTCACAGGCTTCGAACATTGCTTGACGGAAGCAGGATTATGGGATTTGGGATACCATGGCTACCCATTCACATGGGAGAACCGTAGAGTGGGAGAAGCTTTCATCGAAGAGCGCCTTGATCGTTTCGTGGCTTCGGATAGCTGGGCGTCCAAATTCCCTCAAGCTCGAGTCCTTCATCTCGACAAAGAGCTCTCCGATCACCGACCCATAGTGTGTGACACTGAAGGGGAGGCTGATATAGAACCGAAGTGGGGCTGGTCTTTTAAATATGAACCTCATTGGGCGAATCATCCAGATTGTCCACAAGTGGTGGAGGAAGCCTGGCGAGAGCATGGAGCACTGAATATTCTAACAAAGCTTCGTTTTTGCAGGTCAAAGCTTGATAGCTGGAGCCGCCGTGTCTTCCCTCGGTTCGGGCGACAAAAAACAAAAATAAGAAGAGCTCTGGCGGCTTTGGAGAGACAGCCGAGGACGGAGCGGAATGTGATGCAGAGGAATCAACTTGAAAATGAACTTCTGGAGCTGGAAACAAACGAGGAACTCTATTGGAGCCAAAGATCGAGGGCTGACTGGCTCCGCGGGGGTGACAAAAACACGGCTTTCTTTCACAAGAAGGCTACGGCGAGAAGGAAGCGAAATACAATCAGGAAGATTAAGGATGCGGCGGGACTATGGCACACATCACCGGACCAGATATTTAATTGTTTCATCACTTATTTTTCTGGTTTGTTTGCAGCTAGCCAGGCACCACAAAGTACCCCAGTCTTGGATGCGATTTCTCGTACCATTTCTGATGAGCAGAACACGCAGCTTCTCCGGCCTTTCAGTAAGGAGGAGGTTTTCTTTGCATTGCGGCAGATGGGATCGCGGAAGGCCCCTGGTGAGGATGGACTATCGGTTCTGTTCTATAAGAAGCATTGGGATGTAATTGGGGAGGAGGTATCGTCGGCGGTATTGGAGATCCTCGAAGGGGGTGCGATCCCACCTGGGCTCAATCATACCCTCGTCGCTTTGATACCTAAAGTGAAGTCGCTAACAACCCCGCAGGAGTTCAGGCCTATCAGCTTATGCAACGTTCTCTATAAACTGGTGACAAAGGTAATTGCGAATAGGTTGAAAACGGTATTGGACTTGATTATCACGGAGGAACAGAGTGCTTTTGTCCCAGGCAGATATATCACGGATAACATCATGACAGCTTTTGAATGCTTCCACTCCATGAAGAAGAAGTCGAAAACGAGTGCAGGGGTCTTCGCCGCAAAGATTGACATGGCAAAAGCCTATGACAGAGTGGAGTGGCACTTTCTAGAGGCGATCATGATCCGTATGGGCTTTGATGAGAAATGGGTGGAGTTGATCATGAAGTGCGTCCGTACAGTGACGTATTCTGTTCTCGTGAATGGACACCAGTCAGAAGTGTTCAGTCCTGGTAGGGGTCTTCGCCAAGGAGATCCGCTATCCCCGTATCTTTTCCTTCTTTGTGCGGAGGGTCTCTCTGCCCTGACGAAGAAGGCAGTTCGCGAGAAACGTCTCCATGGATTACAGCCAGTAAGGGGAGCTCCCACGATTTCACACCTTTTCTTCGCAGATGATTGTGTGTTTTTTGGGAGAGCTACAGTGGAGGAGAGTAAGACGTTGAAAGAAATCCTGCTTGCATATGAGGCAGAGTCGGGACAGCTTGTTAGTTTCTCGAAATCGGCAGTGGCGTTCAGTGGATGGGTTAAGCCGCACCAGCGTCTCATGGTTAGTGGAACTCTAAAGATGCCCATTGTCGAGAAGCATGAAAAGTATTTGGGATTGCCGACGGTTGTGGGGCGATCGAAAAAGGAGATCTTTGCGGGTATTACAGACAGAATAAGGAAGAAGCTGAAAGGGTGGAAGGAAAAGACATTGTCAGTAGCAGGTCGGGAAACGATGATCAAGGCTGTTGCACAGGCACAGCTAAAGTATGCTATGTCGGTTTTCAGAGTGCCAGCTGCCGTTATCAACGAGGTTCATAGCTTGATCACGAACTTCTACTGGGGGCAGAAGGGGTCTGAGAAACGGACTCATTGGTTAAGTCGGGAAGCAATGATGGTGTCAAAGGAAGAAGGTGGCATGGGTCTGAGAGACCTTGAAGGTTTCAACACAGCAATGTTGGCGAAGCAGCTATGGCGTCTCCACCAGAGACCGAATTCCCTTATCGGTCGCATCTTGAAGGCGAAATACTTCAAGAACACGTCAATACTGGATGCACACGTTGGCTATAGGCCGAGTTTTATCTGGCGGAGCCTTATGAGCGCACAAGAGTTCTTGAACTCTGGTCTTAGATGGCGCATCGGAAATGGAGCGGATGTACAGATTTGGGGCGATCGCTGGATTCCTAACCACCACTCAGGCTTTGTTGATGCAGCACCTCGAGGCCTACCAGTCGATGCAAAGGTGAGGGATCTCATATCCCCAGTCACGGACCAGTGGGATTGGAGTGTGGTAAGTCGCTGCCTCCCTATTGAGGTAGGGCAGAAGGTCGTACAAATCCCGCTGCGTGGAGCTGAGGAGAAAGATGTTCTCATATGGGATGCAAGTGAGTCAGGGGCTTATACAGTAAGGGAGGGGTACAAGGTATGGGTGAAGGACTACCTCCTGAAGAAGCAACAGAGCGGGGTGGGAGAGAAAGCAGTGTGGAAGAAGCTGTGGACTTTGACAATCCCTCCTAAGGTAAAACACTTTATGTGGCGCTTTATGAGGGATATCCTGGCCACGGGTGACCATGTTAGCACGAAGAGTAGTAAGGCGGGGGACAAATGTCCATTCTGTGATTTAAAAGAAACTCAAAAGCACCTCTTTGGAGAATGTGGCTGGACTGGGAGGATTTGGAGGCCTACGGTTTACGCCGACTACTTTGATTGCAGTACCTATGATGATTGTTACCAGTGGGTAGCAGGTGTGATGGGCAAAGGAGACGACCCAAAGCTGGAGGCATGGTGTGTTGTGTTATGGTTTCTGTGGAAGGAACGGAATGCACAAATGTTCAATGGACAGAAGCTAGCTGAGCAAGACATTATCCCTAGAGCTGAACTTCTACTCACAGAATATAAAGCCGAACAAGAGAGGCAATCCGTTGCTCCTGGACAGTCAACTGAAGAAGGCTGGTGTCCCCGCCGTCGGGAAGAATAAAGATCAATACCGACGCAGCAAAGTGGGATGATGAAGCCGTTGGGCTGGGGATGGTAGCACGTGGACCGACAGGGGAATTTATCATGGCGGCATCTAGAAAGGTTCCTGGGAGTTGGACGGTTGATGAAGCAGAGTTAATGGCAATCGAATTCGGGGTGCAGCTTGCTTACCAGCAGCACTTGCACGATGTTCTTGTGGAAACAGATAGCGCCTCGGCAATCACCAAGTTGGCGGAGGCGGATAACATCCAGGCGGAAATTGGAGTGGTTTGCAGAAACGTTCGGAGGATGCTGGGAAGCATGGGAGAGACCAGTTGGCAACATGTTCGGCGGGGTGGCAATGCAGCTGCTCACATCATGGCACACCAGGAGTCCAGGGATGATATCCGATCAGTCTGGCTAGACAGACCCCCACTCTTTTTGATTGATCAATTGGAAATGGACAATGTAACCATACATATTGATCAATAAGAAATTCGCAGGTTCCGATAAAAAAAAAAAAAACGTTTCTATGTAGAAACTCGCTTTTGACTACATTGTTTGAGACTAAGAAGCAAGTTCGCTAGCGGATGAAAGAAAATACAGTGTCCACTCCAGTCTCCATCATGTCCCCTGCCTTCATTATCGGTAGCTACTAGCTCTCAGCCTCTCACTCAACTATACAATCCGTATTATGGGACTGGATTCATACAATCCTCTTATGCTTTCAGAGAATTATCTTATCCCATTTTTCTTACATACTCCGTTCCTTCCTTCCTTTGCCTTTGGACCTCTTTTCCTCACAAGTTCTCTGCCAAAAATGGCATTCGCTGTTGCCGAGGCGATCCTCAAGAAGCTGGCTCCCCTGGCCGCAGAGCAAGCGGGTCTCCTGTGGAGCTTTAAGAGCGATTTTCTGAAACTGAAAAGCACAGTTTCCTCGATACGTGCGGTGTTGTTGGATGCTGATGAGCAATCGGGTATGAACCATCAGGTTCGAGACTGGCTCGATGAACTGAAACAGGTCCTTTATGATGCTGATGACTTGCTGGATGATTTCTCCACGGAGGCACTCTTGAAGCAACGAAGGAATGATGGGAGTCGTTGTCTGAACGAGGTATGCCTCTTCTTTACGCGTTCCAACCAATTGGTTAGTGGTCTTGTGATGGCACATCGGTTGAAGGCCATCATGACCAAGCTGGATGAGATTGATGAGAATCAGAGGAAGTTTAATCTTGAAACGCGCCTTGGAGATCCGGCTGCTGCTGCTGCGATCAACCACGAGAGGCAGACTGACTCCTTTGTTCCAGATGGATTTGTTGGGAGGGAGGAAGATAAGAAGAAAATAATTGGTATGCTATCATCGACCAACAATGAGCAGAAAATTGAGGTTATTCCTATTCTCGGAATGGGGGGTCTCGGGAAAACCGCTTTGGCTCAGTGTATCTACAATGATAAGAATGTGTCTACTTGTTTTCAGTTAAAAATTTGGATATGTGTTTCGGATAATTCCGATCAAGCACTATTGGTGAGGAAGATGTTGGAGTCTATAACCAAACGTAAAGTGGAAGATCTTGACTGGACATCTTGAAGGGGGAACTTAAGAAGGAGATGGGTAATAAGAGATTCTTGTTAGTGTTGGATGATGTTTGGAATCATGGTGATTACAAGGGCAATTGGGATAGCTTGATGAGTTTTTGGTTGCAGGTCGGGACAGTTGGTAGCAAAGTTATCGTCACTACTCGTCTTGGAGATGTCGCGAATTACATGGCAACGAAGGGGATTAAACCACACAAGCTGAAAGGTTTATCTGAGCAAGAATCATGGTTTTTGTTTGAACAAATAGCATTTAAGGGTGAAGTGGAAGGCGGTGAAAGATTTGTATACATAGGGAAAGAGGTCATGAGAAGGTGCGTGGGAGTTCCTTTGGCCATAAGGGTGATTGCAGGTACCCTTTCATCTAAGAGCAACATGGTTGATTGGGAGGTTATAAGAGATAAACAAGCATTGTTAGATGGGGATGACGAGGGAAGGATTTTGGGTACTCTTAGACTGAGTTATGACAACCTGCCTTCTGAACTGAAATTGTGTTTTGTTTATTGCAGCCTGTTTCCGAAAGATTCTAACATTGATGTGAAATTGTTGGTACAAATTTGGATGGGGCAAGGATTTATCAACTCTAGCCGGTCGTCATCTGCTTTATTTGAGGTTGGAGTTGAATATTTCAAGAGTTTGTTGTCCATGTTCTTTTTTCAAGAGCCAAAAAGTGATCGGTGGGGGAATGTATATCAGTGTAAGATGCATGATTTGATTCATGATGTGGCCCTGGAGATTGCAAGTGATGAGATTATGGCTTTAAAAGCTTCAAATTCAATGGAAGGTAGTGTCAACTTTGACAGGCTTCGACACATATCGTTCGATTTTGAGGGAAAATCGAGAGAAACATGGAAAGCTCCACAGGCATTGGCTAATGCAACAAAACTGCGAACTTTTCTTTTTATAAATGTGTCCTTTTTGGGTATGAGTTACATCGAAGGGCTTAACTGTGAGATGATCGTCTCAAATAATACTAGGCTGAGAGTTTTAAGTCTCCACAATGCTAAACTAGAGAGTGTGCCCCGCTCCATCCATAACTTGACACATCTCAGGTACCTAAGTCTTGCTCACAACCCTATGAAGGTGCTCCCCGACGAGATTACGGTACTGGTAAATTTACAAGTGCTCATACTAGATTTTTGTTATAATCTCGAGCAATTGCCAAGAGATATTGTGAAATTGACTGATCTCAAGTTTCTTAGCCTCTTTTGGTGTCCGAGATTGAAAGGGTTCCCACTTGGGATCGGGCGGCTCACTCGTCTAAGAGAATTGTCCCTGTTCATTGTGTCAGCTGCATCATACTATTCACATGGGGCAATCGCTGCTAGAATCAGCGAGCTGGAGCGTCTCGACAATCTAAGTGGGAAATTGAAGATCATACATCTGGAATTGGCGAAAGATGAGGCTGAAGTGAAGGCAGCAAGTTTGTTTCGGAAGCAACATCTTCAAGCCTTGACATTGGAGTGGAGCTTACCGAGACGAGTTTTTGCTGGCAGGGATGTTAGGGTACTAAAGGCGTTGGAGCCACATAAGAATTTGAAGGAACTAGAGTTGGATGGTTATGGCGGTCACAGTCTACCAAGTTGGTTCTCTACTTCTCTCCAGAATCTGGTTGACTTGAAATTGTATAATTTGTGTCGCTTAAAGTACATAGAGGATGAAGCTGGGCAGTTTCTTCCATGCTTGAAATATCTCGTCATTCGCAACTGCCCCAGGCTAGTAAGCTGGAGGTCAACCACAGAGATAGAAATGCCGCAGTTCCCTTCTCTTGCATATCTCCGCATTGAGAAGTGCCCGAAACTGGTACGGCTTGCTCATATTTCGGCGGATATTGAAACGGTTCACTTAAGATATGTTGACCGCAAATTGTTGGACCAGTTTGCTGCCTCACTCCCACCACCCAGCTCCCCTTCGCGGATCAAAACACTGATAATCGAGGGGATAAGAGGGCTTCGAATTCTGCCGCAAGAATTGCTGCCACATCTTGCATCCCTTGAAGATTTGTGGATAGTGGATTGCCCGAACCTAACGAATCTGTCTCCACCGCTGGCTACTAGTCAACAACATCATCTCACTTCCCTCCAGTTCTCTGCCCTTCCAAACCTCCGTCACTTTTATATCTGGGAACTTCCAGGGATAAAGAGTCTACCAGAGTGGCTTCAGCATTCCTCTAACTTGCAGACGCTGTGGATACGTAGGTGTGGCGGTCTCAAGTGCTTGCCAAAATGGCTACCCAATCTCACAGCACTAGATATTCTGAGAGTAGAAGACTGTCATTTTCTAACAGCCAGGTTGAAGAGTAGAACGGCTGTGGACTGGCCCAAAGTTGCTCACATTCGAAATATTGATATTAATGACATGAAAGTTCAAGAGGATGGTAACTACATGAGAGTAGAAGAACCAGCAGACGAAAACCAACTTGAAAAACCAGAAGCAGGTGGAGAAGAAGAAGAACAACAACAACAACAAGAACAAGAATTATTCAGTGAAGAAGATGACGATGATGATGATAACGAGGGCGAGGAAGAAGAAGATGATGATCATGAGGGCGAGCTCAAGGAAGAAGCAGAAGGACCACCCTTGGGCATTTCGTCTCCAAGGTACTTTCTTCTTAACTACATCAATGAACATATTTTTTGAACCAAAATAAAAGCGATCTCCAATTATTCCTTGATTTTTGTCACTGCAGGACGTGGTCAAATTGCATTGCGAGGCTCACTTGTAGCCTGTTTCAGAGATGCTTTCTCGGCTAGCTACCAAACGTTCTCTCTTCCATGACGGGTATTTCCACTCATATGCACGAGACTTATCGCAACCTCCATGAATATCCAACAAACTTATGATCACTATCAAAGTGCGCAAAGCCATTTATGAGACCTCCATGGCGTACAAGTTGGTTCTCATGGACCGAATTAGACAATATCATTCCATGTTTCTTGCCAATAGTTGAATCTAGCTTTTTATTTTTTCAATCAGCTTGAACTTCCATCCTGTCATACTAGTTTTGCTCTTCTTTATTTCTTTCTCGTAAACATTGTTATCTTTTGATGTTGTGCATACTTCTTGGACATGAAGTAATATCTCGATTTTGGTGGTTGTCTCCCTGAATGTTAGTCTGCTCTTACAGTTGGGTCTCTGACGTACATATCATTTCAGAATCTGTACTCTGGCAACTGTTTCTCTACCATTGCTAAAACTGAACATTCACATTAGGTAATGTGGATGGTATCCGTGAGTTCAACAAAATTCTCTTGTACATTTACAAGGCCAAGCAATATCATCAGAAGTCTACACAGTATGAACAAATACCGAAGAAGAATGAGCAAATGTATGCCCTGCTTGCAATTTGCCTCTCATTTTGCCCTCAAATGAAGCTTGTCGATGAGGCTGTAAATGCTCAATTGCGCGAGAAGTATGGTGAAAAGATGGGTAAATTACAAAGATGTGATACGACGCATATGGTGACAAACTGAATCCACGTTAAGGTAAAGGTTCTAGTCCTTGAAAAGTTTGTGATTTGCTATCCTGTTCATGGGAGGAGATATTCAAGCAACTCTATTGTTTTTCAGAATGATATTGGTGACCTACAAGCACAAGACTCATGCTGTTGATTCTGATGGAAAGATTATCTCCAATGCCGATGTCGACTTCTACATTGATGATGTATGACACAGGCCCCTGTCTCCTTTTGATTCCATGCAGTCATCTATTGTCACTTGTTTAGTTAACATCTGCATACTTTTTTGGCTGTTGCAGGATATGATACGTGTTGTGAACTCCAAACCAGTGAAGCGATATGACGATTTCTTCTTGAGGCAAATTGTAAAGGTATGCTATTTCGTATTTCATATGTCCTGTAGTTTTTTTCTTCCTGATTATGATGTATTCGAAGAAGAAGATTGGATCTATGAATTATATGATCTCCCATGGTGATTACATGTGCTGAATTCCCTTGCTGTAGCTTGAAGGAGTAATCGATGACGTCTCCAAGGTACATTCTTCTTGACTACAACAATGAACACATTCTTTGAACTAAAATAAAAGTGGTCTCCAACAACATTCCTCGATTTTTGTCACTGCAGGATTTGGTCAAATTGCATTGCGAGACTCACCTGTAACCTATTCCAGAGATGCTTTCTTGGCTGGCTACCAAATCTTCTCTCTTTGTTATTCAGGATGATATTGATTAATTACAAAGACAAAACTCATGTTATTGATTCTGATGGAAAGATTGTCTCCAATTCCGATGTCGACTTCTACATTGATGATCAATGTATGACACAAGCCCCTGGTCCCTTTGATTCAATAATGTGCTTCTGGAGATTGTTAAAGCATATACTGTCAAGTTCACACTTTTCTTTTATCTAACATCTCTGTATCTTTTTGGTCTATGAATTATATGTTCTCCCGTGGTGATTATGTGTGCTGATTTCCCTTGCTGCAGCTTGAAGGAGTGATCAACGACGTGGATCGAATAAAGGTGGAGTCAGCCAATTAACAGTTGCAGTTCTTTCATCCGACCAGAGCATGTAGTGGCAGAGATTTTATTCTATTCATTCGCATTTTGGGTATCTATCCTTAGTCCTCTTTTCCTCATGTCGTATGAATCCCATGTTTACCTAGTGAAAAAGCTGCAACTCCATGGAAGAGAAGAAGCATGCTGTCAATACTTTGGAATGGATGGTTCCTCTGTTTAGTTTTCTAGCAGCAAGGTTTTCTTCCTCTGGTTTTTTGTGATTGGTATTTTTTTTTATGTTTCTAACTTGCTTGCAAATGAGAGTTTGATCTAACGTTATCATAATTTATTTTCAATTTGTAATTCATGTTTGATTTGAAAAGTGTGGTAAACAAATCCTACCCTTAATTTTTTTTCTTCTTAATAACGGGGAACCACTTATCTGTAGTTGCCATTTAGATGATGCATGTTAAAACCATCGACCCAGGTCGTCAATCATCGATTGGTTCTTTGTTACTTGGCCGGATCATGGACCGGATCAATTACAGCTGGGCTAAGCCTCCATTTGCATAGAGGTGGCAACGTAGTGGGTTTGGCGGATAGTGCATATCCATTATCCTATACAACGAACATGTTAACATTCAAATGTAACGGTTTTCACCGGAAGCTCACATCAGTGCAGAAGAGGACATGGCAGAGATCTCCAACGGGGATTCCCAATTGCAAGAACATGCAAGCCCGGATTCGATGCATAGCTTTTCCAGGTCAATGGCTAGGCATTGTTCATGAAAATAGCATGTGGAATGGCTCAGGTGAGTCTCGTGCTGCCTTCATTGATGCTCTCATTCGATTATACAAAACAACTATAGGTGATTATATTATTCGTTGAGTACTGGCCAACTGGCATCTCGATTTTCTGCTACCATGTGCACATTCTGAGTCAACGTTTAGATATCCACACCGGGATCTTGATCAAGCTATGTATGGGTTTTGAATCATAATCCTCTCTTGTGTATTCTGAAAACCTTCCGATCCCATTTTCTTGCATTCCTTCCTTTCTTCCTTTCTTTGCCTTTGGACCCCTTTTTCTTCAAAAGGTCTCTGCCAAACATGGCATTCGCTGTTGCCGAGGCAATCCTCAAGAAGTTGGCTCCCCTTGCTGCTGAGCAAGCAGGTCTCCTCTGGAGCTTGAAGAGCGATTTCCTGAAACTGAAGAGCACGGTTTCCTCCATACGTGCGGTGCTGTTGGATGCCGAGAAGCGATCGGACGAGAACAATCAGGTTCAAGACTGGCTCGATAAACTGAAACAGGTCCTTTATGATGCTGATGACTTGCTGGATGATTTCTCCACGGAGGCTCTGTTGAAGCAGCGAAGGAATGATGGGAGTGGCTGTCTGAATGAGGTATGCCTCTTCTTTACGCGTTCCAACCAATTGGTTAGTGGTCTTGTGATGGCACATCGGTTGAAGGCCATCATGACCAAGCTAGATGAGATTGATGAGAATCGGAGAAAGTTTAATCTTGAAACGCGCCTCCAAGATCCGGTTGCTGCTGCGATCAAGCGCGAGAGGCAGACGGACTCTTTTGTTACCTATGGATTTGTTGGGAGGGAGGAAGATAAGAAGAAAATAATTGGTATGTTGTCATCGACCAACGATGAGCAGAAAATAGAGGTTATTTCTATTCTCGGAATGGGGGGTTTGGGGAAAACGGCTTTGGCTCAGTGTATCTACAATGATGAGACTGTGTCTACTTGTTTTCAGTTGAAAATTTGGATATGTGTTTCAGATAATTTCGATCAAGCACTATTGGCAAGGAAGATGTTGGAGTCTATAAACCAAGATAAAGTAGAAGATCTAGACTTGGACATCTTGAAGGGGAAACTTAAGAAGGAGATGGATAATAAGAGGTTCTTGTTAGTGTTGGATGATGTTTGGAATCATGGTGACTACAAGGGCAAGTGGGATAGCTTGATGAGCTTTTGGTTGCAAGTTGGGGCAAGTGGTAGCAAAATTATCGTCACTACTCGTCTTGTAGAAGTCGCGAATTACTTCGCAACGAAGGGGATTAAACCACACAAGCTAAAAGGTTTATCTGAGCAAAAATCTTGGCTTTTGTTTGAACAAATAGCATTTAAGGGTGAAGTGGAAGGTGGTGAAAGATTTGTAGACATTGGAAAAGAGGTCATGAGAAAATGTGTGGGAGTTCCTTTGGCCATAAGGGTGATTGCAAGTGCCCTATCGTCTAAGAGCAACATTGTTGATTGGGAGGCTATAAGAGATAAGCAAGCAATGTTTGATGGGGATGACGAGAGAAAGATTTTGGGTACTCTTAAATTGAGTTATGACAACCTGCCTTCTGAACTGAAATCATGTTTTGTTTATTGCAGCTTGTTTCCGAAAGATACTAAGATTAATGTGAAATTGTTGGTGCAAATTTGGATGGGGCAAGGATTTATCAACTCTAGCTCGTCGTCATCTGCTTTATTTGAGGTTGGAGTTGAATATTTCAAGAGTTTGCTGTCTAGGTTCTTTTTTCAAGAGCCAGAAAGTGATCGATGGGGGAATGTTACTGAGTGTAAGATGCATGATTTGATGCATGATGTCGCCCTGGAGATTGCAGGTGTGGAGATCATGGCTTTAAAAGCCTCAGATTCATTGGAAGCCAGTGTCAACTCTGATAGGCTTCGACATATATCGTTTGATTTTGAGAGAAAATTGACACAGACATGGAAAGCTCCAAATGCATTGGCTAATGCAACAAAACTGCGAACTTTTCTTCCTATAAATACACTCTATTCTTGCATTGATGGCATCGAGGAGCAGAACTGTGAGATGATATTCTCAAATAATACTAGGCTGAGAGTTTTAAGTCTCGACGGTGCTAAACTGGAGAGTGTGCCCTGCTCCATCCATAACTTGACACATCTCAGGTACCTAAATCTTTATTACAATCCTATGAAGGTGCTTCCTGACGAGATTACGATATTAGTAAATTTACAAGTGCTCATACTAGATTATTGTCAGAATCTCGAGCAATTGCCAAGGGATATTGTGAAATTGACTGATCTTGAGTTTCTTAGCCTCGTTGAGTGTTCGAGTTTGAAAGGCTTGCCACTTGGTATCGGGCGGCTCACTCGCTTAAGAGAATTGTCCCTGTTCATTGTGGCACCTGCATCATACTATTCACATGAAGCAGTCGCTGCTAGAATCAGCGAGCTGGAGCATCTCGACAATCTAAGTGGGAAATTGAAGATCATAAATCTGGAATTGGTGAAGGATGAGGCTGAAGCGAAGGCAGCAAGTTTGTTTCGGAAGCAACATCTTCAAGCGTTGGAATTGAGGTGGAGCATACCGAGACGAGTTTTTGCTCGCAGAGATGTTGGGGTACTAAAGGCGTTGAAGCCACATAAGAATTTGAAGGAACTAGTGTTGGATGGTTATGGCGGTCACAGTCTACCTAGCTGGTTCTCTACTACTCTCCAGAATCTGATTCGCTTGACATTGTCTAATTTAGGTCGCTTAAAGTACATAAAGGATGACGCTGGGCAGTTTCTTCCCCGCTTGAAATATCTCTGCATTGGCAACTGCCCCAGGCTAGTAAGCTGGAGGTCAACCAGAGAGATAGAAATGCCGCAGTTCCCTTCTCTTTCATATCTCCGCATTGAGAAGTGCCCGAAACTGGTACGGCTTGCTCATATTTCGTCGGATATTGAAACGGTTGACTTAAGATATGTTGACCGCAAACTGTTGGAGCAGTTTGTTGCCTCACTTCCACCACCCAGCTCCCCTTCGCGGATCAAAACACTGACAATCCAGGGGATAAGAGGGCTTCGAATTTTGCCGCAAGGTTTACTGCCACATCTTGCATCCCTTGAGTATTTGTGGATATGGGATTGCCCGAACCTAACGAATCTGTCTCCACAGCTGGCTACTAGTCAACAACATCATCTCACTTCCCTCCACTTCTCTGCCCTTCCAAACCTCCGCGAACTTTATATCTGGAATCTTCCAGGGATAAAGCGTCTACCAGAGTGGCTTCAGCATTCCTCTAACTTGCAGACGCTGTCGATATATAGGTGTGGCGGTCTCAAGTGCTTGCCAAAATGGCTCCCCAAGCTCACAGCGCTAGATACTCTGAGAGTAAGTGGCTGTCATTTTCTATCAGACAGATTGAAGAGTAGAACGGCCGAGGACTGGCCCAAAGTTGCTCACATTCGGAAAATTAAATTTAATAACACCATAGTTCAAGAGGATGGTAACTACGTGAGAGTAGAAGAACCAGCAGACGAAAACCAACTTCAAAAGCAAAAAGCAAGTGAAGAAGAAGAAGAAGAAGAAGAAGAAGAAGAAGAAGATCATGCTAGCGAGGGCGAGGAAGAAGAAGACGATGATCATGAGGGCGAAGAAGAAGAAGAAGAAGAAGAAGAAGAAGAAGAAGAAGAAGATCATGATAGCGAGGGCGAGGAAGAAGAAGACGATGATCATGAGGGCGAGCTCGAGGAAGAAGCAGAAGGACTACCCCTGGGAATTCCGTCTCCAAGGTACATTCTTCTTAAGTACATCAATGAACATATTCTTTTGAACTAATATAAAAGCGGTCTCCAACAACATTCCTTTATTTTTGTCACTGCAGGATGTGGTCAGATTGCATTGCGAGATTGACTTGTAACCTGTTCCAAAGATGCTTTCTGGGCTAGTTACCAAACGTTCTCTCCGGGTATTTTGATGCATACACACGAGACTTATCGCAACCTCCATGCATAGCCGATAAACTAGTGATCAGTATTCGCGGTCTGCAGAGTTATTTGTGAGACCTCTGTGGCGTACAAGCTTGTTCTCTTGGACCAAATTAGACAATTTCACTCCATGTTTCGTTGCAATTGTTTCATCTTGCTTGTTTTCTACCAGCTTGAACTTCCATCCTGTGGGGACTAGTTCTGTTTTTATCTCTTACTTTGTAACCTTAGTTGTATTTTTGGAGTTGTATTCCTTTTGCGCCCGGACAAGAATTTTTCAGTGAAGAAGAGGAGGAAGAACTGCCCTTGGGCATTCCGTCTCCAAGGTACACTCTTCTTAACCATATCGATGAACATATTCTTTGAACCAAAATAAAAGCAGTCTCCAACATTCCTTGATTTTTGTCACTGCAGGATGTGGTCAAATTGCATTGTGAGGCTCACTTACCTATTCCAGAGATGCTTTCTCGGCTAGCTACCAAGCGTTGTCTCTTCTATGAGGGGGTATTTTGATGCATACACACGAGACTTCTTGCAGCTTCTATGAATATCCGGCGAAGTAGTGATCACTATCGAAGTCTGCACGTTCATTTGTGAGACCTCTTTCGCGTACAAGCTTGTTCTCTTGGATAAAATTAGACAATTTCATTCTATGTTTGTTGGCAATAGTTGCATCTTGCTTTGCTTGTTTTCAACCAGCTTGAACTTACATCCTGTCGTACTAGTCTTGTTTTTCTTTATTTCTTTCTCGTAAACTTCGTTATATTTTGGAGTTGGGGCCTGCTAGTTAGAGATTTTGTCATAATGCAGCTGTCACTCGCTTGAAGTAACAGATCCATTTGCAGCAGCAAACTCCTCAACACTGTCTTCTGTTGTTGTGTTCTTACAAGCCCAATCTGGCATAGTTGGTACTGGCAAAACTTCAGTATAATCGGTGGGAGATTCGGAATAAGTTATCTGCTATGAAGAAGACATTTCTACAATATAACAAGAAGTGGGTAAAAACAGTGAGATACTCCACCCTGCAACTTAATTGTTCCATTTCTTCCCCCTAAATAAATCATCCTTCCTTTTGTTGCCTCTGGTACAAGCAACCTCATTGTTGTCAGGAAACATCGACTTGCTGTGTTCACTGGACGTATTGATCACACTATTCCTAACAAGGAACAACATCAATAGTGTCACCACCACCTCTTAAACAAACCTTCTCGACTTACTACCAGCAATCTCCCATCTTCCTCAACTAGTTCACTTACCCTTCTGTTCTGTGTTTCATAAAAAAAATTGATTCCTAATAGATTAAGACGCAACTAATTCTAAACAGACCGAGGTAAATGGACGAGACACAATGAAAAGGAAAAATACTCGGTTTCTCTTTTCTTTGAATCTGATGGGAGAGACTGTGATGAACAACATTGCATGAGTTCAGACTAGATTGAAGGTTCTTAACGAAAATCGGATTCCTGACAAAATGCATACATACATCTATATTTTGGTGTTACTATAAACAATAGAATTTCCCACAGCCTAAAACTGTTTTCCTTCTTCTCTTTTCCTTCCCTTCTTGGCTTTCTTCCTCTGCTATCTGAAATTCTTCAACAGGTGGGAAGAAGTGGAAGGAAATTTCCCTTTCTCCTTTCCTTTCTCAGGCGTCCCGCATTCGCTGAAGTCCAAAACTCGGCCTTCCTTCTGCTACAAGAAAAGGGAGAAAAAAATATTCCAAAGTGATTAAGTAGTTATACATACTGCATATACATAATAAATCCATTGATAAAAAAAAAACCATCAACACATACAGAGATATTGGCCAAAACGGAGCCACTAATGTCGCGATCTCCATCGTTGTTTTCTTGGTCTGAGACGGTGTTCTTCTGGCACCGCCTTCCTTTGGATATGGTTTCAGGGGTTTCATCCCCAAGAACTTCCAACGCATCAGCACAAGCAGCAGCAGTTTGCTCGCTGAACTGCTTCAAAAGTGTAATGGCATCATAGCTTCTGTCCCCCGGGCTCAGAAGATATCCCATATCCTGAAAAGATGAAGTGATTGATATGATTCTTCAAAAAGAATGCTGAAAATTTGGGAGAACGACATGTAAGAACTAGAAGTGGTAGTAGTACCTCAACTGAAATTTCTGTATCGACCCTTGGACCGGGGAGGAAGGAGTTCATGAACCATGGAGATTTCCATGCCGAGGGAGATTCAATGCTTCTCCTGAAAGGAGTTCCACCAAAGCTGTAAAACAGAAGAAAAAGGACATGCGCAATTTGCAAGTGGACGCATTGATGTTAGATTTGAAAATTGAAATTCTAGCCGTTTTCTGCAGAGAGCAAATTGACAACCAATGGGCACAACACAACATACAAGAATGCACAACCGAAGTACTCACAGGTCATTCCCAGTGGCGGTAGTAGTACTAGAGGTAGCAACTGTATTTTCTGCAGGTGCTGATAATGAGGGCACGGGTTTCGTTGCAGTAACAGCAACCGACGATTGACCTTCATTCTTCTTGTTCACAGTAGGTGATGACGATCCAGCTGTCACAACCTTCTCTGATAAAGTAGCCAAGATTCTTCGATGCAAATTCCTTGGAGTTCGAGCATCCGGTGAAAATAGTAAGAGATCACTCAAGCTTTCTTCGCCAATAAGTAATTCAGAATGCTGTTGCAATCAGTGTAAAGGAGACAAAGCTATAGGTCAAGGTAATCATACATTGGAATCAACAGAACTGAGTAAACAGAATAACAGAAAACTGAACTCACAGTTCGGGGATTACTAAAACTGGGATGATTAGCTTTCGCCTTAGTATCACCATCCTCTGAGATAGTAGAACAATCTCTTCCCTTCTCTTCTTCTCCTTTATCCGATGGAAGAGCAGGGTCCACATTTTCCTTATCTTCAATACAAGATATTTGGTTAACTTTGGATAATGGAGACATCAAATACGGTCTGTTGCCAGACTTGATATCCTCGTACACTACATCCAGGCGTTGAAACTCTCTAGTCAAACTGGAAGTCATGTCAATCACAAGCTTTTTTTCGTCTCTTCTTTCTGACAAAGGCGACAGTAAATCCTGGGTCCTCTTCTTCAAAATGGAAGGTGTGCCCATGAAAGTCTTGGCAGCACTCTTGAGAACTGCATCGGGACTGGTGGTACTAGTACTTCTCGTTGGAGAATCCCACAGCCGAAATGGACTGATGCAGTTTGCTGAAGATAACCATATTCGACGAGTCTTCTCTATGATGCATGACACAGGCCCCTGTCTCCCTTTGATACCATGCAGTCATCTATTGTCACTTGTTTAATTAACATCTCCATATTTTGCAGGACATGATACGTGTTGTGGACTCAAAACCAGTGAAGCGATATGGCGATTTCTTCTTGAGGCAAATTGTAAAGGTATGCTATTTCGTATTTCATATCTTCTGTAGTTTTTTTGTTCCAGATTACGATGTATTAGAAGAAGAAGAAGATTTTATCTATGAATTATATGATCTACCATGGTGATTACTTGTGCTGAATTCCCTTGCTGTAGCTTGAAGGAGTGATCAACGACGTGGACCGGATAAAGGTGGAGTCAGCCAATTGACTGTTGCATGGGAGGAGTTACGGTGCTAATTGTACGAGAGTTAGCACCGTCCTAACCAAAGAACAACGAAGGAATTTATTGGTATTTAGTAAAATTAAATTTAATAGATAAATTAAATTTTTATTACCTCTCTCCTCCTTCGCAAAGAACTTTAACGTGGAAAAATACTAGGGAAAAAACTACTACTAGTTTGAATTAGTAGTGAGTTAGCTTAGATGTTGTATTGATTTTATAATAATCCGTAGTGATTTCGTTATATTTAGTAGCGTTTTTTAAATAGAAGAAGTTGATGATATTTGGAAAGAATAATACTGTAAATGAAAAAGTACTACAAAGAACAAATAATCTTCTTTTTATTTTAATCGTAGGATTATATTTTAATTTAATGACCAAAACACTATTTATCCGATCAACGACGTGGATCGGATAAAGGTGGAGTCAGCCAATTGACTGTTGCATTCCTTTCATCTGACCGGATCATGTAGTTCTACCAGATGTTGACAGAGATTTTATTCTATTCATTCGCATTTTGGTTTTCTTCCTCTGATTGTTTGTGATTGGTTTCAGTCGTTAACTCGATTTGGTCGAAAGAGACGGGAAGTGGGCGATGATGAATGATTGGGCTGAGTGAACATTCCTTGAATTGGATAGCTCATTTTCTGTATGTTCAGGTTTGTGATTGCTCGGGTGGGCATTCAACATGATGCATCTTCTTCACAACTTAGAACAGATTGGCGACTAGTCATGTCCTGTTGTGATACACACGTACGTGAATACACACGAAACGACTCAGCTAGTTCGTTTAATGGTAAAAACACAATCAACCTTCAAATATGCACGTATGAGACGGACTCGACACCTTTAAAATCACGCAGGAGCATTTTTTATATCACTGTGTTGCAGCTCATTGCTTGTAGTTCTATTGCCTGTGAATTTATTTATAACATCACAAGCTAAATTCCAATCCCCATCAAACAACTAATCGGACTCTTTTCTCATCACTTACTCGTATTCACTCGACCACAACGAATGTGTTTTTACGCTCTTTCGTTGCGAGAACATGCAAGCCCCGGTACGATGCTGCATAGCTGTCCAGGTCGATGGCTGGGCACATTTGTTAAGTTATGAAAAGAACAAGTGGGATGGCTAAGGAAGGTTGGTATCATGTCGCCTTCACTGGTAGCTCTCATTCAATTATGCAGAAAGGAAATATTATTATTCAGTCTTTGTATTGATAGACACCCTTTGTTTATTTTTAACCAACCTGTGGCTGATGATAATTGACAAAGAGGGCATTCTTGGCCTGACGCAATTACTTTCGTTTGGATTAATATGAATGCAAGAGGTTGTTAAAGAATATTAGAAGTTGTTTGGATGAGTTATTGGTTCATACCTAATTCTTAAGCCTATTTCTGAGAAATGTTTAAGTTGATACTAGTCATTAGATAAAATGAAGAGAGGAAATGATGGAAAATCCTAAAAGAGGACACACATGGTATTGTAAATAATTAAATGAATAAATTATTTCAATTTATATGAATAAATAATTTGAATATTATTATTGTTTAATTATATGTAATAGTTTTTGGTCCGCGCTTTGCAGCTGTCGGAAAATAATTATATTTAAAGTTTTATTTACTTATGTAACAATTTAGTTGAAATCAAATGATTCAGAAGATTCGTGTAAGATACCTACATAACATTTATGTAATATCTAAATATTACGAATGAATTACGTTATAAAATTCGTGTCAATAATTAAAAGCACAAGTTTTCTTTTAATGTATTTACTGTTCCTTACGACAAAGTAGGGAACCTATTAATTACCAGGGAAATAATTAGGAACCTACTAAATCTGAAAACACTGTTCATTGGGATTTTATATAGTGTGACAGACGGTAGATGTACCAAAAGAAAAACAAAAGCTGCGGCATTAATTATTTCCAAAGCATCCTTTGATTTGCCGCCATTGTTGCAACCGGTTACTCACATATACACAAGTACACAACATATATATAGGTGGCGTTTTCGGTGCAACCATTTTTTTGGGTTCACTGAGCCTCATAATTATCATTTTGAGCATGTGATTCATGTAAAAACGGTATCAATTGTTGCTTATGAATTATGAACAAGAAACAAATGAATTTGAAAAAAAATCATTCACAATTTACTTTAATTTGAAGGATTTAGGGATTTAGGGTTTAGGTTTACAATTTGGGATTTTGGGTTGGGATTCAAAATTGAAGGTTAAGGGGGTTATGGTAATAGATTGATTTGTTATGATTCTATGTCATACCATCATATTAGATTGAAAGTACTAATTGAAATTCAAAATTTGATGTATTATGGACACTTTTAGAGTTGGGTGCACTGAAAAGTGAGTGCGCCGAAGTAGCCATCTATATATATATATATATATATATATATATATATATATATATATATATATATATTGATTTGTGAACACTTTTTTAATTAAAAAGTATTTTGGCTTACACAAATCAAAAAATTTTAGCCCATAAACTAATTATATTTGAAAAAAATCATTCACAAAGTAATTCGAGTAAGAGACGTCCATAAGATTTAAGCCGCGTCTTAATTATTAAGGAAACCTTACGGGCAACGTTTGTTTGAGTGATATATAAGAATAATTATCTCATCCGCGACATTCATAAGTTTACACAATTTATTTAAATAGCTACTATAGAACTATGTTCCTTAATCTTTCGTTCACAAAATTATTAACTAAAATGACAATTTCATCAAATTGTATTACACAAAGGTTTTGTAAGATAAGTTATTTTATATACCAGTTTAATCATATGATACTTTTTGTAACTTAAGTCGCTTATTATTAAGTGAACTTTTTATATTAGTACCTACTATATTCACCATCACATCAATTTACATTACACAAAATTTATATAAAGTAAGAAAATTTGTTCATTTATATTGCTTGATTTTATTATTAAATAACACATTTCGGAAGATTTACGTAACACCACTCTAATGACAATTACATAAATTACAAATACGTTTCATAAAGCCTATGAAAAGATAGTTATTTCTTATGTATCAATTTGCATTACATAAAGGTTTTGTAAGATCAGTTAGTTTTACATATCATTCAAATATGATACTTTTGGTAACTTAGATCACTTATAATCAAATATTATTTATTAATCATTACCTATAATATTCACAATCTTATAAGTTTGTACTACGCAAAGGTTCTGTCAGGTAAAATAATTTTGCATAATAGTTTATTCAAATGTGACAGGGTCCGTAAATTAATTTCATCATTAGATCACATATTACGAAAGAGTTATGTAACACTACTCTATAACAATTACATAAATTACAAATACAATACATACAACTTATGAAGAGATAGTTATTTCTTATTTATCAATTAAACAAATATATTACTAAATCTTCCGTAAGATACTACGTAAACCTTATCAAAGGTTATTTGAGCTTTATCCATATTCTTACCCACATAAGAATTACTTAGAAAATTTCACGTATCCACGATTGTAAATATAAAATAATTTCTTTTTATAACTCCAACGAACATATTAACATTCATAGATAACGGGAGGTTCGCGCTTTGGATTTGTTTTTGAAAAAAAAAAGGCACTTTGCGGGCTGAATGATTACCTGGAAGCTCAAATCAGTGCAGAAGAGGACATGGCAGAGATCTCCAACGGGGATTCCCAATTGCAAGAACATGCAAGCCCGGATTCGATGCATAGCTTTTCCAGGTCAAAGGCTAGGCATTGTTCATGAAAATAGCATGTGGAATGGCTCAGGTGGGGACTGGTTACGGTGCTAATTGTACAAGAGTTAGCACCGTCCTAACCAAGAGTTAGTAGTAATTTAGTGTAGATGTTGTATTGATTTTATAATAATTCATAGTGATTTCGTTGTTTTTAGTAGCGTTTTTTTTTTCTAGTTATCACGGTGCTAACCCCTATAAGGGTTATCACCTAATCCCATCCCGCTCAGGTGAGTCTCGTGCTGCCTTCATTGATGCTCTCATTCGATTATACAAAACAACTAGAGATGATTATATTATTCGTTGATGTGTCATAAAGATGCCTTGACATTATTGCAGCGTTCAGTACTGGACAACTGGCATCTCGATTTTCTGCTACCATGTGCACATTCTGAGTCAACGTTTAGATATTCCCCACTCGGATCTTGATCAAGCTATGTATGGGTTTTGAATCATAATCCTCTCTTGTGCTTTCTGAAAAAAACCATCTGATCCCATTTTCTTGCATCCTCTTCCTTCCTTCCTTCCTTTGCCTTTGAACCCCTTTTTCTCACAAAGTTCTCTGCCAAAGATGGCATTTGCTGCTGCGGAAGCGATCCTCAAGAAGTTGGCTCCCCTTGCTGCTGAACAAGCAGGTCTCCTCTGGAGCTTGAAGAGCGATTTCCTGAAACTGGAGAGCACGGTTTCCTCCATCAAGGCTGTGCTGTTGGATGCTGAGAAGCAATCGGGTCTGAACCATCAGATTCGATTATGGCTCGATAATTTGAAACAGGTGCTTTATGATGCTGATGACTTGCTGGATGATTTCTCCACGGAGGCTCTGTTGAAGCTGCGGAGGAATGATGGGAATCGCTGTCTGAACGAGGTATGCCTCTTCTTTACGCGTTCCAACCAATTGGTTAGTGGTCTTGTGATGGCAAATCGGTTGAAGGCTATCAGGATCAAGCTGGATGAGATTGATGAGAATCGGAGGAAGTTTAATCTTGAAACGCGCCTTCAAGATCCGGCTGCTGCTGCTGCTGCGATCAACCGCGAGAGGCAGACAGACTCTTTTGTTCCCTATGGATTTGTTGGGAGGGAGGAAGATAAGAAGAAAATAATTGGTATGTTGTCATCGACCAACGATGAGCAGAAAATCGGGGTTATTCCTATTCTCGGAATGGGGGGTCTCGGGAAAACTGCTTTGGCTCAGTGTATCTACAACGACGAGAGTGTGTCATCTTGTTTTCAGTTGAAAATTTGGATATGTGTTTCAGATCATTTCGATCAAGCAATATTGGTTAGGAAGATGTTGGAGTCTATAACCCGACGTAAAGCGGAAGATCTTGACTTGGACATCTTGAAGGGAGAACTTAAGAAGGAGATGGATAATAAGAGGTTCTTGTTAGTGTTGGATGATGTTTGGAATCATGGTAACTACAAAGGCAATTGGGATAGCTTGATGAGTTTTTGGTTGCAGGTCGGGGCAGTTGGTAGCAAAATTATCGTCACTACTCGTCTTGGAGATGTCGCGAATCACTTGGCAACGAAGGGGATTAAACCATACAAGCTTAAAGGTTTATCTGAGCAAGAATCATGGTTTTTGTTTGAACAAATAGCATTTAAGGGTGAAGTGGAAGGTGGTGAAAGATTTGTATACATAGGGAAAGAGGTCATGAGAAGGTGCGTGGGAGTTCCTTTGGCCATAAGGGTGATTGCAGGTACCCTTTCATCTAAGAGCAACATGGTTGATTGGGAAGGTATAAGAGATAAACAAGCATTGTTAGATGGGGATGACGAGGGAAGGATTTTGGGTACTCTTAGATTGAGTTATGACAACTTGCCTTCTGAACTGAAACCGTGTTTTGTTTATTGCAGCCTGTTTCCGAAAGATTCTAACATTGATGTGAAATTGTTGGTGCAAATTTGGATGGCGCAAGGATTTATCAACTCTAGCCGGTCGTCATCTGCTTTATTTGAGGTTGGAGTTGAATATTTCAAGAGTTTGTTGTCTAGGTTCTTTTTTCAAGAGTCAGAAAGTGATCGATGGGGGAATGTTACTAAGTGTAAGATGCATGATTTGATGCATGATGTCGCCCTGGAGATTGCAGGTGTGGAGATCATGGCTTTAAAAGCCTCAGATTCAATGGAAGGCAGTGTCAACTCTGATAGGCTTCGACATATATCATTTGATTTTGAGAGAAAATTTATACAGACATGGAAAGCTCCAGTGGCATTGGCTAATGCAACAAAACTGCGAACTTTTCTTCCTATAAATGCATACTCTTTAAGTATGATTTGTAGCGAAGAGTTTAACTATGGGATGATCTTCTCAAATAATTGTAGGTTCAGAGTTTTAAGTCTCAGCGGTGCTAAATTGGAGAGTGTGCCTCGCTCCATTTATAAATTGACACATCTCAGGTACCTAAATCTTTCTTGGAATCCTATAAAGGTGCTCCCTGACGAGATTACGTTGCTAGTAAATTTACAAGTCCTCATACTATGTAAGAATCTCGAGAAATTGCCAAGTGATATTGTGAAATTGACTAATCTCGAATTCCTTGTTCTCGCTAAGTGTTTGAATTTGAAAGGGTTGCCACTTGGGATCGGGCGGCTCACTCGTCTAAGAGAATTGTCCATATTCATTGTGCCAGCTGCATCATACTATTCACATGGGGCAGTCGCTGCTAGAATCAGCGAGCTGGAGCATCTCGACAATCTAAGTGGGAAATTGAAGATCATAAATCTGGAATTGCTGAAAGATGAGGCTGAAGCGAAGGCAGCAAGTTTGTTTCGGAAGCAACATCTTCAAGCGTTGATATTAGAGTGGAGCATACCAAGACGAGTTTTTGTTGGCAGGGATGTTGGGGTTCTAAAGGCGTTGGAGCCACATAAGAATTTGAAGGAACTAAAGTTGGATGGTTATGGCGGTCACAATCTACCAAGTTGGTTCTCTACTACTCTCCAGAATCTGGTTCACTTGAAATTGTATAATTTGTGTCGCTTAAAGTACATAGAGGATGACGCTGGGCAGTTTCTTCCCCGCTTGAAATATCTCAGCATTGGCAACTGCCCCAGGCTAGTAAGCTGGAGGTCAACCACAGAGATAGAAATGCCGCAGTTCCATTCTCTTTCAAATCTCCGCATTGAATATTGCCCGAAACTGGTACGGCTTGCTCATTTTTCGGCGGATATTGAAAGGGTTGACTTAAGATATGTCGACCGCAAACTGTTTGACCAGTTTGTTGCCTCACTTCCACCGCCCAGCTCCCCTGCGCGGATCAAAACACTGATAATTTGGGGGATAAGAGGGCTTCGAATTTTGCCGCAAGGTTTACTGCCACATCTTGCATCCCTTGAATATTTGTCGATAGCTGATTGCCCGAACCTAATGAATCTGTCTCCACCGGCTACTAGTCAACAACATCATCTCACTTCCCTCCAGTTCTCTGCCCTTCCAAACCTCCGCGAACTTTATATCTGGAATCTTCCAGGGATAAAGCGTCTACCAGAGTGGCTTCAGCATTCCTCTAACTTGCAGACGCTGTCGATATATAGGTGTGGCGGTCTCAAGTGCTTGCCAAAATCGCTCCCCAAGCTCACAGCTACTCTGCATGTAGATGGCTGTCATTTTCTATCAGCCAGATTGAAGAGTAGAACGGCTGTGGACTGGCCCAAAGTTGCTCACATTCCGAATATTGATATTAATGACACCACAGTTCAAGAGGATGGTAACTACTTGAGAGTAGAAGAACCAGCAGACGAAAACCAACTTCAAGAACAAGAAGCAAGTGGAGGAGAAGAAGAACAACAACAACAACAACAAGAATTATTCAGTGAAGAAGAAGATGTTGACGATGCTGATAATAATGATGATTGCGAGGAAGAAGAAGAAGAAGAAGATAATGATGATAATGATGACGAGGAAGAAGAAGGACTATCCTCGTGCTTTCCGTCTCCAAGGTACATTCTTCTTAATTACATTTTTAAATGAACGTATTCTTTGAAAAAAATATGAAAGAGGTCTCCTACATTGATTGATTTTATGACTGCAGGATGTGGTCAGATTCAATTGCGAGACTCACTTGTAACCTATTCCAGAGATGCTTTCTCGACTAGATAGCAAACGTTCTCTCTTTTATGACGGGTATTTTTGACGCATACCCACGAGACTTATCGCAGCTTCCATAAATATCCGACGAAGTAGGATCACTATCGAAATCTGCACATTCATTTGTGAGACCTCTATGGCGTACAAGCTTGTTCTCTTGGATCAATATTAGACTATTTCGTTTTATGTTTCGTGGCAATAGCTGCATTGCTTCTTTTCCTTGAACTTCGATGTTGTGCGTGCTAGTTTTGTGTGTTATGTACTTGCTTCTTGTAACCTTTGTTGTATTCTGGAGCTGTGCGTACTTCCTGGACATGAAGTAATATCTTAAGGTAAAGGCTCTATTCCTGGAAAAGTTTTTGCCTTGGTATCCTGTCTATGGAAGGAGATATTCAAGCAACTGTATTGTTTTTCAGGATGACATTGATGACGTACAAGCACAAGACTCATGTTGTTGATTCTGATCGAAGTATTATCTCCGATGTCGACTTCTACATTAATGATGTATGACACAATCCTCTGCCTCTTTGATTCCATGTACTTTTGGTGATTGTTAAGCATCTACCGTAGGTTCTCAAAAAAAAAATATATATATATTATCTAACATCTCTGTATCCTATTGGCCATTGCAGGACGTGATACATGTTGTGGACTCGAAACCAGTGACTCGATATGGCGATTTCTTCTTGCGGCAAATTGTAAAGGTATGCTTCCTGCTTATGATGTACTAGAAGAAGATTATGATGTGGTTCTATAGCACCAATGAGTTTATTTATAACTAAATCTCAATCGCACCAAACCGTTAATCAGACTCTTTTCTCATCACTTACTCGTATTCACTCAACAAGAATGTTTATTTTTACGCGCTTTCGTTGCTAGAACATGCAAGCCCCGGGTAAGGAAGGTTGGCATCATGTCGCCTTCACGGCTAGCTCGATAATTTGAAACAGGTCCTTTATGATGCTGATGACTTCATATTTACAAAACACAATTGTATTATATGACCTATATTTTGTTGAACATATTCCTTCATATTTACAAAACACAAATCTTAATAAAATAAGAATTGAACATCTTTCAACCTAGTTATTATGGAAAGAAAGTGTGCACAGTAAACACAAAGGAAGAAAAAAAAGATACATAAGTAACACGGAAAAAATCCAAAAGTACCACTGTTTAAAAAAAAATTCCAAAAATACCACCCAATCCCAAAAAATTCCAAAAATACCACCCTTTTTCAAAAACTGCCACCCCATCCAGCGGTTTGGTCGAAAACCGCTTGTCGGGGGCGCGGTTTTGGACCAAACCGCGGGCCTAGGGGGCGGTTATAAAAAAAAAAAAAATTGGACCAAAACCGCTGGGTGGGGTGGCGGTTTGGCCCAAAACCGCCACCCCAACCAGCGGTTTGGTCCAAAAGTTCGGTCGAAACTACAAACGAACGTAACTTTGCACTCGGGTATCCGATAGTAGTGATTTTTTTTTTCATTTCGCATAACTTTTCAAGATCTACAAATTTTACTAGGATGAAATTTTCAAAACAGGAACTATTTGTGGATATACGGGACCTTGAGAATAACTTTACCTTTACTTTTCAAAATTCCATGTACATTTTGAAATTATGATTATATTAAAAGTTGTAGATCTTGAAAATTTATTCGGAATCAAAAAAAAGTTCATAACATTCGGAGTTTGGAGTACAAAGTTATGGCCGCCAAAAGTTTGACGAAAGGCGAGACCCGGCGGTTTGCGGCTTGCAAGATCTCAAAAAGTTTGCGGCCTCCATTTTTTGAATCCGAATAAATTTTTGAGATCTTGCAAGTCTCAAACAGTCGGGTTCCGTCTTCGTCTCGAAAAAACGTCATTTGCCACCCCGAACGACCTTTTTTTATTTCGTCAAACTTTGGGCGGCCATAACTTTGTGCTCCAAAATCCGAATGTCATGAATTTTTTTTTAATTCCGCATAACTTTTCAAGATCTACAACTTTTAATATAATCATAATTTCAAAATGTACATGGAATTTTGAAAAGTAAAGGTAAAGTTATTCTCAAGGTCCCGTATATCCACAAATAGTTCCTGTTTTGAAAATTTCATCCTAGTAAAATTTGTAGATCTTGAAAAGTTATGCGAAATGAAAAAAAAAATCACTACTATCGGATACCCGAGTGCAAAGTTACGTTCGTTTGTAGTTTCGACCGAACTTTTGGACCAAACCGCTGGTTGGGGTGGCGGTTTTGGGCCAAACCGCCACCCCACCCAGCGGTTTTGGTCCAATTTTTTTTTTTTTTATAACCGCCCCCTAGGCCCGCGGTTTGGTCAAATACCGCGCCCCCGACAAGCGGTTTTCGACCAAACCGCTGGGTGGGGTGGCGGTTTTTGAAAAAGGGTGGTATTTTTGTAATTTTTTGGGGTTGGGTGGTATTTTTGGAATTTTTTTTTAAACAGTGGTACTTTTGAATTTTTTCCAAGTAACACAAGGCCCTCTTGGCCACACCAAAAACGAAAAAACACAGACAACAACTCTATTCCAAAAAAACAGAGCAGTCGAAACCAGAAAAAGTCTGATCATCAACATAAACAACTACCCAAAAGAAAAGCCAACAACAAACTGAAAGACAGACCAGACCTCGCTCTGCGTCAAACTTTCAAACATCCGTCAGACTTGCGTGCGCCCTACGCGACTTGCTTTGACGGGCAAAACCTGCGAAAACTGAGCTAACCAGTTCGATTCGAATCTTGGGGAAACGTAAAAAAAAAACAAAAATTTAACTTCAACTGTTTGTGAAATGATAATTACATCCATCACTTATTGCTATTTCTTTGAATATTACATTTATATTTTTCATATTTTAGATATGAAAATAATAAATTTGTATTTTGGGAAGAGGACACCTGATTCCCCCTGACTTGGTCAACAATGCATGGCTGTCAACCAGGTCAATGGCTAGTCATTGTTAAATTAGGAAAATGGCTAAGGTTAGGTGAGTATCATGTCGCCTTCACTGGCAGCTATCATTCAGATTATACAAAAGAAATCATTATTCGTCCTGTATTGAGATTAGTTGATGTGTCACTCATAACGATTAGTGAGTTTGCATCTTGATTTTCTAGCTACCATCTGCACATTCTGAGTCAACGTTCAGACACCCCTCCTGCGATCTTGATCACAATACTTGGGTTTTGAATCATAATCCTCTCTTGTGCTTTCTGAAAAAAAACCATCTGATCCCATTTTCTTGCATCCTCTTCCTTCCTTCCTTCCTTTGCCTTTGAACCCCTTTTTCTTCACAAAGTTCTCTGCCAGAGATGGCATTCGCTGTTGCCGAGGCAATCCTCAAGAAGCTGGCTCCCCTTGCTGCTGAGCAAGCGGGTCTCCTCTGGAGCTTGAAGAGCGATTTCCTGAAACTGAAGAGCACGGTTTCCTCCATCAAGGCTGTGCTGTTGGATGCTGAGGAGCAATCGGGTCTGAACCATCAGGTTCGAGACTGGCTCGATGAACTGAAACAGGTCCTTTACGATGCTGATGACTTGCTGGATGATTTCTCCACGGAGGCTCTGTTGAAGCAGCGAAGAAATGAAGGGAGTCGCTGTCTGAACGAGGTATGCCTCTTCTTTACGCGTTCCAACCAATTGGTCAGTGGGCTTATGATGGCTCATCGACTGAAGGCCATCAGGACCAAGCTAGATGAGATTGATGAGAATCGGAGGAAGTTTAATCTTGAAACGCGCCTTCAAGATCCGGCTGCTGCTGCTGCTGCTGCGATCAAGCGCGAGAGGCAGACTGACTCCTTTGTTCCACATGGATTTGTTGGGAGGGAGGAAGATAAGAAGAAAATAATTGGTATGCTGTTGTCATCGACCAATGATGAGCAGAAAATCGAGGTTATTCCTATTCTCGGAATGGGGGGTTTGGGGAAAACGGCTTTGGCTCAGTGTATCTACAATGATGAGACTGTGTCTACTTGTTTTCAGTTGAAAATTTGGATATGTGTTTCAGATAATTTCGATCAAGCACTATTGGTAAGGAAGATGTTGGAGTCTATAAACCAAGATAAAGTAGAAGATCTAGACTTGGACATCTTGAAGGGGAAACTTAAGAAGGAGATGGATAATAAGAGGTTCTTGTTAGTGTTGGATGATGTTTGGAATCATGGTGACTACAAGGGCAATTGGGATAGCTTGATGAGCTTTTGGTTGCAAGTAGGGGCAATGGGTAGCAAAATTATCGCCACTACTCGTCTTGCAGATGTCGCGAATCACTTCGCAACGAAGGGGATTAAACCACACAAGCTAAAAGGTTTATCCGAGTCAGAATCATGGTTTTTGTTTGAACAAATAGCATTCAAGGGTGAAGTGGAAGGTGGTGAAAGATTTGTAGACATAGGAAAAGAGGTCATGAGAAAATGCGTGGGAGTTCCTTTGGCTATAAGGGTGATTGCAAGTGCCCTATCGTCTAAGAGCAACATTGTTGATTGGGAGGCGGTAAGGGATAAACAAGCAATGTTTGATGGGGATGACGAGAGAAAGATTTTGGGTACTCTTAGATTGAGTTATGACAACTTGCCTTCTGAATTGAAACCGTGCTTTGTCTATTGCAGTTTGTTTCCGAAAGATTCTGAGATTGATGTGAAATTGTTGGTGCAAATTTGGATGGGGCAAGGATTTATCAACTCTAATCGGTCGTCATCTGCTTTATTTGAGGTTGGAGTTGAATATTTCAAGAGTTTGCTGTCTAGGTTCTTTTTTCAAGAGCCAGAAAGTGATCGATGGGGGAATGTTACTGAGTGTAAGATGCATGATTTGATGCATGATGTCGCCCTGGAGATTGCAGGTGTGGAGATCATGGCTTTAAAAGCCTCAGATTCAATGGAAGCCAGTGTCGACTCTGATAGGCTTCGACATATATCGTTTGATTTTGAGAGAAAATTGACACAGACATGGAAAGCTCAAGATGCATTGGCTAATGCAACAAAACTTCGAACTTTTCTTCCTATAAATACACTCTATTCTGGCATTGATGGCATCGAGGAGCAGAACTGTGAGATGATCTTCTCAAATAATACTAGGCTGAGAGTTTTAAGTCTCGACAGTGCTAAACTGGAGAGTGTGCCCCGCTCCATCCATAAGTTGACACATCTAAGGTACCTAAATCTTGCTCGCAATCCTATGAAGGTGCTCCCCGACGAGATTACGGTACTAGTAAATTTACAAGTGCTCATACTTGATTCTTGTGAGAATCTCAAGCAATTGCCTAGAGATATTGGGAAATTGACTGATCTCGAGTTTCTTAGCCTCGTTGGGTGTTCGAGTTTGAAAGGGTTGCCACTTGGGATCGGGCGGCTCACTCGTCTGAGAGAATTGTCCATATTCATTGTGCCAGCTGCATCATACTATTCACATGGGCCAGTCGCTGCTAGAATCAGCGAGCTGGAGCATCTCGACAATCTAAGTGGGAAATTGAAGATCATAAATCTGGAATTGGTGAAAGATGAGGCTGAAGTGAAGGCAGCAAGTTTGTTTCGGAAGCAACATCTTCACGCCTTGACATTGAAGTGGAGCTTACCGAGACGAGTTTTTGCTGGCAGGGATGTTGGGGTACTAAAGGCGTTGGAGCCACATAACAATTTGAAGGAACTAAAGCTGAATGGTTATGGCGGTCACAGTCTACCTAGCTGGTTCTCTACTACTCTCCAGAATCTGGTTGACTTGACATTGTTTAATTTAGTTCGCTTAAAGTACATTGAGGATGACGCTGGACAGTTTCTTCCCCGCCTGAAATCTCTCCGCATTGGCAACTGCCCCAGGCTAGTAAGCTGGTGGTCAACCAGAGAGATAGAAATGCCGCAGTTCCCTTGTCTTTCATATCTCTACATTGCGAAGTGCCCGAAACTGGTACGGCTTCCTCATATTTCGGCGGATATTGAAACGGTTGACTTAGAATATGTCAACCGCAAACTGTTGGACCAGTTTGTTGCCTCACTTCCACCACCCAGCTCCCCTTCGCGGATCAAAACACTGACAATCGCGGGTATAAGAGGCCTTCAAATTTTGCCACAAGGTTTACTGCCACAACTTGCATCCCTTGAAGAATTGTGGATAATGGATTGCCCGAACCTAAGGAGTCTGTCTCCACCGGCTACTAGTCAACAACATCATCTCACTTCCCTCCACTTCTCTGCCCTTCCAAACCTCCGTGGCTTTTATATCTGGGGACTTCCAGGGATAAAGCGTCTACCAGAGTGGCTTCAGCATTCCTCTAACTTGCAGATTCTGTGGATAAAAAGCTGTGACGGTCTCAAGTGCTTGCCAAGATGGCTACCCAAGCTCACAACGCTAGATACTCTGTATGTAGATGACTGTCATTTTCTATCAGCCAGGTCGAAGAGTAGAACGGCCGAGGATTGTAACTACTTGAGAGTAGAAGAACCAGCAGACGAAAACCAACTTCAAAAACAAGAAGCAAGTGAAGAAGAAGAAGAAGAAGAAGATGATGATGATGATCATGCTAGCGAGGGCGAGGAAGAAGAAGACGATGATCATGAGGGCGAGCTCGAGGAAGAAGCAGAAGGACTACCCCTGGGCATTCTGTCTCCAAGGTACATTCTTCTTAACTACATCAATGAACATATTCTTTTGAACTAATATAAAAGCGGTCTCCAACAACATTCCTTTATTTTTGTCACTGCAGGATGTGGTCAGATTGCATTGCGAGATTGACTTGTAACCTGTTCCAAAGATGCTTTCTGGGCTAGTTACCAAACGTTCTCTCCCGGGTATTTTGATGCATACACACGAGACTTATCGCAACCTCCATGCATAGCTGATAAACTAGTGATCAGTATTCGCGGTCTGCAGAGTTATTTGTGAGACCTCTGTGGCGTACAAGCTTGTTCTCTTGGACCAAATTAGACAATTTCACTCCATGTTTCGTTGCAATTGTTTCATCTTGCTTGTTTTCTACCAGCTTGAACTTCCATCCTGTGGGGACTAGTTCTATTTTTATCTCTTCCTTTGTAACCTTAGTTGTATTTTTGGAGTTGTATTCCTTTTGCGCCCGGACAAGAATTTTTCAGTGAAGAAGAAGAGGAAGAACTGCCCTTGGGCATTCCGTCTCCAAGGTACACTCTTCTTAACGATATCGATGAACATATTCTTTGAACCAAAATAAAAGCGGTCTCCAACATTCCTTGATTTTTGTCACTGTAGGATGTGGTCAAATTACATTGTGAGGCTCACTTACCTATTCCAAAGATGCTTTCTCGGCTAGCTACCAAACGTTTTCTCTTCTATGAGGGGGTATTTTGATGCATACACACGAGACTTATTGCAGCTTCTATGAATATCCGGCGAAGTAGTGATCACTATCGCAGTCTGCACATTCATTTCTGAGACCTCTATCGCGTACAAGCTTGTTCTCTTGGATCAAATTAGACAATTTCATTCTATGTTTGTTTGCAATAGTTGCATCTTGCTTTGCTTGTTTTCAACCAGCTTGAACTTCCATCCTGTCGTACTAGTGGAGGTGGCAATTGGATCGGATTCGTGGATTCGTGGATTGGATTGGTGAATCCATGGATCAAATGGATTGGATCCAATGGATTGGTGGATTCATGGATTGGATCAAATGGATTGGTGGATTGATCCATGAATCCAAATGACATCCAAGGCATTGACCAAAATGTAAATTTTAAAAAGTTTAGGTACTAAAATGTCATAATGAAAAAAATTAGGTACCAAAATGTAATTTTCCAATGATTTTTTCGTATAAAAATATAAATTTTAGGTACCAAAATGTAAAATATAAAAAATATAGGTACCAAATCGTAATTTGCCATTTGGATCCTGGATTGATCCATGAATCCACCAATCCAATTGGATTTGGATCAAATGGATTGGATTTAAATGGATTGGATTAAGTGGATAATTTGGTGGATGGATTGGATTGGATTCATGGATTTGGATCCTAATTGCCACCTCTACGTACTAGCCTTGTTTTTCTTTATTTCTTTCTCGTAAACTTTGTTATATTTTGGAGTTGGGGCCTGCTAGTTAGAGATTTTGTCATAATGCAGCTGTCACTCGCTTGAAGTAACAGATTCATTTAGAGCAGCAAACTCCTCAACACTGTCTTCTGTTGTTGTGTTCTTACAAGCCCAATCTAGCATAGTTGGTAATGGCAAAACTTCAGTATAATCGGTGGGAGATTCGGAATAAGTTATCTGCTATGAAGAAGACATTTCTACAATATAACAAGAAGTGGGTAAAAAACAGTAAGATACTCCACCCTGCAACTTAATTGTTCCATTTCTTCCCCCCAAATGAATCATCCTTCCTTTTGTTGCCTCTGGTACAAGCAACCTCATTGTTGTCAGGAAACATCGACTTGTTTTGTTCGCTGGACGTATTGATCACACTATTCCCAACAAGGAACAACATCAATAGTGTCACCACCACCTCTTAAACAAACCTTCTCGACTTACTACCAGCAATCTCCAATCTTCCTCGACTAGTTCACTTACCCTTCTGTGTTCCATGAAAAAAAAAATGATTCCTAATAGATTAAGACGAAACTAATTCCAAACAGACTGAGGGTAAATGGACGAGACACAATGAAAAGGAAAAATACTCGGTTTCTCTTCTTTTCTTTCGAATCTGATGGGAGAGACTGCGATGAACAACATTGAATGAGTTCAGACTAGATTGAAGGTTCTTAACGAAAATCGGATTCCTGACAAAATGCATACATACATCTATATTTTGGTGTTACTATAAACAATAGAATTTCCCACAGCCTAAAACTGTTTTCCTTTCTTCTCTTTTCCGTCCCTTCTTGGCTTTCTTCCTCTGCTATCTGAAATTCTTCAACAGGTGGGAAGAAGTGGAAGGACTCGACAAGCTGCTCGTTGCACCTGTAGTAGAAGAAAATTTCCCTTTCTCCTTTCCTTTCTCAGGCGTCCCGCATTCGCTGAAGTCCAAAACTCGGCCTTCCTTCTGCTACAAGAAAAGGGAGAAAAAAAGATTCCAAAGTGATTAAGTAGCTATGCATACTGCATATACATAATAGATCCATTGATAAAAAAAAAACCATCAACACATACAGAGATATTGGCCAAATGGGAGCCACTAACGTCGCGATCTCCATCGTTGTTTTCTTGGTCCGAGACGGTGTTCTTCTGGCACCGCCTTCCTTTGGATATGGTTTCAGGGGTTTCATCCCCAAGAACTTCCAACGCATCAGCACAGGCAGCAGCAGTGTGCTCGCTGAACTGCTTCAAAAGTGTAATGGCATCATAGCTTCTGTCCCCCGGGCTCAGAAGATATCCCATGTCCTGAAAAGACGAAGTGATTGATATGATTCTCCAAAAAGAATGCTGAAAATTTTGGAGAACGACATGTAAGAACTAGAAGTGGTATTAGTACCTCAACTGAAATTTCTGTGTCGACCCTTGGACCGGGGAGGAAGGAGTTCATGAACCATGGAGATTTCCATGCCGAGGGAGATTCAATGCTTCTCCTGAAAGGAGTTCCACCAAAGCTGTAAAACAGAAGAAAAAGGACATGCGCAATTTGCAAGTGGATGCATTGATGTTAGATTTGAAAATTGAAATTCTAGCCGTTTTCTGCAGAGAGCAAATTGACAACCAAGGGGCACAACACAACATACAAGAATGCACAACCGAAGTACTCACAGGTCATTCCCAGTGGCGGTAGTAGTACTAGAGGTAGCAACTGTATTTTCTGCAGGTGCTGATAATGAGGGCACGGGTTTCGTTGCAGTAACAGCAACCAACGATTGACCTTCATTCTTCTTGTTCACAGTAGGTGATGACGATCCAGCTGTCACAACCTTCTCTGATAAAGTAGCCAAGATTCTTCGATGCAAATTCCTTGGAGTTCGAGCATCCGGTGAAAATAGTAAGAGATCACTCAAGCTTTCTTCGCCAATAAGTAATTCAGAATGCTGTTGCAATCAGTGTAAAGGAGACAAAGCTATAGGTCAAAGTAATCATACATTGGAAGCAAAAGAACTGAGTAAACAGAATAACAGAAAACTGAACTCACAGTTCGGGGATTACTAAAACTGGGATGATTATCTGTCGCCTTAGTATCACCATCCTCTGAGATAGTAGAACAATCTCTTCCCTTCTCTTCTTCTCCTTTATCCGATGGAAGAGCAGGGTCCACATTTTCCTTATCTTCAATACAAGATTTTTGGTTAACTTTGGATAATGGAGACATCAAATACGGTCTGTTGCCAGACTTGATATCCTCGTACACTACATCCAGGCGTTGAAACTCTCTAGTCAAACTGGAAGTCATGTCAATCACAAGCTTTTTTTCGTCTCTTCTTTCTGACAAAGGCGACAGTAAATCCCGGGTCCTCTTCTTCAAAATGGAAGGTGTGCCCATGAAAGTCTTGGCAGCACTCTTGAGAACTGCATCGGGACTGGTGGTACTAGTACTTCTCGTTGGAGAATCCCACAGCCGAAATGGACTGATGCAGTTTGCTGAAGATAACATGAATTGGCGGATACCAAGTGGACTGTACTCTTGCTGAAGATCACTATCAGGTTGCACGAGATCACAACTTAGGAATGGAAGATCCAAGCTTGGGAACCGTGGAGGCTCGTAGCATAAAGATCCTGTATCATCGCCTTGTTGCTGATCTACTCCACCATCATTCATCTTCTGCAAATCTGAAGCTTCTTCCAAATATGATTCTGCTTGCATCATATTCCCACCACCACCATCACAGGAGTGCATAACACTTGCTATGAGATCTTCATCATTAGGTGGAATAAGCACCTTATCAGGTCTCTGGTTGATTGATGATCCACGTAAGTCAACCATATTCGACGAGTCTTCTCTATGATGATTTTGAGGAGCAATGTCTCCACTGGTTGTTGCCTCTGGGAACAAGATCTTGCAACATTCGTCGTCAGGTATGAGAATTTGTTGTCCAGGTGTGGATGAACATGTTGCCATATCTTCCAAAGGAATAGGAGCAGTGAATCCCATTTCCTGGGTTTCATGAGCACCGATACTACAATGATTTGGCATGCCTGAAAAGCCACCTTGTCCAAATTCCAGTGGATGATGCAAGTTGGAAAGCGCCTCCAAGTTGAATTGGTAATCACTACTTGCTGGATTATCAACTGCAGCCATATGAGCGTAATTCTGATGGAGAAAGCCGGTGGAGGATCCATCTGCTTCACAGGGTACTTCAGGAATGGAAAACTGGACATTTCCAAGAGACGTGTAATACTCCTCGGAACAATGGACAGCAGTATAGGGGTATCTTTCATTTTCCATGCCAGATTCTTGTGCTAAATGGAATTCTTCTCCTGTACGGATAATAGAATTATCGCCCAAACCGTTAGCTGACTGAGAACAGGCCATGATTGTTGACTCCTGACTGCACTCTGATATTTCCTCTGCTTCTGTGACACACTTTCGACTGCTGTCGTTATCATCCCCACTATTTTGCAACCTGGAAGAAGATGAAGTTGTGGGTTGATTTTGATGCATGACTAGTGGATGGCCTTGAAACTGTTCTAGTAGACCAGATGCCAAGTAAGAATCCAACTTCTTCTTCACAGAACTATTCCAATGGTTCTTTATAGCATTATCCGTCCTGTAAACCCCCAGAATCAAATGAATCAATTATAACTCAACTGGCAACAAAAACTCCTCCAATCAAGCCAACTAAATAAGTTAACAAGACCTGTGTGCAAAGGTAAAAGAACTGATATTTTAAAATATAGGACATAATAAACCTTCCAGGCAAGAATTTAGAGAGCTCTGCCCATCTGTTGCCATAAATTTGATGAGCACGAACCAATGCCAACTCCTCATCCTGAGTCCAAGCCTGTCTGTTAATTGATGGGTTAAGATGATTATGCCACCTAAATATAAAAAAAGCGAGTCAGGTCCAAATGTTGGGTGGAAGTACTGGCATTGAGTGGAAGTTTGAACAAACACAATAAAGCATCAAGTTAAATTTGAAAATCAAAAGATGAACAAAAAATATTTTCAACTCGTCTATCGGTAAATTTTGGAGTAAGTTCACAACCATTTCATGTTTACCTTTCTCTACATTGCTTGCCGATACGCCCTGGTAAATGTTGGGCAATTGTAGACCACTTTTTAGGTCCGTATTTATTGACCAGTTCAACAATGGTTTCATCTTCCTATTTGGAGAAAATGCAAGATAAATGAGAAATATACTTGCTGTACACATTCAAGCAAAAAGAGGGATAAAAGGATAGAAAAAAGAGCAACATTGACCAATCCAAAGAACTATAAAGATACCTCCTTTGACCAAGGTCCTTTCACAAGTTCAGGATTTAAGACTTTCTGCCACCTGTGCAGGCATTGTACATCAGTTCGGTCCTTGAAACACTCCGCTGCAGATGGCCATGACAGAATTAGAGAAACAGAATGGTTTCCAATTTTGTCTTTGAGGAAGCTAAGAATATACCAAAAACATAAATGAACTGCAGTCACCCAGAAGGGTTTCTGTAAACTAAGAAAGGCCATTACGTAGCAAAGATCCTAGCTGAACTTCAATGCCACAAAAACAATGAAGTAGAACTGACTCAATTGTAAACAGAGCTCAAGATTCAGGGCATGCCAGCAAGATACTAGATATTGCATTGTGACTAGGAGGTTGTTATAAATTTCACGCCATGCTGAGCAAACAAAATATGCAACTACTGCAGCCTTTTGTATAAGGCTACTCAAACTCTGAAATGAGAAGAAACACATTTTAAGTGATAAATTTCACCGCAAGCTCAGTTTGTCGCTTCGTTGATCAAATATTGATAGGTTTGTCAGGAAAATATCTACAGTACAAAGTGTCGGTGTTCATTAGCTCAACTAACTTTGATGCCACTATCTCATGCTAACTTGCTGTGTTCGTTTAGGTTCAAGACTTGCAAGTTGTCTACATGAATCTACTTAGAAATTTAGAAACCTGAAAACATTCACTTCGCTGCCAACTAGTTCCATTATCCACAAGCTGTGGCAAATGAAACCCCAACAGAGAGAAGGCACAAATAATCTTGAATGGATACATTGAAACAAAGGCAAACAATTCAAGGAGAAGAACGTTCATGAAGACAAAACATGAATATATTCACGGAAAAAATTATTGACAGGAAAATATCTACAGCACAAAATGTTAGTGTTCATTATCTCAACTAAAAGTTTTCATGCCACTATCCCATGTTAACTTGCTGTGTTCATGTAGGTTCAGGACTTGCAAATTGTCTACAATACTCGAACTAGAAATTTACAATCAGAAAACATTCACTTCTCTACCAATTAGCTTCATTATCTATAAGCTGGGTAAATGAAACCGGAAAAGAGAGAAGGTACAAATTATCTTGAGTGATACATGGAGACTAAGACAGACAAGAATGCTAATAAAGACAAAGCATGAATATACTCACGTACCAATTTTTTTCCAGTTCTTTCCCTTGAATCGCTGAACAGCCTGGGATAAAATCTCATCCTGAACACACGAAGTAGCTTTATTCATTAGTACGAGATGGATGTCTGAAACCCAAAGGCGTCAGGACAATCATACTTAAATAAAACAGATGACAAGAATGTCACCTCTTCAGCTGTCCATTGTCCCTTTGTTGAACGCCGAGTAGGGCCACTCGTTCTCCTGTAAGTTGCGCAAATATTATAATTCCTGAATCTATTTGCCTTGATAATACTATCCTTTCATGGTAAAAGCATTAAAATACAGACATGCCACTACTCGTTTCAAACCAGCTCAAAATAACAAGCTTCAGAATTCAGATCATGAAACACTTATTTTGTGTTCAACTTCTCCCCAAATATGGGATTGTAAAAGCACCAACATAAATAGACAAGTTTAGCACCACAAATATCTGATCCAAGCTCAGTTATTGTAAAAAATGTGCTGGAAGGTCAAAAAGGGAGCGGAGTTCGATCAAGCACAAATACACAAGTAAGGATTAGGAAGGTTACCCATGGAGTGGCCGGATTTTCTGAACACTATCATTCACCCCATCCGAGGGAGCAGACGCTGACTTCTCACTGCCCATAGTTCTTTGTTAGAAGAATAAAGCTGCATACCTCAATCCCCACTCTATGATCGTTTTCTCTGCTGTTTATTCTCCACGACATCATACAGCTCCCTACAAAGAAGTTTCCATTTCACGCTTAAACCTTCAAAGTCGCTGGCTAATTAACCAAACAAACAGACAAATTTAACCACACACGGAGTAAAAATGGTAAAAAGGAAACAACTTTGGCAGCATATAGACAGAATCAACTGGCTTCTTCAGCCGGAAACTCTCTAGATTGAGGTGGGGGAGGGGGGAATCAGGAAATGAACTTTAGTCGCCGCAGCATAGCAGCCACCAGTAAGGCTAGCGGTCGAAAAGAAATTCAAATTATCACAGCTATGTTGACTTTGAGCACAAATGGAAAATCCAAATGCAAAATCAAACTACCACCAATTAGTAATTAGTCCTGAATCCAAACCCTAGAACACGATCGATCACCATGAACTCTAGCACAGTCGAATACCCAAACAGATTCGCCAAAAAACCACTGTAGTTCTAGAGACACTCGCCCTCCCTCCCACTTCTGCCCCCACCAAATCACACAAATTCGAAATCCCCCCAAAAAAAAAAGTTCAAACCAAACTCACTCACCGAACTGAGCTCTTCAATGCGCGCAGGAGTTGCAACGGCGCCGGCGCATTTGCACAGATCCGAGTAGAGTAGGAAATCCAAATCTGGGGGAAACGGCACTGGTTTGAAGAAATGAGGATTTATGAATATGTTGATGATTCTCTGCTTTCTCCTCTCCAATTGAGTTTGCTTTGAAGGGCGCTTTTCCCCTTTTTTCCTAGAGAGAGAGAGTAGAGAGAGGAATTTAAACGGTCTGCAAGAGAGAAGAGGGAGAAGGAGGGAGGGATTCAAACGAGAAGGGGCGGACTATTTCCAGGTGGAAGGAAGGAAGAAGAGTTTTTTTTTTTTTAACAAAACCCTATTTTTCGTTTATTTAATTTTTTAGTATTAAAATTGTTATTATTGCTGTTGTCGTTCGGTGCCGTCAGATCCGACGACCGACGGTGGAGATCCCGACGGGCCGGATCTTCTGCCGTCTATTTCTAACTTCTTGTTTAGTTGGGCCCGGAGCCCACCACCGGGCCCATTCCTTCCTGGTTTTTCAAATGCTGAACGGCTGGATTTGTTGTATTATTAATTTCCATCGATTTTAATCTGTAACTACTTAATATATTTTCATTTAATGAGACCAATGTCAATAGGTCATTTCTTATTTTTTCCATGTAGGCTGAGTTTAAACAAGGAATCAAAAGGGAAATAAAATAAGTGTGATGAAGATTATGTACTTCTAGGTTGGTGAATGTTAACAAACCAAAACTTGAGTTGATGATCCTCCGGACGAAAGAACATTTAGAGGATCACAGTTCATTGGACATTGATATGATTGAACAATACGATATGATGACCTCCAAAATGCGGTCGAACCAATGTGACCGGTTGATACAGTATGGTAATCATGTTATCATTTTCTCTGGGTTTAGGATATTTGGGAGAGTGATGAGTATGTGTTATATGATTTTTTTCGTCCAACACTTTTGATGTGCTAGTCTATTTTGAAATTGCAGATATAAGTTCAACTGATTCAAACAATTATGTTATCTTAAATACACGATAAAGAAATATTTGGAAATGTGCTCTGTAGAAGGTTAATCTGAGGAAGGGAGAAGAGGAGGAGGTTGCACATTACGAATACTGAAAACGATTTGACATTTAATATGTATTTGATTGTGTAAGGATAATATGTTTCACGGGTAAATGCCACATTTGGTCACTGAGATTACTAAATCGTGTCATGTTTAGTCACTAGAAAAAAATGATATCAATTTTCGTCACTCGAATTGATGAAACAAGTCACATTAAGTCACTCTCACATTAGCCTCCGTCCAACTCCGGTCACTCGAATTACTGTAACATGTCATATTTAGTCACTCGAATTACTGAAACAGGTCACATTTAGTCACTCTCCCATTAATTTTCGTCCAATTCCATTAATGGAGTTGGGCGGAAACTAGTGAGAGAGTGACTAAATGTGACCTGTTTCAGTAATTAGAGTGACCAAAATTGATATTAAATTTTTCTAATGACTAAATATGACACTATTTAATAATCTTAGTGACCAAATATGGTATTTACCCTATGTTTCATCAAATAATTATAAACATTTGGATATATGCTTCTCATTATCGATCTCAACTTTGGCTTGGATCATCGGTGTAAGTTTCTCATTGTGGAATCCCAGTTGGCTATTGAGATGATTAACGAACACACTAACCAGATCCATCTCTATGCCACCCTCGCTAACTCGTTCCACGAAAAGAAGTGTTGGATCAGAATTGATTGTTGAACTGCATTCATACAAAACGCAAAAGAGAATAGAATAGTCATTGCTAACTCTCGAAACACAATCAAGTCTATCCATGTGATACATATGAACTTGTTAACCAACCCATCATCTGAGCTAATTTCGATCCTACCTATGTGTGAAATTCATATCTTCATGCAAATTCCCTCCCATACTAGTTTTCAATTCTCATGAGTCATGCCTATTATAATTTATAAACCTAGTTCCCAAATAGTACTCGACTAGGAACATTTAATAGCAACCCTATGGTTATATCAAATTTAATATCACCCAACAAATACACAGGCAATAGTAGTCAATAATTGCACTACCATAACAAAGAAGGGAAATGGTGGCCAGCAAAAAAGCTTCAAATAATACCATGCATTATAAAAGGCTCAAAGCAAAATTTCTTTCTACGGAATATAACAACTTCACCAAGTTTTACTAAACAAACATTTACTAAACAAACAGTTCATTCCCTCACCATCCTCTCCAGTCTCAATCACCATCAGACAATAGCATAGGCGAGAGAGAGATCATAAAGAGGCATTAGAAGCTCATCACAAGGTCTGTGCATGGGAAATCAATAACCCCACACTCCTTTTGAGAGTCTTCTCCTAGCAAAGCTGGTTTTGCCGAGATTCAAACTCAGGCTCCAACCTTCTGGAACTTGTTACGACCACCTCTTCCCGAATCATTATCCCTAGAATGAGGATGCTTACCGCCACGGTGGAACCTGCCTCCCCTGGTCGGATAATATGGAGAAAGAACCATTCTTGAATAAGATTCTGGCAATATGAATCAGAACACAATACCAGATTTTCAATGTACTGATGTAAAAAGCTAAAAACTGACCTTCCTCCTCGATTGCTGAAGCTAGCTTTGCGGTTGTCTTGATTGGTTCGGACCTGGGCCCAATACTCCGCTTCCTTATCGCCTACATGCCCCACACAGAATGTTGGTCTCTTATAGTTGGCTAATCAAAAGTATGAGCTGCTGAGAATACTTAAGAGGATTGCTATATCTAACTCCTGATTACTCGGCATTTAATTTACATCACCACACTAAACATGGAAGGAGCAACTGTTCAAGATCATCCTTAATTCATGCTGCTATCACTATTTGTCCATTTCCACTCTCATATATAGAGCAAAGTATAGAAGAATTGGTCAGTTAAAGATGGGTGAAAGACTGTGTTTGTTTACCATATAGAGCAAAGTATAGAAGAATTAGCCATGCTAAAGATGGGTGAAAGATTGTGTTTGTTTACCATATATTGGTTCTAAAGAGACGATGAAGTTTTTAACTGTCAGTCCTCCCTCCTCTGCCAAGATTGCAGCAGCACGAGCCTTTTGACCAGCTTCAGGTTTCTCGAATCTCGCATATCCTGAATCCTCTCCCATTTTAAAATCAATATACTGGAGAGAACAGAAACAAGTCACACACAAAAGAATTAAGAGGCATTGTAATGCAAAAGAATCATTATCGAAAATATAACAGATGTAACAGAAAGGTACCTTCACAGCGCCAAATTTAGAGAAGACAGCCTTCAGATCCTCACGCAACATGATGTTCTTGTCATTCTTGCAGGCAGAAAGGTCAAATTTGTTACCCTGTTTCACATTCTTCTCAACAGAATCTTTGTTCGACTCCTCCCCCTCATCAGTCTTTGTTTCCTTGTTTTCAGTGACATTTTCATTATCCGCCTTTTCAACCTTATCAGTATCCATAGCAGCCACTTCTTCCTTGTTATTATCGGCATCATCTTCTGAAGCCTTCCCCTGTCCTTCTTCGGTAGTTTTCTCCACGGAACTTGTAGGCATTTCTTCAGCTGATTTAGGCCCAGTCTCGCCATCTTTAACAGATTCCTGGTTGACATCCTGTTTTGCTTCATCTCCCGTTGAAATGCTTTTCAATTTAAAAGCAACAATCAACCCCTTCGTGTACCTGTGATCATACCACAAGTTTAATATCATCAACATACCCAAAGGGGACTCTGGTCAAAATATTTTTTTGGTTCAGACTCTGGTCAAAATATAATTGCATTGCTAATATCTTACTCTGCCTGTGAGCTCGAGTTTTTGTTATTGTCATTATTCCATTGGGGATTGGCAGCTCTAAATTCTGCTAATTTACTCTGCCTTTCTTCATCGAATTCCTTCCTGAGTTGTGAAGAATGTTCAGCATTATCAGGCAGAGTTACAATATACAAGTCAGAATATACAATATAATGTAATATAACATGACTCAATATGGTATATTTCCACTCCATAAACAGCAAATACATGCACTCCGATGAGAGGAACTGCAATCAAGACTCACTTTGGTTTCAGTTCTAGCTGTACACCTTCAAATTCCAATATTTGACCTAAGACTTTCTCAGCCTCTTCATCGGTTGGAAACTCAACCAAAGCAGTGCCACACAATACTCTTTTGTTAGCTATGTGGTTAGGCAACCTCAGACTAGTGACCTGAAACAAAAAAAATTAGAACACTGAAACACCAAATTGAAACATCAAATCGAAGCATGTATAGTAAACAAGTTGCTCACACACGCGCTATTCATACTAAGAGGGGCGAAAGTAGCTTTACCTGGCCATATTGACCGAAGAACGTCAGCAATGCATCGCGACTCACATCATATGGCAACGGCGATGCTGCAATCGTTCTTCCATCCAATTGCTCCACTAACTCTTCTGGTTTCATTAGAGGACCAATCCTACCAACTCTCTTACCTATAAAACATCATGGGCCAGAAACAAAATGGTTGTCAATAAGACATATCTAAACTGGCCGTATAACTCAACTTTGCATCAAATTCACAATTCCCATGTCACATATAAAGCGTACGCCATTGCAACTTTGCTTAGAGTTCACAACTGAGCCAGGAAAAAGAAGGCAAATCAGAGGAAGCTGAAAAGAGGGTTACCATCTTCAGAGAGTTTGAGAGAAGCAGATTTTGCAAGAGTATCAGCAACTGCCTTCAAAGTATCGTCTGGGATTTCATCCTGCTTGGCCTCTTGCAGTTTCAGGTAACCCCTCATTTTCTTGAATGAGCATATCAGTGCCAGGCTTACCACTGTTCAACCCATGTCAAGAAAAACACCTATTCTGATTAAAAAAAGCAATGAGGACAGAACAAAAACAGCAAAAGGTAGCAACTTTTCTTCTTGTTTTTTTGCAAAGGATACAGCCATCTTCGCTAGATGCAACGGTGCTCGATAAGAACTTGTCCCGCGGGAGATTGCTATCACTGAATTAAAACTCCACCTGAAATCATCCCCAAAACACATCATCAATCGATAATACAGTTTTAAGGGTAAAGGGTAATGATTTATTAGACGATGGAAGAGTCTGATTATCAAAGCAGAGGAAGAGACCTGTCGGAGGACTTCCTTGGCGGTGGCTTCGTCCAACGATGGTGTCGCCATTGAAGCACCGTTTACAGAGAGAGAGAGGGGAACACAGGGAGGCGAGGGAAGAGGGAGAAGGAGGAGTGTAAATTAGGGTTTTGGAGAGAATTTGGGCGTCGAGGCGTAGTGGGGGTTTAAGGAAGTTGAGTTCGAGTGAACAAAGCGGTTTTATAGGTTCCACTAAGAACCGGTTTTCGCCAGTTCGCGGTTGGAATTTCATTTTTTCAGTTACTCTCCATGTAGCCCTCGCTTCCGCAGAATCAGAAAGAGAGAGGTCCAATGACTCGTTATGACGATGCCTCCAAATGAACCTTCACGACCTTCAGCAACTCAAAGTCTAGTGTACTACTAGTGACAGTCATGAATTGTAATCTAGATGCGACGCAACGCCTATCTCGTACAATAGCCGAACTATTGTAATCTAGATGTGACAAAGCGCCTAAATCGTTCAATAGCCGGTTCTTAGTGGAATAGCCGAACTATTGTAATCTAGATGTGACAAAGCGCCTAATCTAGATGCGACGCAACGCCTATCTCGTCATGAGTTGATAGTGTTTATTTTGCGTAGAGAGTTATTTTTCATTCTTCCCTAATGAACAAGGGGTTTTCGGTCTATTCTCGGTTTTTGGTTGATCCAGGAGAACCGAATCGGGTTCGTTCTCGGTTTGCAACACATTGAGCATTTAGCCAAAAGGAGAATATAGACCAGATTTCCATTTACTACAGAGACATGCTAAGTTATGCTTCTGCTGTGTCCCAAAGAAACCAAGCAAATAACTTTGAAACAATTTTATGGTCTCCCACTCCAGAGTTTCAAAATGTTAGGGTCAGTCTCCCTCCCTTTTCTCACTCAGAAGTCAGAAGTACTCTTTAACCTTTTTCTTTGGGTTCTCAAATGAAAATAACAGAAGATGGGTAACACAGAAGCGAGAATGATAGGAGAGCTAGACTTTGGGGCTCTCTGGCATACAGAGGCAGAACGATACTTTCCACTTCTCTTGACGGGGGGCGATGGAAGGGCCATAAACCATATTTTGGTACAACATCTTCGTTTTGGCTCACATGAAATCGTCTTCCATCTCCTGCAGAGACTTGCTCTCCGATGCGATCTGCTTGTTGGATGTCATCTTCTCTGCCACCATCAATCCCTTGTAGCTCCTCACCTCTGCCTGCCTCTCCTTTTCCATCCTGTCCATCTCCTCCCGTCGTTTCTACCAAAACAACGGAGAGCAAAGCATCTTTGTTAAGCTATAATGAACAGAGGTGGAAAATCGGATGTTTTTGCAATGCCAAATTATGGATCAGGAGAAAATCAGAAGATTTATTCAACGAAAAAGAAAATCAGAAGATTTATCAAAAGTGAATTGTGAAGACACATTTGATTCTGCACTACAAAACTTTTGGAGGTGAAGATGGCAATATTTGCATGTTGTTCTAAGCAATGATGAGGCAGGCTAGAAATCAAATGAAAGCCTCTACAAGCCATCACGAATCAACATCCTAAACTGGATCCAGTTTCAAAAAAACCTTGCATGCTCGAGATGTCATATATATTTGAATTGCCAAGTAAGACTGCACATAAGACGGCTTACTTTATCTCTGAGTTGAAGCTTCCTCTCAGCCCTTTCTGCTGCATTTACAGCTTCCCTCTCGGCTGCACCAGTAACAAGGAAACAATACCATCAGCAATAGAAGAAGAGCTTGCCCACCACCAAGGCCAATACGGTTCAACATTTATGTTTCGAACTTTTTAGTCAATGCAGATGCACCAAAGACGAGATGATTAGCTCACCTCTCAAATCGGGCGTTCTTTCTACTTTTGTTTTGTTCAGTCTGTTGATCACCTCATTAATCCGCTTCTCCACTTTCACTGTACGAACCTACATTATTCGATTGAGTCACAAAAATATATCAACACCAAAGTCACACATGGAAGAAGGATAATGTCCCAGTTGAAAGTGATAAGAACCAGAAAAATAAGCTCTCACCATCTTTGAATTGTGAAAGCCAACTTGACCAACATCCATTGTAGCTGTCTTCTTCAAGTTTGACCAGGGAGTGTAAACAACATCAATGTTGTTAACCTTGTTGCCTGGAAGTCGAAAAACAAAAAAAGAAACCTCAAAACGGTATCTTCACATCTCGCGGAAGCGCATCATGAAGTATATCATAACAAATGGAAATCTGCAGAAGCTACTAAACCAACATCATGATGAAAATAATGTAACAACAAAATGCAAGCTGCATATGCAGGAGAGCAATAAAAGAGAATCATTGCCTTGAATGGAATTTGCTTTGACAAGCTGGCAACAATCCTCAAGTAATCCTTCACTTATATTATCGAAAGTCTGACCCTTGTGCAGCCTTACATAAACATGGGCTGAAGACATTTTGTCGACATGAAACCTGCCACCATCCGCCCAACAAAATATAGTCTTAGCATTGAGGGAAAATGCCAGAAACCCAAACAAACCAACAAAGCAACGATGTGAAAATAATCACAAGAGCCACCATCCCAACTGCCCTGAACACAGTAATGCATCATCACACCAGTCAACGAAGCAAAACTTCCGACAAACAACACATAAAACCGAATTCTCTAGGTCAGAAACAGCAATCTGCTGCTTTCTTGAATGGAATTAAGGATCATCAGCTTTCATCTTTCTTATATAGAATTAAAACCAAGCTAAAGGACAACCAAGCACTAAAAAAACCAAATGGTCAACCAAATTTCAGATATGGGGACAAAAAGTTCGAAACTTTGAAACAGTAGCAACACCAGAAAATTGTAAACACGGGCAAGAACAGAAGCAGCAACCACTTCATCAAGGAAAATGAAAGAATTCTCCATTTCTCACCCCTCTTTTCTCTCAAAAACTTTTCCAGATCTCACCCTGAGATCTTCTCCAGCTGCCGTTCGCGGAGCACTCAGTTTACCCCAGTTCAGAATCCACCATAAAGATGACGAGATCCTACCAGATACTCCAGTGATTAATGCCGTCTCAGGCATTATCCCAGCGTACCAGGTCCCAGCCGACGCAGCGACCAGTGATGAGGGAGTTGAGTCAGAGGGCAATCTCTGGAAATCCATTAATCCGCCGCCCAAGCCACCTGAATTGATTTGGATTGATGGACATGGGTTGGAGGGAAGGAACAAAGAAGAAGCAGGAGGACTTAATGCGGGGAAGACGAAAGGGGGGAAATTTAATGAAAGGCAGAAAGGGAAATCTCCTGCAAGCAGGGTCAACCAGAGCTATTACAGCTACCTTGTCACCGGAGATCAGGTATGGGGGAACGAGCCACCAATCATTGTCAACCTTACCGGATACAGAGAGAAGAGAGGAGCCATTAATGGGAGAAGAGGGAGGAGTAAAAGCGCTGGGCATAGCCGCAGGAAGATAGCCACACGGAAAGTACAAAAGAGGATCCATGGGAGGAGGCAGAGGAGAGTTAAGGCAAGCATGCAGATCATCAAATGGTCCATTAAAGGAAAATCGGCAAAAGGAAGATTTACTGATTGGCAGCTGCAATCCTCAGTTATGAGTGGAGCATTTATTGGGGTGGAGAGCGTTGAGAAACACCTGAACAGAGGATCAACTCCCTATTTAAGAGGAGTCTTCCTGATGGGGAAATACCATACTCAAACTGCAGCCCTAACCAACAGAAAGTATACCCAACCCCTCTCTGCTCCTACCAACAGAATCCCAAAACCTCACCCCAGCCATCTAAACGCGAACCCCATCATGGAAATGCACTCCAGGAGTCTCAGAGGAGAAAAAAGCCATCTTGTTCTCAATGTAAGACCAACAGTGGTGGGGGCTAGAGGCAGCGGCATGGCGATGCTCCTTGGGAGGTGGGTCACTGACTCGAGCACCTCCCTCCAAAAGGCAAGAAATGCAGCCGTCCACAAGTGGAGGGCTTACGGAGAGGTACAGGCAACCAAGGAGGCAGACAACCTATTCGTGTATTCCTTTCAGTCGGCAAAACAACGGGATGCGGTCTTTGATGCACGACCGTGGAACCTAAGCAATACAGTGATCGCGCTCAAGAAGTGGGATGGCGAGCAGAAGGCAGAGATTGACGACATCCCCACGGTCACTTTGTGGGTACAGATGTCTGACACAATGCCAAAGGAGCATCTCGGCATGGTCAAAGAATGATAGGATTCAGAAACTTAAGAGGGAAAAAGAGATGAGACAGAGACTGCAGGAGTTACAGGGACCTGTCAGAAACCAAGCTTTGGTTGACGAGGAAAGTGACCTTCTGAAAGAGCTGGACAAGTGGTGGTCCTCTGAAGAAACCTTTTGGGCGCAGAGATCAAGAAATGGATGGCTCCAAGAAGGGGATCGAAATACGGGGTTCTTCCATGCTAGCACTATCCGCAGGAAGCATAGGAACAGAATTCTTAAGCTGAAAGATAACAATGGAGTTTGGGTGGAGAAGACAGAAGAACTTTCAGAGCACGCCAATGAGTTTTATCAACATTTGTTCGAAAGCAGGGGAGGGACCTTTGATCAGACCCTCTTGAATGAGTTCCCGCCGTTGGTTACTAACGAAATTAATGCGTGCCTCTCAGCCGATGTTTCAAAGGAAGAAGTGCGCAGAGCTGTGTTCCAACTTGGGGCTAATAAGGCCCCAGGCCCTGATGGCTTTCCTGGCCATTTTTTCAGGTCTTTCTGGCCGTTTCTGGGAGATGCAATTTGTAAAGAGGTGATCAGTTTCTTCAGAACAGGGATCATGGATGAGGGATGGAATGATACTTTTATTACCTTGATCCCAAAGGTGGACCTGCCTGAGTTGATTTCCCAGTTCAGACCCATTAGCTGCTGTAATTTCCGATACAAGATCATCTCGAAGATCATGACTATCAGATTGCAACCGTGGCTGCCAAGGCTGGTGAATGAGTTACAAACTGCCTTCACAGGTGGTAGACAAATTCAAGACAATATTATTATTGTCCATGAAGTGCTTAATCAATTCAAAAAGAGTAAAAAAAAGAAGAATAAGGAGATGATGATGAAGCTGGACATGAAGAAGGCTTATGACCTGGTTGAGTGGGATTTTCTTATCAGCCTTTTGAAGGCTTATGGTTTCAATGACACGTGGTGTGGATGGGTGCGGGTTTGCATCTCAACTGTTAAGTTCAGGCTGCTGTTCAATGGGGCCCCGTCGAATGAGTTTACTCCTTCTCGAGGCATCAGACAAGGGGACCCCCTCTCCCCCCTTCTGTTTATCCTGATGTCTAATGCTCTGTCTTTTCTGGTTGAGAAAGCTGCACAGAGGAAGGTGATCAAGGGGATCAAGCTGAATAACAACTGCCCTGTTCTCACCCATTGCCTTTTCGCGGATGACACAGTGATTTTTGGACAGGCTTCGATTAGGGAAGCAGACATCATCCTCAGCATTCTTAGAGACTATGGTTCAGTAACGGGTCAAGAGGTCAACTTGAACAAGTCATCCCTGTTTTTCAGCGCCAATGTTACCCCGGAGGAACAGGCAGCTATCACTAATAGCACTGGTTTTGCTGAAGACCGGTGTCAGTCTAATTACCTAGGAGTCCCCACTGAATGGGGGCGATCAAAAAAGGAAACATTCCAGTTCCTACTCAATCGAATGGAGTCTCGAGGGGAGTCCTGGAAGAGCCTTCTTCTCTCCCCCGGGGGCAAAGAAGTTCTACTTAAGGCTGTGTTCCAGGCAGTGCCTTCTTTTATCATGTGCCTTTTTCTCCTCCCAAGATCAGCCACAAAGAGGATGGACTCCATGCTCAAGAACTTTTTCTGGAGCGGATCAACATCAAAGAAAACAATCCATTGGAGAGCGGGGCAGGTTCTCTATGCCCCAAAAGAGGAAGGAGGGCTTGGTTTCAGACCCTTCCACACTGTCAACCTTGCTTTATTGGCTAAACAGGTTTGGCGAGCTATCACCAATCCTGAAGCCTTGTGGGTAAGGGTCTTGAAGAGCATCTACTTCCCTAAGACGGACTTGTTAAATGCAAAGAAAGGGGGGAAGGCGTCCTGGATTTGGGCTAGCCTTTGGGAAGCAATAAAATGGATGAAGAAGGGCATCATTAGAGTCATTGGAAACGGAAAATCAACACGAATGTTCCAAGATCCTTGGAGATTTGATCGACCGGGCAAACTCCTCGATTTTGAGTGGCCAGATGAGACAACAGTGGATCAGTGGATTGATGGGATCCGTCGAGAGTGGAGATTTGACCTTCTTGCTGGTTATCTCAGTCCCTCGGATCTTCTACAGGTGTCGACCACCCCAATTGGACCAGCTTCGTTAGATGACAGATGGGCTTGGAGATTCACAGAGTGTGGCGAATTCTCAGTTAAGTCGGCTTTTCACATGATTCATAACTTCTTGCGGAGGGAACAGAATTCCCAGATGGTTGACATATCGAGTAAAGAGAAATGGAAATGGCTATGGAGTCTTTCCCTCCCACCTAAACTGAAGTTCTTTATTTGGAAATGCACCAGAGGGGCCATTGCAACTAAGGAAAACCTCTTCTCTCGGCAGTGCTCGGTCACTAAAGCATGCCCTCTCTGTGCTGAAACTAGTGAATCGATCCATCATGTATTGTTTAAGTGCCCTCACGCGGCTGCTGGGTGGTTCCAGGGCTGGCCTTCGCTGGTTGTCCCCCCTCTCTCCACTCACCTGCTTGACTGGCTCTTCGCACTGCAAGACAGGTATCCCCTCCCCTCAGTCCATAAGGTTGTCTTTCTGCTGTGGCAGACGTGGAAAGCCAGGAATGAGTTTATTTTCCGGAATAAACCTCCATGGCCACCTAGTACCATCGCTAAGGCTGTGAATGAGTCACAACAGTGGGAATGTTGCCCCGCTAAGCCAACAACCTTACCACCTCCAGTTCAGTTAGACCCATCCCCGGAGCACCCTACTCCACCGCCGAGTATTCATCTTTTTGAAATACAGTGTGACGGTTCTTTCTTTGAAACCTCACAGCAGGCGGCATATGGCGTTGTTGTATCAAATGTCCATGGACAAGTGTGTGACGGGGTAGCTGAACCCCTGCATTGTTTGTCATCAATTGAAGCTGAAGCAAAAGCGCTGTTTGAAGGAGCTCTTCTGGCATCCAGCCTCCAAGGTCCATGTCTGGTCCGATCTGATTGCCTGACCATCGTTAAGGCTGTTCAAGGAATGTTAAAGCCGTGGCCATGGCGGGCGGCTGCATGGATTGGACGCACCATTAAGACAATCGAGGACCACCCCTGGATCAAGATCTCCCACATCAAGAGGGCAGATAACACGAGAGCAAACTGGGTTGCTAAATCTAGAGCTAAAAATGTTCTCCCACCTCATTGGGTTCACGTTCTAGATGTCATTTCCCACCTTTTGTAACAGCTGGCTTTTTTCTCTTCAGCCGCATTGAATGAAAAACAATACCTTTGGTCAAAAAAAAAAACAGAAGCAGCAACCTCCAACCAAAGGAAGACCCCATGAAAAAGGGACAAACTTTAGCAGACGGGAACAGTGGAAGCAAGCAACCATCAAATGGCGCTTCGATTAGAACATAAGCAATCAATAAAGCTTTTGGGCAAGAAAATCGGATGAATTGTTGTTGCAGGGAGGGACAATTGAAAGGAGTAAAGGCGAATTCTTTACCAAACGTCTTCGGGGAAGCCGTATTTGATGAGTTCCTCGTTCTCGAACTTGTCGAATCCCATGAAAATGGTGTAATCGCCGACCTCTGGCCGTGCTTTGAAGTACAGGACCATCTTCTTCCCCTGCCTTCGTTCTTCTCGCAACAATTTAGAATCCCTCGTCTTGAATTTGTATTCGTTAGGGTTCTTCCCTTTATTCCGATTTTTTTGTTAACTTGCTGTGCTTGCCAAATTTCCAAAGAAAATTCGTCGTTAATTATTTTATTCTATCTATCCGACTTCATTCTAGCCCAATATTCCTACTTTCTTATTTAATTATCGGTTAATTCACTTTCCATCTCTCTAGTATGCAACTTTTCCAAATGTACACCTCAACTGTTAGTTTTTTTTATATATAATGACACATTGTTGTTTATTCGAAATATATTGAGGTTCGAAAAACTTCGAGAGTTATACGAGATTCAAAGTTACTATTAACCTTTTTCTATGCTCTAGAGTCTAGACTATGTAATTTGTTTTCAAAACGTCTATCCAACAAGTTCTTATATTCAACTGCCTTTGTTCCCGGTCATTGGGCAGGTAATTTTATTAATGTTAATTATTTACTTGGAGTGAGAAAATTTTCATCCGAAATCAGTATATGTGTTAAACACGTTTGGTCATACAATAGCACCAATTCGATTGTGATTAATCTCATCAAGGAACTTTGTCAAATAAGATATGTGATTAGTATCATCAATTAAAGTTTGCCTCACTAGTTAAATGCCTTGACAAAATAGAGTGTAGCATCCACAAATTGTGGGTTGGAATCCTAATAATGACTATTTATATTTTTTTGTTATTTTAATTGTAGTTAAGGAGTGGAAGCCCATATTGTATCTTGGCTATCCACTAAATTTTTGTAGACCTTTTTTGTTTGGTTTCCACTCATAAAGACAATTTATTATTATTATTATTTGATTGTTGATTATATAATATGAAAATAATGTCGACATAGATACATAAGGATTGAGAAAATTAAAATCCTCAATTTTCGATCGTGAAGTCATATATCACTTAAGAGTATTTTGCATATGATTGACATATTTGAAAGGATTAACCTATAAGTTACAAAGTTCGATGAATTCATTTTGCAATTGTGTTTGAGATCAGTCGTTAAACAAGTAACAAACCATAAAAATACGCATTTGCTTCGAGACAAACAAGCTTCAAGCTTATCAATAACACATCAAAGAATGAAAAACAATCATCAAAATATGATACACAAAGCTCAGAAGTCATGCACTAAACTTGTTACTTTGTACTAAGATTCGTTGGTGGTGGTTAGCCAAGTCTCATACTTTGAATAAATAAAGAAAATTAGTGAAAGGCGTGTGTTAATTTTGGTATATTTTTTCTTTCATATCCAACACAATTTATAGGAGTGAAATATGATCAGAATATCATCGGCTCCGATATAGACTGGATCGTTGGCCGCCCCTAACAATACTATATAATATGTCTTCTGACTACCTCCCATATTTACTAACACAATCTTGTATCTTCTACAAGGATTAGTTATTCCTCTCTTCTTCTTTTTTTCTCCTTCAATCCAATAGGACAACAAATTTGTTATAATTTAAACAACTAATTTAATATGTATTGTAAAATTGTATTCCACAACCATATTTGGAAGTTAGAATTCTCTAAATTGATGTATTTAATCAATGTATGTATTATAGTTAGATGCATTGTTTCAATGTATAAATTTGAAAAATACATTATTTGGAGATTGAATTATTTTGGTGGTCCCTCAAAAAACAAGGCGGAAAAAAATTAAGCTTACAATCTCTCAAACACAATATATGTTGAAAGTTGAGATTGATAACCATTCATAATGAATGATTCTGGTGATCTCATATGTTGTTCAAATACAAGCATTCTGTTTCATTTTAAAACGAAAAAATGACGAATTCTTCTAACTACTCGTATTGACTAAATACATCATCTGAAATCTCAAGTTCTCAACCAACCAACCTAACCCTAATATAAAACAATTTTACATCATAATAGCAAGAAAGCAAACCCTGTCGAGCTACGTCGTTTTATTGGGTTCACGTAAAGTCCGTTTGTTTTGTTCTGAACCAGTTGGACCCGCTTTAATTAATCTACTTATCTCACATCAAGCCCACTTTCCGGAAAGCCCAAAACTACACAACCTTTCCCGTCCGGCCAATGCTACTGTGCCGCGGTAAAAAATGCGGCACCGGTGCCGCCAAATTCTATTCGTCCACATGGACATTAAAAAACTGATGTGGCATTATTGAACTCGTACAAACTCGGTGGAAAACCGCTCGCGGCTCGCCTATCAACCGAGACAACCACCGAACCAGTTGTTTTATGTTTTATTTTCTCTCTCTCAATAAATATATATTTTACGATACTCCCACCGCGACTCCCGTGGTCGTGATTGCGCCGGCGCTGGCCGGCCCTGCCGCTGCTTCGTCGAGAACTGAGAGTCCGTCGGCCGATTCAGCAACGTCGGCGGAGGCTTCTAGTTCTATTGTTGTTTTCCCGTGTACTCGCTCTCCTCTGACTCCATCCACGGCGACTGGAGCGGCACCGGGTCCAGTCGACAAGTCGGTTTTAGAGTGCTCGATCCATGGGACTGAAGCTCGATCATTTTGAGTGTGCTTCGGAATTCTTCTCGCCGTGGCAGTAGTGTATCCCTGTAGCCACTAGACTGTACGTCTGCCTAGTGTATATATGATAACTGAGAAGCAATTTAGTGTATGAACTATTTAGTTATTATTATTTGTTTACTTTTGCTTGTTTTATGAACGGTGATTAATAACGTGCATAGTTACTACATATTTCATTTAATATGTGTATCATGTGTTTAAAATCTTCCGTTTTTTACTTTTCGTACTATTTCCAAATCATTTAATTTTTCCAGTTAATTTGACATATTTCATAATAAACAGTTATAAAATTCATATAATATGTTTAATATTTACAATTAGTGATTTAAATTGTTAATTTTTTTATTTTTAAAATAATTAATTTAATATATTTTATGACTATTGACATACTATTAGACGTACCATTAGTTTAAAGACAAAACAAAATGACCGTACGTATTTTATATTTAACTTATCCATACCGTATTTGACTAATTATGATCATTATATTATTTCCCTTTTTACTAGAGAAAAAGAAACAATTGCATTATTCATTGTTGTGGTTATTAATTAATTATATTACTGAGTAATTAATTCTGTGTCCTACTTGCCCTCTAAGTCTCTCGCTTTTTTCGTGTAAAAGAAGGAAACTCGATTTTCATTAGTTTTTTCGCCTGACGTCTATCTCTATATAAAGCTTAGTTACGGACTACGGTCATATCGTAAGCAAGCCGTCACAATGTAGTCCTATAATAAAACGTCAGCTGTGGCCTGTGAGCTCTTTCAAACTCACTGTAGATTAGTCTCGTTCAATAAAATACAAGGATATCACGTAAAATCTCTTGTTTCGAGTGTTCTTTCAATTCCGCTTTATCAAATTCTAAATTAATCAACCATTCATCAAACAAGCAAAGCAAGTTCGAACAATTGTGTGTAGGAAAAAATAATAATAACTAAATAGTTCAAAGACTAAATTGCTTCTCATGTATACACTAATTAAGTAGACGTACGTACAACGTTACACTACTGCCCTGGCGAGAAGAATCCTAAGCCAACTGAAAATTATCCTGCCTCAGTCCCATGGATCGAGCACCCTAAACCGGCCCGGTGCCACACCTGTGGCCGCTGCAGTTTCGTGGATGGAGGAATCGTTGGAGAGCCACGGGAAAACAATAGAAGCCTTCGCCGGCGTCGCTAAATCGGCCAGAGTCGCAACAGCCAACAAGACTCAGTTCTCGGCGAAGAAGCGGCAGGGCCCAGCGCCGGCGCAATCACGAGAGTCGCGGTTGGAGTATCATAAAATATAATATTATTTTTACCTAGAAAGAGAAAATAAAAAAGAAATAAACAACTTCCCTGGTTCGGTGTTATCTGGGTTGGCTGGCTACGGATTTTCGATTGGGTTTCCACAAATTCAATTAATACCACGTCAGCTTGCTACTGCCTACATGGTCCAATAGAATTTGGCTGCACCGGTGCCGCATTTTTAACAGCGGCACTGTAGCATTGGCCTTCCCGTCCCTCGCCTGCCGTCTTAGTTTTCCGATTGAACTTCTCTCTCCCGATTCTTCTCTTCATCTCCTCCACTGTTCAATATCTACTCTTCCTTTTCCTTTGTTCCTATTAATCGCAGGAAGAAATACAAAGCAAGCGGTGAATTGTTTTGGCAGAGAGTATTTGGCGAAGAGCATAAGGGCAGGGGCGGAGCTAGGATTTGACGTTCGGGGGGGCCGAAAATTATTTAATACTATTACCGCAGAAGGGTGATAAAAAAATTAAAAACTAAGCAAGACAATCAAAGTAAATTTTACTTTTATTAGTATTATGATTAATCATTTTAGATGATTAGAGTCAAAATATTGATGTAGAATAACTTATGAAAGGTCAAAATGGATAATTTTTCAGTGAAATAAAATTGCAAAGTGGTAAAAAACACTAAACTTGAAATTAAATGAGTCAAGAAATAATATTGAAATAATGAAATGAAGAAACCATAACATGAAACTTGAAAAATTAATTATATCTAATTAAATGAGTCAAGAAATAATAAATTTAAAAGAGTAATTGTGTAGATATATTAAAATAAAAAGCAAATAAAAAGTAACATAATTGCAGAGGGTGGGTATCGAACCCTCAACCAGTTGTATCATAACTCATGTACTCCCCGCTTGACTAAGCCTACTTTGTTTTAATAAATTTGCACACTAAACATATTAGCCCTTTGCTAGTTTTTACGAAATTTTCAAAATATCGATACAGTTTAGAAGTAACTTTCACGATTCTGGGGGGCCGGGCCCCCCCCCGAGACCAGCTGTAGCTCCGCCCCTGCATAAGGGCCGGCCATGTCAACCATAACTCAGCGGGGAAGCAGCTCAAAGTCCAAAGAAGAGCGCGAGATGCAGGCTGGCACTCTGCCAAAGGGCGAGTACGAGGTTTTCTTGAGCTTCAGAGACCCAGATGTTCGACAGACGTTTGCAGATTGTCTATACAGCTGGCTGGTTCGTTCAGGGATCCGAACCTTTCGTGACGAAGAAGAGCTCCACAAGGGGGAGATGATTGCCCCTTCCCTCGCTAAAGCTATCACCGAATCCAAGATCCACATCCCCATCTTGACAAAGGACTATGCTTCCAGTAAATGGTGCCTTCAGGAGCTGGCTAAAATGGTGGAGTGTCGGAAGCTAGGTAAAGGGTACATGATCCTCCCAATTTTCTACTTTCTGGACCCCAGGGATGTGAGGCATCCGCTGCAGAACGGTGCATACAGGGAAGCTTTTGAACAGCACAATCTGAAACATGACCCAGAAACCGTAAGGCGGTGGGAAGAAGCTCTCCAGGAGGTCGGCAAGATGAAAGGATGGCATGTAACTCGTTCAGACGGGTATGTACAGCAACCCACAGTTTTTGTTTCCATGGTCTCTCAAATTTGGGTTTGCATGTCTTATCAGTTACAGGTTTGCATATCAAGATGGTTAGTTTGTTGCTTGTTAGTTTTGGGTAGGAGAGGGAGGAGAGTATCCTGCTTTGATAGTGTGTATTAATCCATTCTCCTGAATTGTGATCTTCACATTGCGTGTTGATTCAGCTTTGCCCCTAGTTAGTGTATAACTGTTTATTCAATTTCCAGGCAGGGAGCTGTAATCGATCGAGTCGTCTCTGAAGTTGAATTGCATTTGAGGAGTCATTACACATTAGTAACTGATGTGTTGGTAGGAATTGATTCTCACGTAGGGAGAGTGACGGAATTGTTGAATATAGGTGGCTTAGGTGGGAAAATTGTTGGCATCCATGGTATGGGAGGCATTGGGAAAACCACCATAGCTAAGGCCGTCTATAACAAGGTCTGCACTAATTTTGATCGCTGTTGCTTTCTGGAGAACGTACGAGGAACGTTGTCAAAAGATGGAGGGGTTGTATCTCTACAAAATATGGTCATCAGCGGCATCCTAAGGAGTGCTCGTCAAGTCACAAATGCCAGCGAGGGAATCCATGTCATAAGAGAGAGAGTTTCTAAGTACAAGGTGCTCATTGTTCTTGACGACCTAGATGAAAACTTTGAGCTTGACCAAGTTTTGGGGAATTTAGGCAGTTTTCCTATAGAGAGTAGGTTCATTATTACGACAAGAGATCTTAGAGTTTTGGACTTGTTTGAAGAGTACAGCATATATGAACCTGGAGAGATGAGTTCTGATCATTCCCTTCAACTTTTCAACAGACATGCCTTCGGGATAGATCATGAGCCTGCAGAAGAGCAAGCACCTCTATCCAAGGAATTTGTGAAACTTGCAGCAGGGCTCCCTTTAGCTATTAAGGTCATTGGGTCTCTTTTGTATCGTAGAGATGAAGTGTTTTGGAAAGCCAAGTTGATAGAACTAGTAGAAGTAGGTCCAACCAAGGTGCATGAGATATTAAAAATAAGTTATAATGAGTTGACCCACCATGAGAAACAAATATTTCTTGATATTGCTTGTTATTTTGTTGGCGAGGATAAAGAATTGCCCATCTACATGTGGGGTGGTTGCAAATTCCATCCAGAAACTGCAATCAGTACTCTGATCTTTAGAGCCTTGTTGAAAGTTGATGAGAAAAACAGGTTCTGTATGCATGATCATATTAGAGATCTTGGTAGAGCCATTGTGAATGAAGAGGATGTTGAACGTCCAGGCAATCGTAGTAGACCAATACTATGCAGCGAAGACGCGTTGAGTATGCTAAAAAATGGAGAGGTATGTGTAAATTATTTGATTTTGTCGACATTTACTTTTCATTTTCACTCAGTAATATCGATGGTTACAATAATTTTTTTACAGTTTACCTCTTACTGAGAAAATTCTTCATCATGGGGGAAAAAAATGCTTTATGCAGATAACGGATCGGATAGAAATTCTTAGAATTGACATGACGGGTAAAGATCATTATGAGCTGACGAACAAAGAAGTCGAGAAATTATCCAGGTTAAGATATCTTGAGGTAAGAGGTGGACGATTGGTTGGAGATTTCAGTGGAAGTCTTCCAAATATGCACTGGCTTCGACTGCATATGTGTCGTTCAGTCCCGACTAATCTCAACCTGAAGGAACTGATAATCCTTGATCTGTATAATTGTAGTAGTTTAGCAGATGATTGGAGAGTGTGGGACAAGATTAAGGTGATTGGTCGTACAATTTCCTTTTTTCTTCTTCTTGTTCTCAGTTTCATTTCTCTGAAACAGATTTGCAACCATATTATGTACCATATGACTACCAAAAGATTGTCATTAACGCACTTTAGTCTTTCCAATTGCAGCTGGCTCACAGGCTGAAAGCTGTATGTGTATCATCGTGCTACGGAATGAAAAGAGCTCCTGACCTATCCCCATGTGCAAGTATGGAGCTGATAAAGCTTTCCTTTTGTCCTTCAATGGGTGGAGAACTGCACATTGGCAACATGAAGAATCTAAAATTGCTGGAGATAAACTCTACCAGAATAACAGGCTTAACAGGCGACATTGTAACGCTTCAAAGTTTGCGAGAGCTATATTTAAACAGCTATGGTTTAAGACAAGTCCCCACCGGAATGGTCAAATTGACGTCTCTGGAAAAGCTGCAACTGTCCTTAGCAAGTGTGACGGAATCACCACCACTACTCCCGACAAGCTTAAAGGCGTTATGCCTTTCATCATGCCCTAGTAAGCTTCCCAATCTTTTGGAGCTCAAGGACCTAGAGCACCTAAGCTTGAGAGCTTTTTCCCGCGAAATCATTCCTGGAGAGATATGTAAGCTATCCAAGTTGAAGACTTTGAGCCTTTCCAACTCTGAGGCAGAGCCTTTTGGTTCTGTTGTTGTGCTCCCTTCGTCACTAAACTCGCTTCGTGTTGGTTTCTGTGGGTCGCTGGAGAGGCTGCCGAATCTTGGCAATCTGAACAATCTGATGGAGCTGAGTCTTCTGGATGTTGGGGTTTATGAGATTAGAGGACTTGGAGAGCTCAGAATGTTGGAAACTATGAGTATACGAAAGGCCCCGAATCTGAGTAATCTTGATGGCCTTCAAAGCCTGCTGCTTCTCAAGAAACTGAAAATCTATGGATGTCCTGCACTAGAGAAACTACCCAGTGTTGCGAATCTGTCCAATTTACACAGATTATATATCCGTAGCTGTCAGCTCATCTCCGAAATACAAAGCCTGGCTCCACTTCGACAGAATTTAACATCTCTGGAAATAGACGGTTGTCCAAGATTAGATATCTGTGATTCCATTCAGTCTCTGGAATCACTTCGAAGACTGAACTTGACATGCTGTCGTTGGTCAGTAGAGACACTATTACCTCACTTGTCCAAGTTGCGCAAACTGAGCAGCTTAACCATCGGGGAAGGCACACAGGTACGAGTTCTAGACCTCTCTTGTCTTGATGTTCATTCTAATTTGAAACAGATCATGGTTTACAAGTTCACAGAGATGACCGAGGTTCGGGGACTCGAGGGTTTAGCCTCGTCTTTAGAATCGCTAGGTTTGTCATGCTGCAATTCAATTCAGAAGCTCCCTGATGTATCTGGATTGAAGAAATTGGCGGACCTGAGAGTTCACAGATGCCCACGGCTGACCCAACTTGATGGGGTCGAGATGCTGGAATCGTTGCAAAGGTTGGTTGTATCAGATTGCAATTCGGTTAGTACTCTGCCAGATCTATCAAGGCTCAAGAAGCTGAGCTTCTTGAACATTAGTGAATGCACCAATTTGGTTGACGTACCAGGGCTCGAGAGGCTGGAGTCGTTGCAAGAGCTAACGATGACATGCTGCACATCGATAAAGAAGTTGCCGGATCTATCAAATCTCAAGAAGCTGAAATTGGGGTGTACAAACTTCCCAGGGGTTACAGGATTCGAGGGACGAGAGTGGTCATCAGAGCTGACATCGGCACTTCTAGAGCATGAAACTCGGCGCCGAGAATCAGAGAGAAAAGGAGAAGCAAAGAAAAGGAAATGGCTGGCTAGACACTGGAAACTACTAATACGGTACATTCGGAAGGGGGCTCTAACGAAGTAACTTCGACGTGAAGGTTCACTTTTAGTCGTACTGAAGTCGAGAACTGGCTTGTGTTCAGATCAACAGCTTCACCAACTTGCTCCATGTAACTAAATTCGTCGCAAACAGAAATGTAACGAAATGGTCATTTCATAAGTTAGGGCAAAACATGAGTTAATGATGTTATGTTAAATACCTGACACAAGCAACTGTTAGTGACCTCTAAACATATGTGAACCACTTATGCATTTCTACACTACTACATGGGACTTAGCCCCTTCATCAATAGTTCATATATAAAACTAGGAACAACAAAAAAAAAAAAAAAAATTGGACAAAACTGGATACATGCAATTGAATAGAAGGACAAAGAACTGAACTGGCCATGAATCAATTACAATTTGGCCATTGTGGTCTAATACTGAATTTACAAATACATAGAAGGGCAAACCCAACAAGAATTGGCACAAATGACTCTACAATCCAACCCAAGTACCCCAAAAAATCCACATAGTACAAGTTTTTAACACTTTACAAGGTTGATTTAAGCGTCATGTTTGCATAGGTTCTCAAATCCCATGTACTCTTGTCGTTCAATTTTCCCGATCATGTTGGATATGCCAACACCACCTGAACAGAAGATCATATAGAGAATAATGAGCAGTATTAGAAGGGTTGAAGTGTAAAACAAAATATAGGGTCATTCACGGCTCAATTACACAAACGGTCATAAACTTTTAGTTGCTAACAAAACAGTCGCGCTAAAGATTGAAATAGCTAATACAATAGTCACTTCCATCTACGAACGAGATTACTTTAATGTTAGCTATTCCATAGTTAACTAAGTGACAGGTTTGTTAAAAACCAAAATTTAGTGACTGATTTGCTAGCAAACCCCAAGTCAATGACCATATATGTGATCATGTAAAATTATAGGACAGAGAGATCTCACCTAGAGAGATTGCACTGACGAATATGGTGAATGCTAGAATGAAGATGATCAGAGACGACCTTCCTAGTACGATGATCAATTTTTTCACGACGTGCTGCCCCACAATTGCAGCAACCGTTGCTACGGCAAAGAAGTAGACAGCTGCAGAAGAAGGAAAATAGTGAAATGAAGGTAAGCTCAAGCGATGGAAATCTGGAGGAGAGGAACTTCAGGAGAAGCAATGTATACCATATGGAACAGGAAAACGATTGAGGAGGTAGTATTCTACAACAGACATTGATGAGGAGAAAGTCATTGCAAATGTTGCAGTTGCACTTGAAACCTGCAAACAAATTCCATCAAAAAGGATATGACACCATGGTTTTCACCATGAACCACCTTTCTAGTTGAGAAATCAGCATCAAAGAAGAAGAAAACTCACCTGAGGAGGTATCCCTAGCTCCAAAAACAGTGGGCCCATTATGAATCCACCTCCTAGTCCAAGAAGCCCACCTACGACTCCAGCCAAGATACCGCAGGCACAGTAAGTCACAAGCTGGTGAACTTGCAAGTTTGTGCCTTGGTCTCCCTTGGATGCAATCATCCTGTGTCCTTTGTAGAGACTGAAAGCCTCATAGCCTGAGACACCAAGTGACACTGGGATCTGCACAAACAAGGGAGAGGTAAGACTCATCCCATCTTACCGAGCAAACTCGGCAGAAATAAAAATGATCACTTTGTCTTAATACCTGCAACAGGTTCAATACCCAGTAGTTTGCAGAGCAAGTAGCCATACCATTCTGCCAAAACAAAGTTACAATAATTTACAAAGGGCTTCTTGATAGAATCGGCAGTACAAATGTTACGAGGATTAACAGAAGAAGAAAATACCTTTGCAATCTGCAATATTAGGAATGCAACCCAAACAAATACAAGAAGCCCAAGTTCCTTCCAACAAACATTCTCTGCAATTGAAACCTGTAAGAAATAAAATCATTAGAAGAACGTCTCTGAAGGAACCTACCTCCAAATTGAAGGGGGTGGCTCTAACTCGCCTCTGCTTCATTGGTGCCCTTACGAGGGCCACTCGGAAGAGGCCTGTATGCATTATCCCCAGCACCATTACCTAATAGAATCACAGAAAAACAATCTGTCAAGCTCTGGGCTACCATAAAACCAAGATAAGGCAAAGATACACCATAAATTAATAATGAGTAAATAAGCAGCAACTCACCGGTTGACTCAAGACGCCTAGCAGCCTCCTGTTACAACAAGGAAACTTCTCTCAGTCAGAACAGAACTCATTCATGAATTGATAAAATGATGTAGTGAGAGCTTACCTTCTTCATCATTGTCTCCTTTTTCCATGTTTCGACGCCCTTCAAGAATGCTTTCGATGATGTGACTAAACCATGAACGATCAATTAGCCAAAAAGCGATGCACAAATGCAGAATAACCAACAATACTATCTCAAGAGAAGATTTATTACCTACAAACAGAACAATAAGCAGGACAGTAACCATCCAGTCGGCGAAGATGACATTAAAAGTCACACCAATACTAATTCCTAGCATAAGCATGGGCTGGATGAGTAGAGCTAAATCGTAGTCAATGATTGGCATGTCAAGCGTAGGATGTCGTAGTCTAAGATTATAGTACACAGTTGATGCAGCCGCACCCATTATCATACCTAAACGACAAGAAGATGGTCATAACCACATTCATTAATTCAATTAACTTCAGCAACGCCACTTAATCTAAGCTTTACTGTCAATCCAAAACAGGCAATCTTACATTTAGAGATTGCAGTTGACGATTTGGGATCAAACCCAACAATCAGGCTAAGCATAGGAACGAAAATGCCACCTCCACCAACGCCACCCACACTCCCAAATGCTGCTCCCAAGAATCCGACAGTTGTACCCAGCACTATTTGCCATCCAAATTCCAGTTCCTGTACAGTCAACACCAACCAACCTCATTCATTTTTAGAACTACCCATCAAGTGTGGATTAAGATGAGGGCAAGAAGGCAATCATCATGGTAGGAAGCAAGTCCCTTTCTGTACAGAAATGGTTAAAGACAAAACAAAGGAATCCCCGAATACAAAACTCCAAAAGGAAATGGAGTAGTGAGTTTAGTAGTAAAAATGGACCTTTTTTCCTCATTATTAAACAATCCAATTCGAATCGAAGTCTGGAGTATTTAAACCATTAAACAATCAAAATCATTGCTTAAATAACAAAACAATTGAAGTCACCTGACATATTGGCAATAAACAATGAAGAGGGCATCTGGAGATGACATGTTCATCAAGTCCAGCCAAAAAGGATGCCATTTTTTCATTGGGGGAAAGGAGCGGGTGGGTAAGGCCATAGCCCAAAAGGGGATGAAGAACAATGTACAATCATTCAATGATTTTGGATATGAACAGTCAACTACGCTTTGGACGGAAGAAAGAAACAAAAAAAGGGGAATGAGAAATGACTGCATCCTTACCGGCCAGACGCGCTGATAACCTGTTCGACCATTTTCCCAAAAGAAATCCGACGCCTTAACGAGAAACCCAGAGACAGGATTCTGCTCTTCCGTCTCTTCCAATCTGAAACGTCTGTCCGCCGAGACAAACACGACTGCGAACACCAAATTCAATAGAACCGTCGACATCGAGCCCAAAATCCGCCGCCTCGCTCCGCGTTCCGCCATCGGGTAATTCCACGGACAGAAATTGGTAGTTGAAATTCCGGGCGACGAGGCTAGCTGAAAAACCAAGACAGATTTTGAATCTCCGGCGACTTTGGGCGAGACTTCGTTGTCCACTTGGGAGGAAGGCGAAGTCAAAAGGAGAGAACGTTAAGGAGAAGAAATTTAGAGCGGAGGGAAAGCGGGTAACGCTTTAAGCGAAAGATTTGGAGCCCGCAAACTCTGGGGATCCTCAGATGGAAATGGAAGAGAGATTACAGGCCGCGTTTGTTTCCCGGGAAAGCGATTGGGAAATTTTTTGCGTGCGCGCGCGAGAAAATTGTACGGGAGTGGGGATTTGAGGAAGAACATTGAGAAATGTGGTAGCTTTGGATCGGATCGGATCGGGCTCAATAATTATTTATTGGGCTGGTCCAAGCCGCTGAGCTGGACTTATGGGGTTTCTGAATTCTCTTTGATTTATCCACCGGAGGAGTTGTTGGACTCATGTGGCAAGTTGGAATCTGCATTATTGGGCTGCTCTGCTGGGCCTTTCCAAGTTTCGAAACTCCTGAGAGAAAATAACATGAATCTTTGATTGCGGAAATTTTCTACTGTCAATTAAGTGGTATGGTAATGGTATCTAAATTATTAATTTGTTTATTCATGATACATCGACTTGTTTAGGCTGATAAATGTTGGTTGAATATATTATTAACAATGATATTACATCTAATTGTGGAACCAAGAAATAACGAACTACAAGTTTGGATAATTAACTAGGCATCATATTTGCAAAGGTTCTCAAATCCCATATACTCGTGCCGTTGAATCTTTCCGATCATGTTCGATATGCCTACACCACCTGTGAAATTGAACCACGATGGTCACACTCTATCTCAGTGTTTTTCAATGCTTAATTTCTAATCACATTGCACGTTCAATAATTAAAAAGAAAAAAATGCTTTGTGAATAATTAACTCACCTAGTGTGATAGCACTGCCGAATACAATGGCTGCTAGAATAAAGATGATGATGGATGCCCTCCCGAGAAGACTAACCACCCATCTCAACACATGCTGTCCTACATAAGCAGCCATCGTGGCCACGACCGTCAAGTAGAGAGCTGCGTGGTATCAGAGATTTCGATAAACAAGAAAGATCATAATCAGTTCGAAAACCTCGTACTAACTTCAATGTTGAACTCGAAGTACTACACGAACGAACTTGATTTATCATCTTTCACGTACCATAGGGGACCGGGAAACGATCTAGGAGGTAGTACTCCACAACAGACATGGATGAAGAGAAGAGCATTGCAAATGTGGCAGTTGCAGTTGCAACCTGCAAAACAAAAATTTTGAATAACACTTGTTCAATTGGCTTCAGGGCAAGAACAGAGAGGAATTCATGGTTTTTTTTTATGGACCTGAGGAGGAACTCCAAGCTCCAGGAAGAGCGGGCCCATAATGGACCCTCCTCCGACTCCAAGAAGCCCAGCCACAATTCCAGCCAGCATCCCGTAGGCCCCGTAGCCCAAAAGCTGGCCCAACTTTAAGTTTGTGCCACCAGGTTCATCCCCAGCTGATGCAATCACTCTGTGGCCTTTGTACAAGGTTACAGCATGGTACCCTGATGCACCAACTGCCACTGGGATCTGCACTTGTAGAATGAAATCAACTGTATAATTTTAGTACGTCGCATAAGATACATTATTGAACCTGTCTCAACATATCGAACGAAGGGGGAAAGTAAAGACTTTTCGGATGAGTTGTTAGGACTCGAAAATCCAATACTAAATTGCTCCTATATCATGGTATTGTAGTTGATTACAAATCTGTTGGTTCAGTGGGATTATCGTTACCTGAAAGAAGTTGAGCAACCAATAGCTTGTAGAGCAGGTGCTCGCGTGACTCTGCAAGGAACAACACAAAAGAAATGGTGTTTCATAATTATTGCGTAGGGGGATGCCACGAAATCGTGTGACTCTCATGGTAGGTCGTGACCCTCGTTCCTCTTTATGTCTCATTTGGAGATGTCACGAAATGGGAGGAAAAGTCACGGTCTGGGTCGTGACTCTCAAAGTCAGACCGTGACATTTAGTTTGAGTTATGAACAAAATATAATATCACGGTTGGAAAGTCACGACCGTGAATATAAGTTGGATGAAGAAAGAAAATCAAACCTTTGCAATCTGGAGGAGGAGGAATACAACCCAAACAAGCACAAGCAGTCCAAGTTCTTTCCAGCGTACATTCTCTAGAATCGAAACCTGTCGTGTGTGGTGCTACATTATCTAGAGATACTTTCTACAAATCATATCTTGGTACAAAAATGAAGATATGGTAGATGTGGAACTCTACTGCTCACCTCTGTTTTATGAATGTCGTTTTGAGGGTCACCACGAAGAGGTTTGTACTCGATATCCCCTTCATTAGCATCTAGTAAGATCAAATATACAAAACAATCCAAATAAGAAATTAAATCCAAATAATAACGAATCACCCAACAACTAGCATCATCATGATCACTATTACTTAACTAAGATTTTGAATTTAAGCTTGACAATGTGAAAACATTCGAATAGAGATAATATTCCATCTTTACATTTGACTAACTAAATTTGAATGATGTAGTTAACTTAGAATACATTTACTCTAACTCGATAATAACGAAATGATATGAGATGGAAGGATGAGTAACTCACTATTCCTTGATTCAACTTGCCTAGCCTCTTCCTGCAATGAAACAACCTAGTGAAAACCCTCAACCCTAAACGAACCATAAAGTAAACAACTTGTCTAGCACCCTCAATTGTTTTTTTCACTCCCACTTTGACACTTTCTATACGTAGCAGATCAAGGGTGAAAAAGATAAATAATACTTTTTCCAATCACAAAGTCAACAAAGCTTTGTCGAAATCAATAACTCGAGTTGTCTAAAATGATATCCTACAGAAGTCGCTTACCCTTCTAATCGCCGTTTCCTTCTTCCATGTCTCAACTCCCCTCAAGAACGCCTTTCTTGATGTTGCTATGAGAGTTAGCAATCCATTAATCAATTATATCAATGAATGCAGGCGTAAATGTAAAAGAAAGGAAAAAAACCAGCTCTAGAGTGAAAATGTGAAGTTGTAAACAGTAATTTCCTTTTTTTTTACCAATGAACAAGAAGATGAGAAGAACGGTGACCATCCAGTCGGCGAAGATGACATTGAAAGCGACGCCGAAGCTGATTCCGAGCATGAGCGTTGGCTGGAGAAGAAGGGCCAAGTCGTAGTCGATGATCGGAATGTGACTGATGGTGGGGTGCCGGTGCCGGAGGTTGTAGTACACCGTCGATATCGCTGCCCCCATTATCATACCTAACCCAACAACAACACAAACAACAATTTTGAAAAAATAAAACTAAACGACCTACACCAATAGTTCATACGAAATCACGAACAACGCTTTGATCTAGTGGTAACACCATTAAAGGTAATACGAGATCATGAACAACGCTATGATCATATAACTAGTAATATTATATAATTCGTATTAAGTGTGGTAAAACACGAGATTTTGAAAGGTTTTATTTGTTTATATTTTGGAATGTGTACTCCATCCTTTCCCCGGTCAACAAATTGGTAACATACTAAACATTGCAGAAAAAGTAGAAAAATTGAGACAAAAATAAGGAGAGGCGTGTTGCTGTTTTACATTTAGAAATAGCAGCGGCGGATTTAGGATCAAATCCAACGACGAGAGTCAGCATAGGAACGAAGATGCCACCGCCGCCCACCCCGCCGGCGCTCCCAAACGCCGCTCCCAAGCTCCCGATTATGCCCGCCGCCACTGCCTTCCACCCCAATCTGAACTCCTGCACCAGCCACACAATAAAGGGATATCCAGAGAATCAGAGCTGCATATAACAGATAAAAGTAAGGTGGGGGAGAAAGTAAATTAAAGTACCGGCCAGACGTGCTGGTAGCCACCAATTTGCTCGGATTGCCAAAACGAGTTAATCACCGGCGGCGGCGGATTGGCAAAATACCCATCACCGGCGGCGGTGAGATCAGTAAGAAAGTGGTAGTCTTCCATTTCGTGGACTACCCTTTCAGCTGGCAGCCTCAACCGTCCTTCCGCCGACCCAAACGGCAACAAAAAGCAGTAGACGTAGATTATCACGACTGCCGCCGGAGTAGTCTTTCGCCGTAGCCGTCCATCTCGGAGCCCCGCCGCCGCCGTCATGATCGGATTGAATCACGCCCACCGCCGGCTGCCTGAAGCCCCTCCTCTGTTTTTCGTCAATGAAAGCAGGGGACTCTGTTCGCTAGAGAGAGAAGAATAAAATTGAAAGCTTTTGAGAACCAAGCATTTGAGAGATGATAATTGGGGCAGTTGAGATGATGTATCGTTGTTGATCATGAAAAAGACGTTATGATGATACAGGGCCTCTCGTGAATCATTTGTACTTCGAGGTTATCAGACTTGAAGATGAGTAGAGAGTTGCAGAAGAAGAAAGTCTTGCAGCAGAGGAATCCGAGAGAGCTCAGGATTCAGTTGAAGTAAACAGAAGAAATGAAAGGATGAAGACGGCGTCGTTTACTGAAGACGCAGCCGTATTACAGAGACACTTACTACGTTTTATTTCTACGATGTCGTTTCCTTTATTACTTAGTTAGCCGTTAAGAAGAACTGTTTAGTTTTATTAATGGCCTGTAAACGTTGGACAAGTGGCATATTTCTGTAATTCTGTTTGAACACTATATATATATGAAAATGGTGAACTCAGAAAACTCTGAGCTTCATCTTCCCCATTTCCAGCTAAATTATTATGGTATCAGAGCGGAAGTTCTAGGGCACCTCAAACCCTAGCGCCGCAGCCGCCACAATGGCGAACACTCCTCCAAACACGCCCGGTGGTGCTGCTGCATCTTCAGGAACGGGTTCTGGAGTACAATTTGGAAGTTTCAACCAGGAGACACAGCAACCAGAAACAATTGTCTTTGGTAACCCATTTTACCTCAACCCAAATGAGAATATGTGCCAATCTTTGGTTTCTGAGTTGTTTGATGGCACAAATTATACAATGTGGAGTAGATCCATCCAAGTTGTTCTGAAAACCAAGCATAAGCTGGGTTTTATTGATGGAAGCATACCCATTCCACCACGCGGCTCAGATCGCTTCACCTTGTGGGATGCTTGTAATACCCTAGTTTTATGCTGGATTCAGAATTCTATGAACAAGGATCTTAAGAGAGCTATGCTAACCCACACTAATGCTAAGGCATTATGGGATGAACTAAAGAGGCGTTTTGGTCAGCCAAACGCTCTTAGAATCATCAACATTGAGGATGAGATAGCTGCTTGTAAACAGGGTACTAAGACCATTAACCAGTATTATATCCAGGTGAAAGGTCTTTGGGAAGAATACCTTGATTACAGCCCAGTGGTTCCTTGCCCCTGTGCACCAGGAAACCCACTTCCATGTCCTGCAGTAGCAGCTTTTATACAGAAACAGGAAACTGATTACTTAATCAAGTTTCTTAGAGGTCTTAACCCAGATTATGAAATGGTGAAAACCCAGTTGCTGATGCAGAAACCTTTGCCTACAGTCTCTACTGCTCTTGATGATCTACTGCAGCATGAACAGAAACTCAAAGGAGAAGGACAGTCTGGCAGTAAAAAGTCACAATCTGTGGCTCTAGCAGTTGGAGGTGGACAACAGAGTAAGGGAACTGAGGACTCAGGTCAAGGCAAGAAGTATTGCAGATACTGCAAGAAAACAAATCATTACATTGAGGATTGCTGGATTTTGAAGAAGAAGAATTCTGATCAGAAGGAGAAATCTAGCAATTCAGGTTCTAATTCGAGTTCCAGCTCCAGTTCAAATACTCCAAGGTTTGCTGGTTCAGTGGTTCAGAATTCTGCTGCAGAAACTCAGTCTGAGGGAAGTTTAAGTGCTGAGAGCAACATGGTACCCAATCCACCTGGATTCACAGCTGAAGAAATGAATCGTTTGAGATATATGTTGCAAATTGGTGCTAATTCTTTCCCCTCACCACCAACCTCTCCAACTATCAACCATCAAGCCTATTCTGTTTCTCAGTATTTACCTGCCTATCCAAACCATTCAGGTAAATACACTTTATCTTCCTTTAAACCTAGCCCTTCTCATTTACATGACTTGTGGATTTTAGATACAGGAGCATCTGATCATATAGCCTGTAGCTTATCCCTTTTCACAGACTACAAGTCTATCCCAAATTCCTTTGTTAACCTTCCCAACAACACACAAGTACTAGTTACACACATAGGAACAGTTACTTTACCTACTGGAATAGTACTTTCTGATGTCTTATGTGTGCCTAGCTTTACCTTTAACCTAGTTTCAGTAAGCAAGCTTACACATGATCTACCTGTCTCCTTACTTTTTCAATCTGACCATTGTTCTATCCAGGACCTTCTAAGTCAGAGGAAGATTGGTTTAGCAAAAGAAACTAAGGGCCTCTACCATCTCACTTTCCCATCTACTCAACAACCAACCTCCAGTTCACCTACTCAGCCTCATGTAGCCACACTTTTCAACTTCAATCCTCACCAACTAGAGCTGTGGCATTGGAGACTAGGGCATCCCAGCCATGAAAGATTGAACCTGCTTAGCCATAGTTCTCCTAATGTAACTAGTTCTAGGACAAAACACTGTGATGTTTGTCATTTATCCAAACACAAACGTTTGTCTTTTCCAATTAGCACCAATGTTGCACCAAACAGATTTCATTTGCTTCATGTGGATATTTGGGGTCCATTGTCAGTTACTTCTTATGATGGATTCAATTACTTTTTAACTGTTGTGGATGATTTCTCACGTGCTGTATGGGTGTATCTGATGAAACATAAGAGTGAGGTTAGAGGTTTGCTGGAAGGGTTTTGCAATCTGGTTAAGAACCAGTTTGGTACCACAGTTAAGGTCATCAGAAGTGACCAAGGGAAAGAATTTGCTATGTGTGATTACTTCCTGCAAGAAGGTATTGAGCATCAAATGAGTTGTGTAGAGACCCCTGAGCAGAATGCTCGTGTAGAAAGGAAACACCAGCACATCTTGAATGTGGCTAGGTCATTGAGGTTTCAGTCAGGGATTCCACTTACCTTTTGGAGTGACTGTATCCTGCACTCAGTCTATCTCATTAACAGGATTCCCACACCCATTCTAGCCAATAGATCACCCTATGAAGTTCTGTATGACAAATCACCCTTTCTTTCTCATCTTAAAGTGTTTGGCTGTCTGTGTTATGCCAGCACTTTGTCCCATGGAAGAACCAAGTTTGCACCTAGAGCTAGACAGTGCATTTTCTTGGGAATTCCTTCTGGAATTAAAGGCTACAAAGTCTTAGACCTACACACCAAACAGGTCTTCTTTTCTAGAGATGTGATCTTCTATGAGAACATCCTGCCCTACAAACTTTCTGAACCACCCATTTCCACTTCTGTTTCCCCTGAACCTTCCTATACACCACCAACTTCCAGTTCTGCTCCACCTATTTCTATACCTTCCACATCCTCTTCTCACCCTTCTTCCTCCCATACCAGCCCTGCACCAGATAATACTTCATCTCCTTTATCTAGACAGTCTCAACTTGTTTCATCTTCTGATGAAGGGGGGACTAGTGAGCCTGTTTTACATCCTGTAGTGGATCATTATGAGTACTTTGATAGTGATCAACAGGAACTTGTATCTCAGGCTGATCATGATTTAGATGAGCATAATGCTGAAGGCAGTTCTTTACCTAAGAGGAAAGTTAACTTGCCATCCAAATTTCAGGATTATCAACTGGATCCTTCCCTCAAATTTGGAGCCTTTGGTAAAGCTAATGCTTCTACCAGGTATCCACTCTGCCTAAATGTTGATAAACTGAACTCAACTGACAGACATTATGTTCTGAGTGTGATTAATATGCAAGAACCCAGATCATATTATGAGGCAATTCAGGATGATATCTGGAATCAAGCAGTGAAGTCTGAGATATTTGCTTTGGAGGAGAATCAAACCTGGGATATTGTAGAGCTGCCAAGGGGGAAGAAAGCAATAGGAAACAAATGGGTCTTTAAAATTAAACTCAAACCAGATGGCTCACTTGAGAGGTGTAAGTCAAGACTTGTAGCTAAAGGTTTCAATCAAGTATATGGAATTGACTTTTTGGACACTTTCTCACCTGTTGCTAAGATTAACACAGTCAAAGCACTGTTAGCAGTAGCTAGTGTGAAGAATTGGGTTTTGGAGCAGTTAGATGTTTCTAATGCTTTCTTACATGGAGAATTGCATGATGAAGTGTATATGAAGATTCCTCTGGGAGTTGAAGTGTCTAATCCAGAAGGAAAGAATCTAGTTTGTAGACTGAAAAAGTCTTTATATGGGCTTAAACAAGCCTCCAGGCAATGGTTTGCTAGACTTGCAGGTTTTCTTCTCAAGAATGGTTTCTCTCAATCAAATTCTGATTACTCCCTTTTCTCTAAATGGGTACATGGAAGAGTAGTTGTCCTGTTGGTGTATGTGGATGATATCATCCTGGGAGGAGATGCACAAAAGGACATAGAGCAGGTTAAGTTGGCTCTAAGCAAAGAATTTAAGATCAAACTGCTAGGACCTCTCAAATATTTTCTGGGTTTAGAGGTTGTCAGAAATGATCATGGTCTTGATGTATGTCAGAGAAAGTATTGTGTTGAACTTTTGAAAGACACAGGTTATTTGGACTCAAAGGGTTGTAAGACACCTATGGATACTAAAGTGAAATTGTCTGCTCAAGGAACACCAATGGAAGATGGAGAAGCTTATAGAAGACTGGTTGGCAGGTTGCATTATTTGACTATTACCAGGCCAGACATTGCCTTTGCTGTGCAGCAGCTTTGCCAGTACCAGAAGAATCCCTGCCAGGAACACATGCAAGCTGCTTACAGGGTTTTGAGGTATTTGAAAACATCTCCAGGGCAAGGGATTCATTTCAGCAGTAAGAATGATCTTAAGTTGGCTGGTTACTGTGATTCAGACTGGGCAAGCTGTCCAGATACTAGAAGATCAACAACAGGATACTGCACTTTCTTTGGTGAATCACTGTTGACCTGGAGAACAAAGAAGCAAACTACAGTATCTAGATCCTCCTCTGAAGCAGAATATAGAGCTTTGGCTCATGTGGTATGTGAAGTGCAGTGGCTGAAACAACTCTTAATGGAGTTAACAGTGAAGGTACCTCTACCTATCCCTATCTTTTGTGACAACAAATCTGCAATCTATATTGCAGAAAATCCAGTGTTCCATGAGCGGACAAAGCACATAGAAATAGACATACATGTGACCAGGGATCGAATTAAGAGTGGGTTGATCAAACTACAACATGTTGGAACTGCTAACCAGCTAGCAGATCTCTTTACTAAAGGACTTGACAGGTTTCGAATGAAGGAATTACTGATCAAGTTAGGTGTCACCAACATGTTGGAGCCACTAACTTGAGGGGGGATATCAGACTTGAAGATGAGTAGAGAGTTGCAGAAGAAGAAAGTCTTGCAGCAGAGGAATCCGAGAGAGCTCAGGATTCAGTTGAAGTAAACAGAAGAAATGAAAGGATGAAGACGGCGTCGTTTACTGAAGACGCAGCCGTATTACAGAGACACTTACTACGTTTTATTTCTACGATGTCGTTTCCTTTATTACTTAGTTAGCCGTTAAGAAGAACTGTTTAGTTTTATTAATGGCCTGTAAACGTTGGACAAGTGGCATATTTCTGTAATTATGTTTGAACACTATATATATGAAAATGGTGAACTCAGAAAACTCTGAGCTTCATCTTCCCCATTTCCAGCTAAATTATTAGAGGTTGGAGGCCCGTTCTTCGTTTAGCTCGTTGACATCATGATGTTTCGCCTCACCATTATGTCTCACTTTCACATGTATTAATTGGAGGCAATAAGAAGAGGATAACATAAAATAAAGCCATGAATTTTGTTTTCAGATTTTGCAAAAAGAAATCTTGGTAATGGATGTGAGATTTGTGTTTTAGAAATAGTGTGATTTCATACCAAATTATAGGGGGTGGGCAACCGGTAAACCCGAATCGAACCGAAACCGAATTAAACCGAATCGAAACCGAATTAATGCTATTTGGTTCGGAATTCGGAAAGAAAATATGGATATTTTGGAAACCAGGGTTCTTTCAACCGAATCGAAATTCCGAATTTCCGGCCGAAAAACCGACATACTATAATTGCAAGCTCCAAATGGTGGATTTTTATGTTTGTAGTTGTTTTTATACTTAAATATTTGAAATATTTTATGACTCATATGTTGAATACTTTGATTTTATCATTGATGATGCATATAATTGCATATTTATTATTTATATTAGGGGTGGAAAATAATTTAAAAGTGATAATGTACAAGTAGCCTCTCAAATTCCGTTTGTGTGCAAAACCGAACCGAACCGAATTATAATTCGGTTCGAATTCGGTTTGAGGTTTGGCAGAATTCGGGGATCTGGTATTCATAATTTCGGTTCGGTTTCGAATGCCCACCCCTACCAAATTATATATAGACGGTTTATGGTCTAGATCGAGAAGTTGGAGTATGGATGAGAGACCAGCCTAAATATTACACTTTTCAGACCAGATTACATCTGTGTAATCTAGTTCGATACGGTCTGAATCATGCATACCACATTAAACGAGAAAAATGACAAACTTGTTTAGTCAACCACACGAATCCATCTTTTTCTTGAAACATAAAATTCCAACACCCGGTGAGTTCTACCCAGGAATGCTCGGTTGTAGCCTCTGGTGCTGTTATTTGGATAGCTTGCCATTAGTGTCCCTGTCAAGGTAAAGTTAGTTCTCCTTTTCTGATCGATGGCCCTATTCGATCCAAAAGCCAATCTTCACGATGAGCTTTTTATTCATCTCTTCCTTGTTGTTATCAAGTGCAGTTGAGTTGGTACTGGAGAAACATCCATGATGAGGTGCTGATATTTGGTCAATTTGTAGTAGACATTAGAGAAGGTAAGCAAGCAAGCAACATCATAAAGTTTGATTCTTTTCAGCCATGGAAGAAGTTGGATCTTATTATTCCGTCCAAAAGCTTTCTGAAAGTATCGACCAGTGAAATTTTCATGGCCATTTTTGGTACTGCAAACAGGTAAGGGAGGCAGCACAATCTTGAGCAGGTAACCTGGGTCAGAGTGTGAACCATATTGCACCCCTGCTCCTAATGAAGGCGATGAAGTATCGTATTTGACTGGGAATTCAAGGAAGAAGTGCAAGCACAGAGCCACCAAGCTTGGTGTGTTCTGAACAAGTTTGCATATTGATGTGGAACTGGAGCCATGAATTCTGCATGTATAGTTTTACACAAATCCACTACAAGAACATTGTTGCAGTTAGATGAAAATGTGAAATGGTTTGGACTTTGGATTGATAAAACAGCACTGATATAGGTCTGTTGGCTTCCCAGTAAGCAAAGAAAGCAGTTATAAAAAGGAAAACAAAAGTATCAGAGCCTGGTTTCGATCCAGGGACCTGTGGGTTATGGGCCCACCACGCTTCCGCTGCGCCACTCTGATAATTATTGTGAGTTCTCTTCATTTATGTTATCCTAACCTTTAATAAAAAACCAACTATTGATCAAATAACTGGGAAGAATACAAGACACAAAGAGCAGGTTAGAAATTGGAGAAATCAAGCAATTCATAGAGTTTAACAAGTTCAACAAGCAATCAAGCAATCGATATTTCACAAAGTTTTCGTATTAACACAATTGAGGATGCAGTACCATCTGTGATAGGCGGTTCTTATATCTCGTATTAACAATCAAAAGAAAATAGTATTTAACAGTACAAATTTCACTTCATCCAAATTCGGATTCGGCAAATTTTCATCAACAGATGCGAAAGAAGAACTGGATTCGCAAGAATATCAGTAGGGTCACAGATGGAAAGGCCTTCTTTCAATATCTACAACACAAAGTTTCCCTCTGCCTGCCCCCCTTTGCCAAAATGCAGATACAAGTAAAAATGCGTGAAAAAAAAGATTCTTTTGTTTGATGTCCATGTACCATCTTTTCAGTTCAGGAATCCCACTGTACAAGGCTGTGCAAGCTGACCATATACACCACCGCAACGCACCACCTGGCACTGCTTCGGACACACAACCCTCGACGACGACCTCGACCCGAATTTACAGCTGTAAGAAAGATTCACCTGTTTAGTCCCAAGCCACGAGCATTCCGTCGAAGGAGGAGAATCAGCAGTCGGGTCTCTCAGCACGATCCTACCACCTTTCTTAAGCGATCCAGACGACCCTGTTGCGATTTGCTTCTGATACAGTTCCTCTAGGCTTTCTTCTTCTGCTTCTGCTGCAGCAGATTCCTTTGTTAGTCCACTGGCAGACCATGCTTCCGAGACAAGCAATTGGGTTGACTTCTCGGGCTCGACCCCAGACTCTCTCATGATTTGGAGGACCTCTTCTGCCTTCCATGGCTGTTTGGCTTCCCCGTATCCCCAGATTAAGGTCTCAAATGTCTTCAGATTGGGAGAGATACCGTATTCACGCATCTGGTTGTAAACCCTCATTGCAGAATCCATTCTGCCAACACTGCACCATCCGCTGATGACAGTTGTGAAGTTCACGACATTCGGGGGGATTCCTGATTCGATCATGGATTTAAAGACCTCTTCCGCTTTCTCTGGCTTACTTGCACGAGCATAGCCTTTGGCAAGAATGCTGTATGCATGTGCATCGGCTTGAATTCCTGCATTCACCATGTCATCAAAGATTTCCCTGCACTTGTCCATGTACCCTGCTGTGCTCCATGCGTTCATCATAGTACTGAATGTAATGACGTCAGGTTTCACGTTGAATTTTTTCATCAACTCTAGGACCTGCAGATTAATACAACCACAGATTAAACCCAGATAAAAATATAGATTGGGTGGGTTTCTTTAGCAAAAGAGTTACAAAAAGAACTAGTGCATGTGCATCAGTACAGTTTAATATTAAGGACCGGTCAGGGCTCACCTCATCAACCCCTGCTCTATCCATCTTGTCAAGAAAGACTTTGATCAGCGAGTTAAAAACAACAAGGTTAGGGCACACGTCAAATTCCTTCATTCCGTAGACAAACCTCAGAGCTTCGCTTGCTCTTCCTTCTTTCACATACCCACTAATGATAATACCACAAGTTCTGTCATTAGGCTGTAAACCGTGCTTCTGCATCTCTGGAATCACACGTTCAGCCTTCTTTGGCTCTCCTTGCTGCACATAAGCTGATGCAATTGTATTATAAGTAACTGCATCAGGTCGAGTCCCTGACTCCACCATCTTATTCACTATATTCCATGCCTGATCGATGTTCTTGTTACACCATGCTCTAACAAGAACATTATAAGTCCTGAGATTCGGTTTCTGGTTTCCTTCCTTGGCCATAAGTTCCACCAGCTTAGTAGATTCTTCCGGTCTACCAGCAATGCCATAGCCTTTAACCAGTGTGTTGTAAGTGCTGGTTTCAGGTTTCATCCCATTCTCTTTCATCTTCCAGAAAGTTTTCATGGCTTCCTCCATGTTCCCGGATTCAGCAAATGCATTGATCAGGGCATTGTAGAATACTGAATCCGGTTTCAAGGCATTCCCCTCTACCTGAGAGACGATAGAGGCTATGGAGTCGAAGCGCTTCTGCAGAGTCAAGGAAGTCAGGAGAGTTGTGTATGTTACTAGAGATGGTCTGTGGCCTCCCTGAATCAGACTGTCGAATATGGGTTGTACTTTCTCTGGCTTTCCTCTGCTTATCATATCATTCATTTGACTCGTCCGTGATCTAACAATTCTACAGAAACTTTTGCTCATGCAGACTGAGCAACTGACTGCACTTGGCGACTCTGCAGACCTTGACATAGGAGGATGTGCTTGATTCTCGTTATCAGGATTATCCACCTGCACCACAAGAACAATCCCATGTTTCAGTTGTGCACCTCAAAATTCATCACTCCCACATATCACTTGAACTCATTCAATACATAGTTCCCTATGGCCACACAGAACGCAGTAAATGGTATTTGCAGACTACTTTTACAAGGTGAGTGATAGCCATGGATACCTTGATCGGAAACAATAGAGACCATCCTTTCTTCATAGCAGTCGCTCCTCCTGCTGCATTTCCATTATCGTTTCTGACAAAACCATTGTCCTTGCAAGACTCTTCCATATTGAGACTGCCTATTTCCGTGCTTCTTTACTTCAAAATCCCCACCGAATCTAAGCCATCACATCCTCTCTACTTCAGCCCTTAAACAAAAGAAACACAAAAACCTCACGAACTCCACCAATTATAACTCACAAACCATCAGAATGTAGAAGTAGAGACTAGAGAGACAACAGGCGGGGATTCACTCTCCATCCAAACAAGTATCCAACAAAAATGGAAGCAGAACCGCAAAATTAACACAGCGGCACAAGAAACAAGTTGCCAACTGAATCGAAGCAGAGATCGAGCCAGAACAGTGCAAAAAAAAAAAAGAAGCTATCCAGAAACCCTCAAGAACCAGAGAACCCACCGAAATAAGAAAGGAAAATCGCAAGACCCTGCCAGAAAACAGTTTCAAGACTAGCGAACCAAATGGAGAGATGATCGACGCAAGAACTTAACAGAAAAACCTAATTATTTCTACCGCAAAGAGAAGACGAAAGAAGCAGTCGAAGTTCGCGCCACGAATACGCGACCCAAACAAAACCAAATCAACTAGAAAAGTACGCGAAAACGAGGCAATAAGCGCGCACCAAGGAAGATCATTAGATAGTTCCAGAATAAGAAAGGAAAAGGAAGCAAGAAAAGGAACTTCTGGTTCACCAGTTGGCTGATCGCCATTGGAGATGATCGAAGGAGGTAGCACTGCAGTTCTGCAGCAGCGGAGAAAGAAAACCACGGGAACGGCTTGAAAGTTGGAGTTCTTGGAAGGCGAGCAAGGAGGGTACGGTGGGCTTAAGTAGCTAACAAGCCTGTTGCTGGTGGATGGTTGTAAGAAAAGAGGGAAATTGCAGTTCAGGACAAGAACAGTGAAGATAAGAGCGATAGAAATTGAGGCTGAAACTCTCTTGACATGATCTCATTCCTTTTTATTTTGTTTTGTTTCTCCTCTTTTTTTTCTCGTATAATTTTCCATTTTTTCCCTTTATCTTTAAGAAAATTTTCTTTTATCTGAAATAATTTTGATAAATCCATGGAGGAATTCTTGTTTTTAGTAATTTAATTGGTATGGTGGAGTTGAGAAGAAATTGGTGAAATCAAGTAAATCGTGAATAATTGTGTAATATCGGGGACCTAATTATAATATTAAAAATGAATATGAGATAATTATGCATATGCAATTAATCCAAAAATAAAGAAAAAAGAAGTCGGGCATTTATCACACAGGTTACCAACAATAAGTTATACTAGCTAAACCATGAAAAATAATGAACTCGACAATACATTATCTCCCCAATATTATTACAATTCTTTCAATTTGAAAATAAACAACTTCTACTTTTGATTATACATTGTAGTATGGGATGAAATTGCTCTTGCAACACTTCTCATTGCCGACTAGAAGCGTTACGAGTTCTGATTTTTAATTTATACGAAACGAATATTAGGAAGTTAATTAAAATATGTGTAATTACTATAAATAATAAAAAATGTAACGGTGGGCCCATCACCCCATCTTGGCGTTCGTATGGCCCACCCATCCAAAAGATAACTTTCCGCGGGAGATATGAACCGAAAAACTCGCAAGGCTTGGAGAGAGAGAGAATAAGAACGAAATAGCCGAATGCGAAAATTTCCCGGGGAAATTATTGGAAGCGAAGGAAATTCGTTCTTCCGCGCATAAGGATTCCGGTTAAGAGATACAAAAACAGCCAAGAACAGAGATTTTATTTTAGTTTTGGGTTTACGGAGGCGATTGCCGTCGACGGAGTTATCAGCGGAGAGGGCTGAAATCATTCCCGTTTCATTCCCTCCCATGAAGACGAGCTTGATCCTCAGAGTTCCTTGCTTCTTCCCTCTTTGATCGCCATATCCCGTTTCGGGGGAGATGTTCAATGTTTGGACATGGTTTCAGTATTGCTTAGCTGTGCATCCGTTGAAGACAGAGGTGATCAGCTCTGGCTTGATTTGGGGTGCCGGTGATATTGCTGCACAAGCAATCAACAACTACACGGCCGCCGCCGATAAGCCCCTCGTGTTTCAGGTGCGCTTTCTTTGCAATCTGGAAGATGGGGTTTTTTTTTCCTTATCCCCCCTCGTTCAGTTGCAGGCTTGTAGTCGTTGGTATTGTTCTTCCAGTTTTGGTGATCGTGGCCCTTTCTGGTGGATTGTGTTCTTCGTTCTTGTTGTGTTTGATGAAATGCCTGAATGGGGGAGCCTCTGTATCTTCTTTCAATGTGTGCTTTGCTTTTGATTCGCTTGCTATCCGTTTCTGATCGAGAAAGAACAGATTATGATGGCAGTCTGATTGAGATAGTCCTTTCTGTAGATGATGGATTTCTGTTGCTGATGTTCTTGTATTTCGAAATGATGCTAGGATGATGAAAGGCCTGAGAAGATAAACTGGAAACGAGTAGCGACCACGAGCTTGTTCGGGTTTGGATTCGTTGGACCTGTCGGACACTTCTGGTGAGTCTTTTCTTTCTGCTTGGTTTCAATCATGGAGGGATGAATTGTACGGAACTGGACTCGAGCTAGAACATGGGGTTTTATTACGGAACTGGACATAAATGGTTCTCCTGCTGTCGAAACTTCTTGTACAGGTATCAAGGTCTAGACAGATTCATGAGGTCACAGCTATTCCACCCCAATTCGCTGCGATTCGTTGGTGTCAAAGTGGCGATCGATGGCTTCATCTTCGGGCCGTTGGATCTGCTCCTGTTCTTCACTTACATGGGCATTGCAGCTGGAAAGAGCGTCCCGCAGATCAGGGACGACATGAAGAGAGATTTCCTCCCGGCTTTCATGTTCGAAGGTGGCATATGGCCGATCATTCAGGTGGTGAACTTCCGCTTCGTCCCTGTGAAGTATCAGCTCCTGTATGTCAACTTCTTCTGCTTGATAGATAGTTGCTTCCTCTCGTGGCTCGAGCAGCAGCGCAATGCTCCCTGGAAGGCGTGGGTGAACTCCTTGGTACCTTTCCAAGGGGAGAAAGGGTGAAGAAAGGAAAAAGGTTAGATCTTTGTCCTTCTATCATCACCCCCTTCAGCTATGGAGAAAGAGGATGTGAGAAAGATGAGTTCAGGGAAGACCTCAAGATCAAGGCACTTACAGATTTGCCAAGAAGACATGGAAAATGATTGGTAGTGTTTTTTCTTGTTAACACAATTTTGACCGTACATAGTAGGGTTACATTTGATCATCCCTTCTCATTGGGGCATAAATACTGATCATTTTTTGAATTTGTTTTTGTAGTCAATTTGTATATTCTTACTCTCTTCTGCATGAAAATGATGTTGGCAACTAGTACTTCAATATTCATACGTATAAATTGTTTAATTGCGAGGCAAAATTTTCCCATTGATGAATACCTATTATAGACAAAATTGGACAGAAACCACAGTTCTTGACAAATGAAATAATGTACCAACCTTTGCCTCGAAGTTGTGATCAAGGAGAATATTTGCTGCCTTGATATCGCGATGAAGGATCTTGGGATCACCTGTATGCAGAAATATCTTGTTGTGAGTTTCCAGAAAGCTATAATCTAGTAGGCATTTAAGGGAAGAAGACTGAAGACTTACAATCCTCATGCAGATAAGCCAGTCCAGACCCAACAGAAATTCTCCATCTAGATGCAGATAACTGATAAGGCGCTGACCTGAAGCAAGGGCTATCCTTGCCAGTTGCCAAAATCCACTGCAGATAGTGTCGCTGGACCTTGGTCCTTGATGAGAAAGCTAGGTACCATATCATCATCATCCGGTTCATGGCCATCTCGAAATTTTCAGGTCTGATCTGAACTTCAATGCAGATGATAGTGAACCTGCTATGTTGTGGCTTGATCAAGCCATCAATTCGCCGATACCTCTATACATTTACTGATTTACAGTGGCCGCTAGAAAGACCAGAGATTTTCATATTCTCTGCTATTGAATCCAGTCCAACTTTGGCAAAACAACTCTCAATGTCAACATGCTAATGCCCCTGATGATTCCATATCCTTCACAACAGAATCGACTTTCTCGGTCAATCCAGCCCTTCGATATCCCGCAACCAGCAAATCATAAGTCGATCTTGTGAGCTTATAGTATCGTGTCACATGTTCCAGAAACAAATCAAGTCTGTCATAAGCTTCTTGCCTGAAGTATGCAGAGATTACCCTCTCGACATCGACTGGACTGCTAAACGACATCCCCTGACTCATCATCCTCCCAACCGAGTATTCAACATCATCCAATCGATCTAGACTTGCATACAGCCTTATAATCCCACAATGCACCTGCAACAAAGCTTCACCAACTTGATTGAACTCGACAAGAGCATCGAGTAGCTTTTCCATTTCGTCTGGTTTCTCAAGTTCACAGTACAACTTCACAACCTTCTCAATCAAACTGCCAGTAATCTCAAACCTACATTCCATTAGAAAATTCACAAACTCCTTAACTCTCTCACAATTCCTCCTCTTACAAAGCCCCTCCAGCACAGAATCCAGTACTTTCTCGTTTGGAGCGATTCCTTGGGCCATCATTTCGTTGTAAAACAAGTCAGCTGTATCGAAATCTTTAACCTTCACGCAGCAAGAGATTAGAGATTCATAGTTCAGTAAATTCGCAGAGAAGCCAGCTTCCCTTTTGGCCTGGTACCAAGCTCGCATTCTGTGAGTATCTCTAAAGTTGGAGAACCCCGATATGAAAGTATCGTAGGTTTCCGAATCCGGCCTAAACGTTTCAGAGCTTTCCATTACCTCGAACAAGCTTAGGGCAGTAATTACCTCGTTTGAGGACAAGCAAGTATGAATTAGGGAATTGAAAACTGAAGCTGTGGCCTGAATCCCACGATCCTCCATCGAACTAAACACTAACATAGCCAGCGGGACATTTCGAATCTTAGCACAGAGAGATATCAAATTGGAGTAGAGGCTGCGATCCTTCTCGCCGTCGTTGAGCATTCTCTCCAGTCTCCATTCCAGAACCTAAAGCAAAAATGGATAGAAATTAGACGAAATTCAGCTATCGAGTAACCGCAAACAGTGTATTATTCCATTTTCCTACATTTTCCTACATTTTCTGTGAGAGATATCAAATTGGAAAAGAAATGCTCGGGATAGGATTTGATGATTACGAGCTTGGCTTTATGAGGAGAAGACGAGGCGAGACGCGCGACGAGAGAATCCGAGACAGCGAGATCGGAAGATCTCCCAGCGACGACGGAGTCCTCGGAGTCGAGCGCGCGTTTGATTTGAGAGGTCGAGAGCTGAAGCAGTTTGGCGAGTAGTGTATCAGCGGAAGCAACAGCAGTGGCGGAGCTGCAGAAGCTACGTTGTTTGAAGCGGAAACAGTCCGGCAGTGATTGAGCCGCTACTCCGGTCGCCGACGACGAGACTCTTCTCCATGCCGCCGCCAATGCCATAATTGCTGCTTCTGGTCTGGACAGTTTGAAACCGAGTCCACGTTATAACGGGGTTTGTTGATGGGCCCATTGGGCTCAATGGATAGGGATTATAAGTTACACCCTGGTTCGTTAATGGGCCGGGCCCATTTAGTTTGATGGTAATTATCCTCCTTATTCATTCACAGTGGGAGTTGGAAAAAGAGAATTTCATTAACACTGAGAATTTGAAATCAAACCTGCATAATAGAGATCTAAGTATAGAACTGTTAAAAATTTCGTCATAATATCGCGATAAAATCATATCGACTGGTTACTGATACATGTACAGTATAAAAAAAGAGCAAGGAAAACAACATGGGAATTTTACAGGAGAAAATTGATTAGGGTAGCTATATAACCCTAGAAACAGCAAAGATGTATCTGTGCTGGCCTCATTATACATTCATCTACAACTACATATCTAACCATCTCAAAACAAAGAAAAATTCCATCCCTTTGCCTGTTCATTCATGTAAGAAAACAAAATCTCAGGACAAACCAAACCGGGACAAAGCTGATTGGAAAAGAGCTAAGAATTCGTGCGACGTGCTCTGATCCTCAGCCTTGATATTCAGTTGTGCTTTGGTTGTTGAGGTATTGATTTTACACTCTACAAGAAACACGGATGGCTCGTAGGCTTTCTGTGCAAAGAAGAAAAACTTGAAGTTAGGTGACTGACCCCCCGACGCAATGCACTGGATCGAGTTGCCCTGCATGTGATGGAGGAGAGCTTGAGGTGATGTCAGTGCCGCAGCACCTTGCGAACCTAACTCACATTCCTGCAATCACAAAAGAATTTGGAACCTTATCAGGAATGTCTGAGACCCTTGAGTAAGGACTAAGGTAAGATTATGTTCCATTGATTTGAATCCATTCAAATGAACAAATATAATGTTGTATACTTGCATTCCTTCTGCTTCGAATTGGGAAAAAAGTAAAAGTAGAGAGACCGAGAATTGGATATATACCTGAGATATAGCTACAGGTAGCTCCCGCCATGTTCTCTGGAAGCTTCCTGCATCTAGGGCAGCTCTGGCATTTAGTTTCAATGGTGGCGGTGCAGAAGCAGGTGCTGGAGGGGCAGTTAGGTCTAGACCCATCAGTAGATCATCAATTGCCGTTGAAGCCTGTGGTCCTGGATCTGCTGTTCCTAAAAGGCCTGTAATTGCCAGCTCGGATTGTCCTTGCGAAGGTAGAGCTGGAGTAGATGAATCGTAGAACGGAGCGGTGTAATCAGAGCCATTAGCGACCATTGCTCTCGTTTCTTCCTTTTCGGAGGTACTCAGAAGCAGATCACTGGTTTCATTTGCATCGACACTGGTAGCTGCCACTACGTGTTCAGATTCAACCCCAACTGTAAGATTGTCAATCTCGTCTGAGAACTCGAATGGTCCCCGGTGGTCCTTATCTGTGAACATGTACGATGGCTGCAAGAACATGTAGACGTTTATCACTTCCAATAAAAAACAACAGGCAATAACTCATTCTCAACATCGCGGTCTCATGATTCTATATTTCAGTTTTCATCTCTACTCTCTCAGCCTTTTCCAAAGCCTAAGTTCAGTTTGTTCACCAAAATTATTTGGACTCTTGAGCATGATATTTTGTTTCAAGTTTCAACCATCTCCAGTATCCCTCTTGAACAATGAAACTTCAAAACCCACAAATCAACTATCACGAAAACCAATGTAAACAACAGATAATCTCTTCTAAAAAATCCAAAAGCATAAGTCATAGACTACCAATTACCTTTTGGTACACGATAGATAGACTGTTGAATTCATCAAATATGCGATCTTTGATCTCATTGCTCTGTGTATCAGCAAAGACTGAGACAGCTTGCTTCGGAGGATTCACTACACGCTCTGCACTTGATACGTCATATTGCAGTAGTCTATAGTAGAACAAAGCTCTATCATGGACATCCTGAAACCCAATCAAAATTCAAACCGAGCATTTATCATTCCGACTATGAAGGTACTTGGACAACGAGCTACCCATTTCATAAATTGGCAAAATAGCGAAGTGTGATGGAAGCACTAGCACACACAGCACAAAGATCACCTGATGGAAATCAGACAAGCCTGCAGCCAATGCAATTCCTAATGCTTTTTGAGTCTCAGGTGGTCGTCTGAAAAAGCACTTCATTATTGCTGTGAGAAGGTGCAAGCGAACCTGCAAAAGCAGTGGTAAATCAAGGCTTGTAAAGATTTAACAGAGAGGACACAAAATCATGTGACGATGTCACTATTCAGAAGAATCATATAACAACCTCAGGAGCATCATCTTCCCAATTCTCTGCCAAGCTCTCTAAAATATAAGGAGCATCATCCATGTCTTGTGCATATTCACCCAACATCCATATAAGAGCTGCTTTTGCCTTGGGCTCCTGCACATTTTTGCTGCTTATGTTCCCAACAACTGCAATGCAGTCATGGCTCCACTGAGGGTATTTTCTTAGCAGATCTTTGACAAGTACCTACACAATAGTTTATATAAGTCAATCCTACTGCATGCCAAGAAAATTCTTAGGCTTCATCACAATGTAGTGTATATGTTTGGTATATAAGAGTAGAAGACCAATTTGTGCAAACTTAACATTAGGATCTCAATGTGATCTGAAAGTAGATTAATTACCAGAGCTTCAGCAGTTACATAGTCCTTTTCCATCTCCAGAAACTGAAGAAGCCTATCGACGATAGCATTCACATCATACTGCTGCAGAGCAATTTTCCCAACAGCACGAATTGATTCTCGAGCAATAGCAACATAAACATTTGCAGCATACTCACATAATTCAGTCACTGCAGTTGACAAAGGAACATCAGAGATTATCATATGCTGAAGAAATAACCTTGCAATGCAAGCTTCAGAGAACTGTTTACCTACCAATTTCATATGTATTGCTTTCATTTGCAACTGCAGTCAACATTTCAAGCTTCAATTTCTTGACATACGAAGGCTCATTGTACTGGCAGTAGAAGTGTTTATAATCTGAAGTGAATAGGTACGGAGCACGCATCACCAAGAGGTGAAGGTGGCTTAATACAGCATAAGATTGCTCTGGACTCCCGGAACTAACAAGGGTGAGCAGAGGGGCTTTAATACGTTCATACACCTAAGCAATAGAAGAATAAAACACATTAGCCATATGGGAGAGTTTTGTAGAGAGCTAAGCAAATGTTAACAATGGCACATGAAAAGAAATGACGAGGATGCATAACCACGTCTATAAAAATTCTTGAAATGGTGCAATTAATAGGACTAAGCTAACACTGGAAGTGCTTCACTGAAAACAATCTTAAGTACTCTAGTTTAAAGCACCACACCCATTTTTCAAAAGCGGATAAGTTCAGACTAATAACATTGTGACTTAGGGCCAGTCAACTTAATCAAAGCAATTGAATATACAAGCATATTTATGCAGAAGACAATAAATTAAAAAAAGGATGTTTCTTTGACATGGATTACACATGCAACATACAAAATTTTCGATTTCTATACATCCTTTGCTTCCTCAGATAGCATTATAGTATCTTCGACAATACCTCCTGGTGAACATCGGCCATCGACAAAGTCAACTGAAGAAACACTTTGATGGTTGCCAATACAACAGCCCCATTTGCATGCTGAAGTCTATCTTCAAGAAGATTCATGATGTCGAAATTCTCATTGGTATCTGAAGGGACATATTTGGCGACCAACTCAAGCACAAGACACTGACCCCATTCATTGAATTCCCTGAGTCTGCATCAGCATACAAAAGAGCAGAAAATCAACCATAGCTATGTTCATACATGATTCAATGGTTACCACAGGCTAAACTTGCAAAAAGGAGCTACTTCAATCATATCAACTGAAATTTGTGCTCAAATATTACTCACTCCTACTTTCAAACCTATTACCAAGGAACATACCTATTCAAAAGGTAATATATGAAGGGCTTGCTGATTAAACCTTCTTTCTCCCTTGCTGCTTCCTCAGAAGTACTCGATTCCGAGTTCCAAATCTCTTGCAATGCCGATAAACAATTCGCAACAACCTGATGAACCACACACCTCTCTATAAAACACCATAAATTCAAAACCATTTCAAGGTTCGAAAAGGTTCACCCACAATTCTGAATGCAATTCACCTGGGACTCAGAGTCATTGAGCATCAAATGCTTCAAAACTGCAGGGAAATCAGCATCAAGGCAAGTTGAAGCAGATATATGATACAGCTTAAGAGCTCCCATGACAGCCACCGTCCTCACATAAGCATTATTATCTTTCAAACCCGAACCCAAAGGCCCTACCAGATACTCCACCAGATTCGCCACCCGCAACGAGCTCAAGCTCCTCAAGGCAAGCCCTCTGATCATCGGGTCCTGGTCTTTGCAATCTCGCTGGAGGAAATTTATGGTCAGAAGAGCGAGATCAGGGTTGACCTTGGCGTAATTGCCGACGTAGAGGTAACACATTTTCTTCAGCACGATGTCCGGCGTCACGGAGCACATCACCATCTCGCCGAAGAGGGACGAGACGTCGATCCCGATCGTCATGTACGAGATCACTTTCTTGAAGAGCTCCCGCTTCGCATCGTCCACCCCGGGAGCTCGGCTCCCGGCGAGCTGCCGGAGCTGCGATCTCAAATCCGACACTTCACCTTTCCTGCAGACGAGAACCAGTTCCATGGTCAAATTGTGGGGAAACGCGTAGTGAAGACTGAAGAGGAATGGTTTTGTTTTGCCAATACTACTGGACTTACCCGGACGGTTGTGATGGAGAAGGATTACGCGAGGACTGCGCCGGAGGAGCCATGGCCTGACTAAAAGTGGAACACAGCAGTCGAATCCGGTTAGATGGTGGCTCCAAGGAAGACCAGAGATGGGAGATCTATGGAGTAGTGAATGAAGACGGACGGAAACAGAGAAAGCTTGTTCTGTAGATCGGACGAAAATTCCAAAACAGTACCCAAACTTTCAATGTCTTACCATTTTTGGTTCCATTTTATACATCTTTCAACTTGGTTGTGTCATCCACAACCACAACTCTACATCTTTCAACTTTCGATACCGGCTCGTGCTACACCAAGAAACAAGAGACACCACTTACACAATTCAAACACAATACCTATTACTCGAGAAAAAGAAACACGCCATCAACGTACCGCCTTCGTGCACCTCAAAAGTCAAATCACATCGTGTTTCACTAACCACTGCTCCAATGTGGTCGAGAATGAGGAAAACATTTGGATTGTGTAATGTGTATGAGTACGATGCTTCAGATTTTGGTCATAAGAATTGTTGTGATTAATCGAATTCTCTTACATTACTGCTTTCTTGTCAATGAAGCAAAACAGAGTCACTTCAGTGCTGTACAAAATAAAGCCTGTGGAAGGGCCATAAAAATCAAGAAACAACATCTCAATGAAACCTCGTCTATGCACATTTGGTACCTGTAACTTGTGAAACTGATCCTTCTAAAGGAGCTAGGTTTCAAGACACAAGCAACTCCCTACCCTCGACCATCAAGGCACTGAAAGTAAATATCATATACACAGGCAACATTACTGTCAGCATCATCTCCGGCCTTCAATTTCTTGCGATCTCAGCTGGGATCTGAGAATGCTGAAGAAGTTCATTCACACGGTAACGAGTAGATACCTGGCAGGGTTGTTTGTTCAATCTGGAATGACATCATCTATCAGCTTGGTTAACTAACAGCTTCTTGAGTCCTGGCATCCACAACGATGAAATCTCAATAACCATATAGCTTAATGAAGTTACAACTTACAGCTACGCGTGAATAATTAGGCTTGATTATAGCAATAGAAGAAGAATGGCAGCATTGCACCAGAACTGGAGGATATCTGGATACCAGATGATTGATCCTCACAGAAGCATTCAACCACAAATGGCAATATCATGGTGCATTGATAAATGAGTCATTTTCCTTCGGTATTCCTTCAGTAATAAACGAGTCATTGTTAAATTGCCCGTGTTCTACACTAAGCAATCCATGTGAAGAGAACCATCGAAAGCAGCAGAAGTTAACAAGAACAAAAGAAAGGTCCGCCAAGAAGTGCATACTGTTCATCATACAACATTCAGTTCCCTATAAAACAAGATCAATCCCATAAACGAGATCATCTTATGAACCCCAAGATCATTCCCATAAATGAGATTAGTTGCCATTCGATACTTGAGCAACTGTAAGAGTCTCATTACACCAGGGATCACTCAGCATGACCATCTACTAACCAAAATATCATTTCACTTGAACAGCTGCCCCAAGCTATACCTTAACAGCTAACCAAAATGCCAAAAGACAAGCCCTTTTTGCCATTGCATAAGTAAGTACGAACACAACAACTTAATAAAGAACAGCCGCCCCAACATTCTGTAGCCATACTTCCAGAATTCAGCGGCATTATATGAACACAACAACTTATCAGCAAAACATTTACTTTTTACTATAGAAAGCCCCACGGGATGGGATGGGCACAAAACGAGCATAAACATGAACATAATACTTCGATCCGTGTAATGCAGCCTATCACTTGATCAAACAACCACACAAGGTAAGAAACCAATTTTGCAAATACGAGACATACCCAGAACCAGGAGCAGAAGAATTACGGGTGTTGATGCTGTTGTAGTATCTTGATATTCGTCGGGTCTGCGGTTTGAACTTAGCAGGTTTCTTACGAAGGCCGAAAATCTCTTGAACCAGCGGGACGTGCACCAGCACCAGCTTCCAAGCTAACAACCAACCTGAGAACATAAACAAAGGAAAAACCCATCAGAATCCACGCAAACGAATCCGAATCCCTACAAAGATGAATTTGAGTATAGGGTTGGCACCAACCGAGAGCTATGAACACGAACACGAAGGAGATGGCGGCAATTGGACGGAGAATCAGTAAGACGATGTAATCCACAGGCGACGGCGTACTCGAAGAGAAAGAAGTGGCAGCGGAATCCATTGACGACTAAGCGGTTCTAAATAATTTTGGCGGGAACGAAGAAGGACGGGTAAGCTTCCTGGCGTGAACCAGATCGTGCCTGAATTGGACCGGAATTGCGCCGGAGATGACGAGTAAGGCGGAGACGGCGATCGAGAAGCCCTAATTTGATCGAACAAGCAAAGAAAGAAAGGGCGAAGAATGAGAAAGGAAGGAGGTAAAGTGAGCGAGGGAAAAAGAACGATTTTTTTTTAAGAAAATAATTAAATAAAAACAAATAAAAATGTCAAAAATCGTATATTTCAGTTTTCTGGCCCTATCTAGTTCTGGCTCCGACGAACAAGGCGACTGCTGCACCGTAAGATTAGAAAGCAGCAATGGCGGTTTTAGCTCACTTCCAGAAGCTCCACTTCTCCACCTTCCTCTTAACCCGCGCACAACCGCCGCTGTCGTCTCTTTCGCGCCAATTCAACTCTACCCTCTGCTCCAAGCTCTACCGACTCCCTACCCTAATCAGGTCCCAATCCGCCCTATCCGCCGCCGAGCCCATCCCGGTGACGCAGCTTCTCGAACCGCCGCCACCGTCGGAAACCCAGTCACCGATTTCACTCGACAAGCTGTTCATCCCGCCGGAGACACAGGTCTCGCTCGACGACCCGACCACGAGGGTTCTCAGGGGCTCGAACATAGTGCTGAGCAAGTACGCCAGGGATGCTCAGGTGGTGCAGGCCGAGTTCGTGAAGAGCAGCGTGAGGACGGAGGATTGCCCCTCCGACGGGTCGCCGGAGTTCGCCCTCGTCGGGAGGTCTAATGTCGGGAAATCTTCACTTCTCAATTCGCTGGTCAGAAGGAAGAAGCTCGCCCTCACTTCTAAGAAACCTGGTACGTAATGGTGTTCTACATTGTTTGGCTTTGAATTGGGGGATTTGTAGTGGAAATTTGCATATTCATTGGTATTGAAATTGTTCCGATTTTGAAGGGAAGACGCAATGCATAAACCATTTCAGGATCAATGAGAGCTGGTTCTTGGTGGACTTGCCTGGATATGGGTAATGGTTCAAGCATTGATCGATTTTCGTTTAGGAAAGTAGGAATTAGTGCATACTTGAGTTAGACTCGTGCTGCGATTTCGTCTGATGATAGATTTAAGCCAGTATGATCTTCTGTGCAGGTATGCTTCTGCACCACACGAATGTAGGACAGATTGGGCCAAATTTACCAAGGATTACTTCCTCAACCGTTCAACATTGGTCTCTGTGTTCCTTCTCATAGATGCAAGTATCCCAGCGAAGAAGATCGATCTGGAGTATGCAAGCTGGCTTGGTCAGAACCAGGTAAAAAAGGAGAGAACTTTTTGTTTGTAGTTGCATGAATGGACTTGTAGCTGTAGATGGGTGTATGTTTCTCTTCATGGATGAACGAAGGAGTTGGGAAGTTGAATGATGATTGCACAGTTTTGCTTTTACTGATTGAAAAAGATTTGGATTTCTCATCCGTGATCTCATTTTCATGCTGTGTTTTCCAGATTCCGATGACATTAGTTTTCACGAAATGCGACAAGAGGAAGAAGAAGAAGAACGGAGGGAAGCATCCGGAAGAGAACGTGAACGATTTTCAGGAGCTGATTCGTGGCTACTTCCAAACAACACCCCCATGGATCATGACGAGCAGCATCACCAATCAGGGTCGTGATGAGATACTGTTGCACATGGCTCAACTGCGAAACTACTGGCTTAAACACTAAAAGGTCGATTGCTGTGCACACGAAGTTGTCAATCCAAGGCTCTCAACTTTGTGATAATGCTCCAGTTAAACTTCCTGACTTGGTGGAATGCTGGAAAGGGTTTGGTTTCTCCAACCCTTTGTTTGGCTCAGAATGCTGCAAACTTGCTCACAAACTTCGCGGAGTCTTCTCGTCATTGTCTTCTTGCCAAGGTATGGCCTGGAAAGAAATGTATCGTTTACGAAACATATCCCAGGGCCGAAGTGAACCATTTGATCGAGTACTAGAAGATGCTTCAAACTAATCTTGTGTGAGAAACTGTTACTCAGTTGTAGTTCTACAGTACATTAACATCTTCTGTTAGCATTTCTTGTTTCCGACAGAAAAACTCGAATGTGTCTTGCATTTTCTCCGACGTTGATCAACATTTAACATCTAACATCAAGCTCTGAACCTCTTGTTCGTCAACAAATACTATTGGGGTGAATTACATTTAACATATACATATTCGAACAGGCCACCTTTTTTTTCCTTTCTGCCAGTGATGAAGCAACGTCGGCATACATGTCGACCGCTGCACAAAAGGAACGTAAATTTATTGTCGAGCCATCAATCAGAGAAAACGCTTTACGACCTTTCTCGAACCGTTTATGCTCCATCATCACGACTAAACACACTCTTACTAGAGTTTGTCAATCAGCAATTAAAGCTAATAACAAACTAAATATTTAGCCTTAATAAAACGAACAATGATCGACTGAGTTTAGTTAAATTAGACAAGAGTCACACTTCACTAAATAACATAAATAAATAAATCTACAAAGTAAAGAAAAAATTAAAAACTAGGGTAATAAATTTGTTTGTGTCACAGAAAAGAATTCTACGTACATATTGCACTCTACTCTTTGCTGCAATCGATCGAACAGGCTGCTTTCTCCTCCGGAAAAAGGAAACCAATCCATGTTTTATTTTCCTTCTGCAAAATTGATTTAGCAGTTTTCGAAAGGAAGGATTCGATCGATGAAAGAAAAAGAAGAAGAGGAAGAAGAAGACGATGATGCCTCGTCCCCGCTGAAATCAGAGATAGCAAAGCTTCGTAGACGATGGGAGTTGGCCTCTGTTCTTAATTTCTTCAATGTACGTACGTAACATTGCTTTCTCATTCCCCTGTTTCCCCATGCAATTTATCAAGCTGTTTCAAGGTGTATTCACATGCCAGAATATATGCAGGTTTTCGAGCCAGTTATCGGCAATGATTCGTTACTATCCGCGGAGGAGATCGAGACCGGTCTAGTCAAGCCAAATGAATCACTTGCGAAGCTCCACATCATGCTCTTAAAGGTATACAATCGGATTAATTTGCGCGTATCTATAAGCACGTGCTTACGCGTACTCAATTCGCGGTTTTAAAGTTCGTTGTTACGATGTTGAATGTAACAGGGGATACCTCCAGTGAGCAAGCTGTTGAATCGTTCTGATGGATGGGTCACTGTTCTGTGTAAGAAACTGGCTCTATGGTGGCCATGGGTACGTATGTTAATTCGTTGTATCGTAATCGTGTATGCAGACTGCAGTAATAGAACTCTGAAGTATGAGTGCATATGATGCAATTTTCATTTTCATTTGCAGGTAGCTGAAGGTGAGATACCACTGATAGCAAGTCGAGGAGGGTATTTAAAAAAATCCAATTTGTTGCAGTACTCTTGTATTACGAATGAATATCAATCGATTTTTCAACGGTCGATTGTGACATTATTTTTTTTTGGCTTTTGATTGATTGTCTAGTGACGAGATATCAAAATACAAGGACGAATTGGATCCTGTGCACCGGTTGCTGCTCTTGAGGGCACTCTGTGAAGTCCGAGCTGATGTAAGTTCATCGAGTTTACGAACCATTTCGCGACTGTATGCTACTTAAAATTCTTGCGATCGATGTGATGTGATATGTCGTCGTAACGTTGATCTGCAAATGCATATGCAGCAAGTTGATGCATTGTCGTTCATCAATAGCGAGATGAAGAAAGGAGGAGCTCATCGAGTTTCTTCCTTTCGCAAGGATAAGATTGGAGGAGATGGAAGCACATCCTACTGGTGTGATGGGAATGCAGTTCTTGGTCACAGATTGTACAGAGAAGTTACTGTAAGCAAAAGGAACAGTGCAAAAGCCAAAGCCAGAGGGAAAGCATGTAAAGCCACATCATCAACCAGCCAGTGGGAGACCATTGCTACTAATCTCCAAGAATTTCACCAAGCTGTGGTAAGTAGTTGATATATTAATTAGTAGATGAACTTTGATCCAAACAACTCGAGTTAGTCGAACAAACATATATAACTCAGTTTCGCAATCGGGTGACCTGATAGCATGTCAAAAAAAATAAATGCAGGAAGAGCTGTCATCTAGCAGGAGGAAAGCAGAAGCCTCTGTCTGCAACAAGATTGAAGCTGATGTCCTTCCTGAAATGGAGAAACTCCAGAAGGTACATTTTAATTTCTTCATTCATCATCTATAGTTATGCTGATAAACTATTAGCTTACTGATGAGATGCTTAATTTTACCTGAATACATAACAGAAGAAAGATAGGGCACTGAAGAGGAAACAAACACAAGAGAAGCTCTTGAATGATGTTAGGGCTTACACCACTACCGGGCTGACTCGATCCTGTCGAAATCGTCGACTAATCAGTTACACATTTGGTATGTTCCCATCATTGTTTCACAAATATTCCGTAGGAGTTTTCGAGCCGAAGTATATCGTGCACCCTCGATTTCGTCTGCACAAATGCACGTTGTGTATGCGCGCTCGAAACTCAGGGTGTATCATATCGGCATAAATTGAATCCTTGCATACTGTCTGTTTTGCAGATGAGTATGACCGTGCCATTGATGAGGCTATAAAACAACAACCAAAGTAAGATTTGATTTACTTGTTTGCAAATGTCCATGAAAAGTACTATTGGATCGTGAACACCAGATATCACACTTTGTTGTTGCAGGAAAAGGAAAATGGTAAAAGAGCAGAAAACTATTACAATGGAACGTGTTGAGCAAGCAACAAGCCCTGATTCTGGTACCGAGGAGTCGGGTGCTGATACAGAGTCGAAAGGAACTGATGACCATGATGATCAAGGCAACTCCTCATCAGATGATGATGGAAGTGGATCAAGTGGCCAAAAAGAAGTGGGTGATGATGAAGAAGAAGAAGAAGATGATGATGATGGCGACGACGATGGCGATGGCGCGGACGAGGAGGAGGATGATGATGATGATGATGGCGGGGATGATAATGAAGCAGATTCAGAAACCCAGAAAAATGATGAAAATGGGAATGAAGAACATTGTGAAAAATCAAGTGAAGCTGATAATGATGAAAATGATAGTGTTGACGATGACACAAGTGGTGGTGATGATGATCAAAACCAAGTTGATTCAAGCTCTAAAAGCAAGTCTGTTGAGGAAACCCAAGACACAGGGGACAAAGAATAGGCTTATATGTTTAGGGGTTACTTTCTGCTCCAATTGTATGATTTTAGCGACGATATTGGTAATAGTTTTTAATAAAGTTTTCGATGACATTTGTCTGCATAAACTATATCATCGTGGCATTGTTTGTAACTTGGAAGCATTGGAACTAGAAACATATTCAACCTGTGTATTTTGTCAACGGTTCTCGAACTGGTATGAAAGAGAAGTGTCAAAAAGAAGTGTCATTGCGGCAATTATTTTTCGTTGTTGTTGGGACATTTTTATGCACATAGGAGAGTCTTTGTAGTTTGTTTCACTGTGAGACGAAACACAAATAAATACTAATATGAGCATAACAAAAGCACAATGACGTAAATTACACTCGATTTTGTATCGAAAACAAACAATTAAAAGCCGGCATGACACGAGAGGAACAGACTCAAGCAGAATTGTGTCATGCCGGGCCAGTGCCGTATAGTTCAAGGCAACTTTCCTGCCGGACCTAGATCTCATTTAATAATCCTGTCCTACACAATTTGGGCTCACAATCTGCATCCTTGGGCCTAGCCTAGGAACATCCGCACTAGTCCAATTACCAGACCAGATCCATCACTTGTTCGGCCCAATGTAGCCCAAAACCGAACCCGAGCAGTGTCCCCGACCGACGACAGGTTGTCACTACTAATATTCCAAATCCCACCCAGGAAACTGCTACCAGACTGGAAAGAAAGCGGCGAAACGATGGCATCCAATTCCACCGCCGCCGCAGCCGCCCGAAGGAGAAAAATCGTCGAGCGAGGCGCCGACCGATTAGCTCTCATCACCGGCCGGCTCTCCTCTCTTCCTCCCGAATCCTCCTCCGACGCCAACCTGAAGCCTTCCGCCGACTCATCTCCCCAGCCGAATTCCGATCACCAACTTTATCCTCCGCCGCACCTCCTTCCCCATGGAGTCGCCGCCGCCGAACCAGTATTCCAGCCGCCCAATCCTCCTCCGAACCAAATCGAACAGCCGCTGCTCCAGAAAACAAATGGTTCGTCTCTGTCTCTCTGAAAAATTTCGCTAATAAGTTTTCTTGACCTAAACAATCTCAAGGAAGCTTTGCGGCAATTTGCAGATTCCGTTAGCGGTGAGGAAGAAACCTTCGGTAGGGAACTACCGGAACAAGATACCGCCGCCGTTGATTCCGCCAGAGACCACGTCGGCAGCGTTTTAGACCGTCCCGTTTCGGATGAAATTAGCGGCCGATCGGATCTAAATCCGACGGCCATGGGAGCCGCTTCCGGCACAGAGCAACTTCTCCTCCGTGGAAGCACTCGTCAGAGAAGAGTTTCGATGAGTCCAAGTCAGATAAGTTCGGGCATCACAGCATCAGAAAGAACCAGAGTTCTCTGTTCAGTAGCTGTCGCCGTTTTAGTAGTCTCGTCATCTCTAGGGTTCCCTCTCCTTGGGAGCGATATAGTGAAGGGAATTCTGAGCTTCAGGCCGCTTTACCTGCTGCTTGTGACCAATGTGACAATCGTGATCGCCGCTATCCTTTCGAACAACGACCGGAGAGGTTCAGCAATGGTGGATGATGGGGCAGCAGGACTCGAATTGTCGTCCGGCAGCAGCTACGATTGGGCTGCACAAGCAAGCAAGGCATTAGAGATAAGTTTCGTGGCGAAGAAAGCAATCGAAGCCTTACTGATGGATGTCAGCGTCTACGCAATCATTGTTGTTTGTGCTTTCTGCCTTCTCCGATGAGAACACAACCCCGACGAATCCCCTCGTGTTGTTCTTTCAATAATGTAGTACGAACAATTCTTCTGTGTTCCGATTGTAATGGAATTGGCAAATGGTGTGTTTGGAGTTAGCAACTTAGCATTAGATATCTTCTGCAATAGTCTCGATAATATGATCACTTATCTCGTCAAAAGAAACCAACATCTCTAGCAGCTCGAAGATCTCGTTCGAGAATGGCTTAGAATCGTCGCCAGAAGCAAACTCTTGAACTACATTGTTGACCTCGATCGAACTACACCCGGGAGTTTTCTTCATGCTGTTGCTCCGAATCAATGTTCGCATTCTCGAAACTCCATCCCACTTGCCCTGGTCCGCATATATGTTGGATAGCAAGACGTAATTCCCTGTGTCTTCTGGTTCGAGCTCTTCGAGGTGTCTCATTGCGATAACTGCAATGTCCAGGTTCCCGTGCTTCCTGCAAGAACTCAACAACGAACCCCAGATCTTCGAATCGGGTCTCACGGGCATCTGCTGTATGATACTCAGGGCACGGTTGAGCTGACCTGCTCGTCCAAGAAGGTCTACTAAAACTCCGTAGTGTTCGATTACTGGCTGTATCGAACAACTGTCTTTCATAGAGTCGAAATACCTCAAACCCTGCTGCCATAAGCCGGCATGAGCACAAGCTGATAAAAGACCGAGATATGTAATGCCGTTGGGCTCAATCCCTTCCAGCTTCATTCTCTTGAAGAGGTTGATTGATTCGAGAGCCTTGCCATGATTCGCTAACCCACCGATCATCGTGCTCCATGATATCACATCCCTCTTAGGCATTTTATCAAACAACTGACTGGCTTGATCAATGCAACCACATTTTGCGTACATCTCCATCAGTGCATTGCAGATGTTTGTTTTCTGCAACAACCCTTTTCTGCCGCTATACATATGTATCCATTTCCCTACCTCGAGAGCTCCTAACTGCGCGCAGGCAGGTAAAACAGAGACAATGCTGATCTCATCCGGCTCATTCCCCGCCATTTGCATCTGTCGAAACAAATCCAGTGCATCAGCATAAGACCCCATACGACTGTATCCAGTAACCATTGCAGTCCACGAGACTATTGTTCTTTGAGGCATTTTGTCGAACAGCGCTCTCGCCTTCCTCATTTGACCCAATCTCGCGTATCCAGAGATAACGCTGTTCCATGAAATAGCATCTTTCTCAGTCATTTCGTCGAACAGCTTGTGGGCAACTGCCAAATCATCACACTTCGTGTACATATCGATCAGCGCGTTTTCCGTGATCAGGTGAGACTCTGGCCCGAACTTGACGACCTGAGCGTGAACCTGCCTGCCCAGTTCATGGCTCCCCAAGCCCGCACAGGCTTTCACGACGAACGGGAAGGTGAATTTGCCAGGCGATAGATTCGTCATACGTAACATCTGCTTGTACATGGAAACTGTTGGCCCATACATAGAATTGTGCGCATAAGTTCGTATGATCGCATTGTACAGGAACCCATTTGGTTCCTCCACTTGGTTGAAGAGCATCGTCGCGTAATTCAAATCCCGCGCGGCGTCGCAGACGTCCAACATTTTCGTCGCCAGGAAGTTGCTCTGCGAGAGCGAACGCTTCAGAATATGAGCGTGGATTTTCTTCAGTTCGACCGTGTTCCTGCAGTTTTGTAGAATGGGAACGAAGAGGTCTTCTAGCTCCCTGATGCTCAACGCTCCAACTTTAAATGCCATCACTGATGATGGCTGAAATTATCTTCACAGCGGAACAAAAGGAACTTGTAAGTTGTATCTTGCAATACCGTGACAGAGACTGAGCGACATATATGTGTTCAGAGAAACGTAAAGAAAATGCCAGAAGGGGAGGTTTAAGCCCACAATGTGTTTGACGGAATGCCTCAAAGAAACTTTGTTTTTCAACGTGTCTGTTCTCTAATATGTCTTTATGTCTATTCTCACGCTTCAAGCAATCTTTGAGCTTGTGCAATGCCTTTTGAGTGTTACTGAGATTCATACGCGAATTCGTGACGCTTGTCTGAAACCCAGACACTATCAACTGATCGCAAAAGCTATTCTAAATCTGTAAGCAATCTTGGTTTGGCTAGAAGAAGGAAAGATTTTCATCTCATTAATTAACATACAGTGCAAGTACAAGAAAAGGAACCCACTGTATCTCGCTACAAACTACGCAGAGTCTTGACGATATGGGTTATATTCTTCTCAGATTGGATTCCTGAAAAATGGATGATCCAGAGCATCTCTGGCAGTTAATCGTTCTGATGGATCGTATTTAAGCAGTCCGCGCAGCAGATCAACGAGCAAGGTCCTAGAGCTCTCTGTGTGTCGATACACCATTTCCTGAATTAATACAAAGAATACACAAGTTAGTTGAAGTCCCATAAACCAGGATTCTAACGCAGCAAGCGGAATCGAAAGGGAAAGTATTCACCTTTAAGTTGTCAAGCTTCCTCACAGCTCTAATACTCTCCCTAGAAACTGCTCCTTCTGGCCAATTCAATCTTGTTCTCCTGAAATATTTTTCGGCTCCCCGACTGCAAAATAACATGTTGTTAATCCTCGAGGATTTAGTCTTTTGAATGCCATAAAAGAAAGGGGAAGAAATTATTTACATACTTAGCCTTAGAAATCATGTGCTCTGGCAAAGGTCCTAATACCCTCTCCATCATTGCTAAATGTTCTAAGTTCTCATGTGTCTGGAATAGTGCTCCACCCTAACAACAAGAAAAGCCGAATAAAGTAAACCTCCATTCGCGATTAAGAGTGATTAGAAGAACTTCCAAAACGGAAAATGGGTTTTACACATAATGACACTAACCGTGCATAACTCCACGAGTATGCAACCAACACTCCAGATGTCACAAGGGTAACTCCATCCTAAACCTGCGAGAAGAACATTATGGAACAAGTTAAAATAAAAACACAATTATTTATGATTCTTTTACCCTTGAACATGCCCCTAACTGATTATCTATGCACTGGAATGTAAAAGAATTGAAGAAAGAGAGAGGGAGAGAAAGAAAGAAAAGGGAAAACTCCACAACTAGATCACTTCAAACAGTTTATGGGGCTCTGTAATGTCTTGCAGACCAAAGTTCTTTCGTATATCAGCACAATGACCAACAAAGGAAGAGTGGAAGGAACATATTCATTCACTGGCAGATCAGCAATGGTTACCTAGGATAATCTCAGGGGCTCTGTAATGTCTTGTAGAGACAATGGAGCTGTGGTTCTTATTATCATATGCAGTACTACCAAAATCAATCAGCTTAATGGCACTCGACTTTGGCAACCACCTATAATGTGTTTCATCTGAAGATGCTCTCTGTATCATTTCAAGAATACGGTAAGATTATAAACCATATCCAGATCAAAATCTGTAATTGCTATCAAAATTCAGCCATTAAAGGTCAAATACCTTGGTCGCTGGAAGCTTTATGTGATCAGAAGAGACAAGAAGTATATTCTCTGGCTTCAGGTCAGTGTGAATCAGTTGTAAATCATGCATATCTGGCACATGGAACAGAATAATTCAGATTGAAGCAGTTTGGCTAAATATCATAAAACTGAAAAGTCCTTGATATCTATGAATAAGAGGCAAATATGCAAAGAATAAAATAAAAATAGAAGCTAAGAAAATCTACAGACATGCTACAGATTCCAAAAGCTGGCGTCCAAATTCCCGAACAAGATCCACAGGGAATGGGCAGTATTTATTTCTCTTAAGGAAATCATATAAACTTGGTCCAAGCTTCTCAAAGACCTGGTAAGACCATTGAAATGCATTCAAAAATGAATATGTATGTTTAGTTCCCAATCGCATGAACTCAGTCACATAGACACCTGGGTACAAAAGTACTAAAAGGATGACAATAACTCAATTCATCAAGCATATTAGCGGGTCAATCGATCTTTATCTAGAACCTAACCAAAAATAAGTTCATACAACATTAAGACAATATGCTGTTCTGCACATTCTGCAAAATAAATAATTGGCAAAAAGCCGGGAAATGAGAATGATCAAGATAATATTATATAGACAGATATCAGAAAGATCTGAGTAAATCTAATTGTAAGACAGAACAAGAAGTAAAATCAGATTCAAATGGAAGATTATGGTGGGATACTTACAATACATATATGATTGCGGTAATCAAACCAGTTTTGAATTTGCACACAGCTGCAAATGAAGGCCAAAGCATACAAATTAACGATGTTCCACTAGATTCACGCGGAAAGGGAAACCAAGATCAAACTGGAGTAACTAGTTACCGAGAGCTGGATTTATCATTCCGAGCAAGAAGTTGAAGAACATCAATCTCAATCATTGCTGCATCACGATATTTGCTAATGGAGCGGATCACCTTAATAGCCACGAATTCCCGTGTATTCCGATCCCAACATTCCAGAACTCGGCCGAAGGTGCCTACAACAGCAGCAATTGGCTGAATTCCCCAAGCACAATCATACAAAACTTAAGTTCCCAAGCTCTTGTCAGGCTAACCTTCCCCCATCTTACTGAGAATTTTGTCTGTTCAATGATAGAAACAATGCAAAAGAACAACCATGAGCCACAGAGACGCTTCATATAGACAATAATGCATAGTGAAAGGTTATCTCAAGCTCACAAATAAGCTCAATTCACCACAACAGTACCCTACTTTACAAACGATTTCAGTTTAATTCATAAGGTAAAGTCAAATTGAAGCTGTAATAGCACAAACTCACATCTAGGAGTGAGATTCTCCCCCAGGCTGAAGACATAATGACCTTCACGATCATCAACCCTTTTTGGTGGCGATACATGCTTTTCAGCCCGTTGAGCCTACACACATCCGGGCCCCCAAAACTTTCAGTAAGAGATTACCCATAATGAAATCATTGCTCCCCAATCGAGCACACTCTGTCGAGCTGCCGCCAAATAAAACCCTAACCCTAAACTTCCGAAAATGAACCAACCTCTCCTTCGAGCGGACCAACATCCCATGCAAGCCGAGGACGCTTCCTGATTCGCTCCTTCTCCATCATTCCCCGACTTTCGAATTCCCCCGCTAATGCAATCAACCCACAATCTAATTTATCTTTTTCGTTCCTCCTCCGCAACTACACGAATCGATCTGCAACACAGCAACGGAAAAATCCCTCCACGGTACACTCAAAACAAAGATTAACGCTTCGATACGAGTATCGAATTCGGTTAGTCGGCTCTCGATCAAGAAGGTCGATCGTCGATTCGCTGATATGCCTGAGAGAATCGATTATGTTTGCCGGAAAAAAAGGTGGAAACAATGAGCATTTATTTATCAGCGTGGAATTAACGGCGTCGGTGGAGGCGCCACCGCGAAACTAAAAATCGTTGTTATAGTTGGTGGAGGCGCCAGCCAGCCCATGGACCACCATTATGCATTGAATAGGTAATCCTAAGCCCAAATTCCACTTCATCACCCGAGCCCAATTGGGCTTGGACTGGTCTTGCACGGACAAATGGACTTTAACGACCGGATATGAATGTTGGGCTCCTGAGCTTAACACTTTTCGTCATCGTGGCTGCATTTATATCGGCACGAAAGTGTAAGACTCCGCTCGATTTTTAACTCGATTTTTAAGCATTTATACTAAGGGGTCGTTTGGAGAATATGAGTTTAAATCTACAGATTGTCAACAATCTAAAGATTCTAACTCTTTGGATTGTTGAAAAGAGATTTTAAAATATTTATTGTTTGGTAACTATGATTGTTAACATTCAATTAAAATAAAAAAATTTATTTTATATTAAATAACATGTTTATCCTTAATAAAAAAATTAGAGTGGTTTAAGAAATATTAAAAACTTTGTTGATAAATATATTTCACATGATAAATAAATAAAAGTAAGAGAAAAACTAGGAGAAAAAAAAATCTTACGAATCAAGATTTAGAATCTCTCTGATTAGGAGAGATTTGATATCCACAGATTTTAGAGATTTGAAATCTCTAAAGCTAGAATCCACAATATAAAAAGCAACAAAAAAACATAACTTTCTACAAAATCTATGGATTCAGTGAATCCATGTCCTGAATCCTGTTCTCCAAACGACCCCTAAATGAAAGGAAATCATAACTTAAACCGAGAGTTAATCAAATAAAAATTTGAATTAACTAGATTGTAGATTTGAATCTTGACATACTTGTCTGTTTCGATGGAGCTGTCAAGCACGCTCGTGGGGGTAGCATGGAATTTGTTGGATTCGACCAGAGTGGGGTACTATTCTTCGCAGTCGAGCGAAATGGGAGGAGCCCTTATAGAAGATGTTCACAGGTTTGCAAATGAGTTTCGAGTTATGTTCTTGCTCTATTGTAATTCTCAGGTTTAACAGGATTGTCCATTTGTGACGAAACAAGCTTTTTCACCGAAATTTTGACTATTTATCGACTTCAGCACGTAGTTGCTATTTATACTCTCACTATTTAACTGAACGATTCTTTGTCTATGTTAGGAAAAAAACTCGAATAGAATATGCATGTGAAGGGCAAGGGGGCTTTGAAACCACGATAACAAGCAAAACAAGGGGCGAAAGCTGGGCCCACGGATTCGCCCCTACAAAGCCCACAGATTCGACATCCGGGCCCAGATTCCGAGACTTCTGCGTGGAAACCACGCGAAAGCCACGAGCCCGGGATATAAAATAGACAAATAGTGGCTCACTCTCGTTACCAATCACCATACGCCAGGTAGCACAGTGCGCCACGCTTCCGTCGACTCTGAAATAGCAGAAGAAGAAAAGAAAGCAGATTCAGGGAATGCAATCGCTGCAAGAGAAAGCTTCCGAGTGGAGCGGAGTCGACTCGGCCGACGCGTTCGCCATTGACAGCACCAATCTCTTCCAGAAACTAGGGCTGCAGGCCTTCATCAACCTCTCCACCAACTTCTACACCAGGTAAACAAAGCCCGCACCGAGAATTAAGCAGTGAGAAACATCATCTTCCAATTGGAAATTTCCCATTCGATCCAAATTTGAATTTGAATGTGTTTGTTGTTTCAATTCTAGGGTCTACGATGACGAAGAAGAGGAGTGGTTCAGATCGATATTCGCGAACTCGAAGAAGGAGGAAGCAATCCAGAACCAGTACGAGTTCTTTGTGCAGAGGATGGGCGGGCCTCCCTTGTACTCTCAGAGAAAAGGTTCGGATTTTCGGTTGGCTACTGGTTTTTTTACTTCCTTTTCCTTCATGAACTCAATTGCGTTTCATTAGGTAAGCTCTCGATTGTAAATGGTTTTAGACTATCCACCAAAGCAATAACACTGCCAAAATGTAGCCAATGGAGGAAATGTGTTTTTTTCCTATAGATAAGAACTATAACTACATTAGCAGGGAATCCAAATTTCGGGGTTACAACACCGTTGTAGTTTCGATGTACTAGAAGTCTGTTGATTGCTACGAAATGGGTTCCACAAGAAGCTGTACAAGATCCAGTTTTTATGAATGTAGGTGCTTTTCCAATAGATAGGAACTATAACTACATTAGCAGGGAATCCAGCTTTGAGGCTACAACACTGTTGTAGTATCGCTAGGCTAGAAATCTGTCTGTTGGTTAGTACGAAATGTACGTATGTGCGACACGAGAAGCTGTACAAAGATCCATCTTAATTCCTATGCAAAATGTTGTGTTTGAATCCTAGTAATTCCAATGTTGATTGGAGCGCATGAAAGGGAACTAACTATATAAGATCCATTTTTGAACGTCGGTTTGATGACCGATTGGTTGATTGATGAACGAGTTACTTGCTGTCAGGTCACCCTGCACTAATTGGACGACACAGGCCTTTCCCAGTGACGCACCGAGCTGCAGAGAGGTGGCTGCATCACATGCAGAATGCATTGGATAGCACTCCAGAGATCGACCCAGAATCGAAAGTTATAATGATGAATTTTCTCAGGCAAGATGTCTCCCAGTTTCTGAATCATCTATGTGGTAACTAACTGGTTTAATCATCTCTCGTTATACTCTTTTCTTCAGGCACACTGCATTCTTTCTGGTGGCTGGAGATGAACTGAAGAACCCAAAATCGACCAGTCCAGTGTAAGCTAGCAGCAAACTGACTTCAGTGTAGACTTATGTACTACAGCGCTATTGAAAAAGTAGACACCTTTGTTTGTTGTGTAAAACCAATTGGGGGGAGGGGATTTTGATTGTTTTCGAGATATGGAAAAGCTCGAAGACTGAGAATGCAATCTTTTCAAAAACAGAAAAAGAAAAGAGTCTCCATGTACTTGCAAAACCAGAAGGCCATAGCAGGATGTCAATGTAAAAGATGCTGAAATTGCTGACTATTGATGAGTTTGTCTTTGATTCTGGAGTTCATCGCGACTAATGGTTCAAGTTATAATAGCAGAATCGCGATAAGCTGTACCGAATCTGTCATGAAATCAGATTAACGAGTAATCGAAGATTAGTGGCTTGAGGAACAATAACAACACCATCTACACCAAAACTGTGGTAAAACCATAATGATAAAACAATCGATACAACCAGTAGATACGATCCTGCAATGCGAACGTTGCAGGGTGGGAAGGAAAAGCTGTGGGAACTGGGAAGCGAAGTCAAATCATCCGTCAGACAACGAATCGAATGGTTTAACATTATATAGCTCTATATTAAGATAAACAGTTAGATGGAGTCGCAGAAAACAAAGCAAAGAAAACCAAAAATGACTCACTACTCACTACCAAAATCCCCTGCTGAGTTTCACAGGAGAGGACACTGCTACCTTGCAAAGCAAGCAGCGTATTTCTAACTACACATTTAACACTTCCCTAGTTTCCATCCATAATTTACCCCTTAAACACGCAACAGACCCTCACATTGTGTCACGACGCCCCACGAACACCACCACCACCATTCTGCTGCCGCTGAACGATCGACCGCAGCCTCTCGTACGAATCAAAACACGCATGAGAATAGTCCGACATGGCACGAAACAGCTCGGGCAGGCGGATCTTAAGGCTGCCCAGCGACTTCTCCCTCACCTGAAGGCAATGCCTCTGGTGAGCTTCCACTTCCTCCTCCAGCCTCTTCTGCAGGGTCTCCACAGCAAACAGCCTCTCCGCCACCGGGTCTCCGGTTCGATCACCACCACCATTTTCGTCCTCCAAAGGCGTCGGGGCTCTCTTCATGACGTACTTCTGGTGCCAATCCTCGAACGCCTGCCTCTTTCGTATGTACTCCCTGCGAGTTTCTTCGCACTTCTCCTTCAGCTTCATCTCTTCCTCCTGGTGGAGCTTGATGGTCGTGATCACTGCTGCGAACGATGAGATGGCGGATTTCGAGATCTCGTCGGGGAGCTTCTCGAGGTGGTCGTGCCACGCGTGGAGCAAAGGTTGGATGGGCGGGGTCTGGACTCGAGGTGGTGACGATATCTTCTCCTTCAGGCTGCTCTCTATGGGGATGAGGTTCAGCTTTAGCCAGCTGTTGAGACAGCTTATGTATTGCTTCTGATGCGTGACGAGATGATTGAATTGGTCATGCCATTTCTCGACAACATCACACAATTGTGCGGTTTGTTCATGATGCTGCCTCGTTGTTTCTCGGATGGCGTGGGCTATATCAAGCGATTTGAGGTCTGTTACGATCTTCAGCTGGCTATCGTGGTGGATTGACATGCTTCCCCACATCTTCGACATCCTGTTGCAAATCGGTAGAACATAGTTAAGTTTTGCATCCAAAAATCCAATCATCAAACTGGGGTAGAATCGCACAAAAGCTAGTTTCCACTCCAATTCTAACGAATTCATGGACTCGCTAAATAGCCTTTGCATGGAACCAGACTATATTTGGTTGAATCCTCTCTATCAGTTGATCGTATCACCTTGACAACATGCAGGCTCTACAGAATTGTTTACCATAAGGCCACAGCATGAACTAGGATCAATTAACCATTCAGTAGCTTACAAGAGTACTGAGAAACCAGATAAGAGAAAGCGAATGCGAATTATTTTGTTTACTCTACGAGAGCTTACCCTTCGACAAGAGCAACCAGCTTAGGATACAACTGCTGATCGCGTATATGATTAACTTCCGAGACAGTCGAGTCCATGGACTGCATGTCAACTATATATCTCGTGTGCAAATGGCTCACAGCAGCTTTAGTCTTCTCCAAGGATTCAGCACTCGCACCGCGTTTCTTCTGCTTGTTGAGCAATGCCACCTTCCTTTTGTACTCGAGCTTCATCAGCTCACCTTGCTGCTCGATAAAAACCAAGATAAACAGAGATGAGCTTGGGGAAAAAAGCAAACTCACTTGGTAATGAATGATGCCAAAGAAACCAAGCATTAACCAAAATACTTCACCTTGACTTCATCATAGAGTTTCTTCTCCCATGCCATCAACTTGTCCAGAACAGTGGCATGGGTTTCGTAATCGTCTGAATCGAATTCATCATTCCCTCCTTCTCCACCGCTGCTTACACCTTTAAACGACTTATTATTCCACGTAATCACACGCATAACCCTGGCAGAATGATCAATGTGCCCTGCAATTATCCAAGGCGCCTTAGTGTAAACAGAACACTTAAAACACCAATTGCATATGCAAAATTGCAGTAACTTCTGCATAAATGTGGGAGAGTAAGTTGCTGGTAAGCACTTTTCCTATCTTTTAAGAGGGCATCAAGCCGCAAGAAAGGTTCTTTTCCTCGTAACAAAAAGTCCTTTCCTTTGGAAGCAAGTAAATAGAACCCATCGAAGAATTTGAAAGCAAGATACCAGCTTTAAGAGGGAAAATGAGTGAGATTTCGGATTCTGAAACCTCTATTGTCAGCAAAATTGGAATGGTAATGGAGTCGAGTCGCTTCGAGCATCTTGCAGACCTCCTGAGTGCTCTCTGAAGCCCTAAGGAAATGATCATCGATCTGACCTAAGACCTGCATCAAATCCACACTCCCGGCAGCAGCCTTCTTCCCAACTCTCATGAACTCCGGCGGAGCCGTTTTAGAATGCTCAATCTGCTTCCCTCTTGTAGCATCTCCTTCCTCTTCCTCCCTCGGGACGGCCTTCGCCTTCCCCGGAGTTATCTCCGGCGTCCTGGGCTCATCGTCATCGTCCACATTTCCCCCAAAATTACCATTCGCGTTCTGTCTCTCTGCCTCCCCATCGTCTTCCTCATAGTTGTCTTCGGGATCAAGGGTCGGGCCGGGCATACTGTCCACCATGAAGAAGTAATCCCAAGCCATGCCCTTCGCCTCCGGCATCGGCGGCACCTGGTGATTTCCCGACGGCGGTGGTGGCGGTGCATCTCTGTTCTTATTTCCTCTATTCCCGTTTCGAATCCCGTGATCCAATTCCTCTTCTTCCTCCTCCTCCTCCTCCTCCTCCTCTTCGTCTTCTTCAGCAATAGCGACGGAGTCCAAATCTCGCCGGCCCCTCTGCTTCAGCGAAATCGCGGGCATGCTGATTGCGCGCTTGATTGGAGGGCCAGGGCTAGGGGAGAAGCTCGGCAGAGGAGGCGGAGGCGGCGGGAGATTGTCAATCGGAGGAGGCGGCGGCGGCAATGGCGGCTGCTCCGACCCTGCATCTAGCGGAGCCTGCTGCTCTAGATTGGCGGCCTGAGATGGGTCCGCTTCCCCGTGGGCGTAGTCGTTGAGAGCGGCGCCGGTGTTCTTCAGGGACACGGCGTAGCCGGAGTGAGCGGCGGCGAAGGCGTTCCTCGCCGCCACCGCCTCCTTCATCAGGATTTTCCGCTCCTTGCATCTCGTCACTGATTCCTCGTTGTCCACCTTGGACTGGGCGCAGCCCATTCCTTTTTAGTTTCAGCTGGGCAGTCCAAAGAAACGAGCTTGAAGAAGGATAACAATGGCGCCAGAGGCACAGAGAGTGAAAGATGGAGAAGAAAGAGAACGGAGGAGGAGGAGGAGAGAGAGATAGAAAGGGGGTTTTGCCTTTTGGGGGTTAATTGTTGAATGTGAAATTAATTTTCCAGAGAAACGGCGGAGGAGAAGCAGATTGAGAAGTGTGACTGAGAGAGAGAGAGAGAGAGAGAGAGAGAGGAAACGGCCAAAGCTCAGTGGCTGAGTGAGAGACTGAGAGCAGAGTGTGAACTGAGCAGCAGAGAGAGCTGCAGCCAGCAGTGCAGAGTGTTGTTTGTTTCCTTCTGTCGCCACGCGCCCGCATTATAGGGAAGTGGAGGCTACTCTCTCCTCTCTCAAAGCTAATTCCTTATTTATATTAACGGTAACTTTTTTAATTTTCTTCTAGCTTATAGTATAACTTATAAGCATTGTGAACGGCGTCGTTTTTGCCTTTATGGTCTAAAGGTAGGTTCGTCGACATGGCAATTAGGAACGTGTAGCGGGTTTGTACTACACTACAATAAGCTGAATCGACATAACAACCACCTTATAGTATGCTATAAAAAAAAGGACCGAATCGATACATTATATCAAACCAAATCGAATATAATGTATCAGAGTCTGGATCTGATCCGTACATTTTCCTTCCATTTGAGTCGTGGTTTTCATGATTTGATTCGATCTTATCTCCATCATATGCGTTGCACACACCTAGAGGTGGCAATTAGGATCCAAATTCATGAATCCAATCCAATCCATGAATTCAATCCAGTCCATCCACTTAATCCAATCCATTTAAATCCAATCCATTTGATCCAAATACAATTGGATTGGTGGATTCATGGATTGATGACAAATTACGATTTTATACCTATATTTTTTATATTGTACATTTTGGTACCTAAAATTTATATTTTTATACGAAAATCATTGGAAAATTACATTTTGGTACCTAAAAATTTTCATTATGACATTTTAATACCTAAACTTTTCAAAATTTACATTTTGATCCAAGTCTTGGATGCCATTTTGATTCATGGATCAATCCACCAATCCATTGGATCCAATCCATTTGATCCATGGATCCACCAATCCAATACACGAATCCGATCCAATTGCCACATCTACACACCTAATGATACAATCACCTCAAGAAATAAAATGGCAAAGTACTATCTTTGTCTCTTAAAGGTTTGATTTGTTATTACACATTCAAATCCTATGGTGAATTTCCACCTTCCCTGCAAAACTCATTTTAGTAGGATGTAAGAAAATCAAAACATAACAGAATACACCCATGTGATCAAGTATGAAGCATAATAACACGATGAATCTCATATAGCTGATTCTCATTCATACACTTCTCTCCCTGTTTTAGGAACGATTTACAAGTAGAAAGAGTTGCATACGGAATCGTAAGGTTAAAACCCTGAAGAATTCTGGGTTTTGACTTTTGAATCAAGCTTCTTCTACAGACCTGAAATGCATACATACATTAATCATGTCCTAGCTAGTTTACAAACATACAAAGATTACTGCTGTCTCTTCTGTAGTTAGGAAATGGCACGCAGCCCTGTCGATAAATCATCTGCACGAAAACACGAACTCGATCCGACAGTTCGACACGAGTTATGGATGTGCAGAGAACACGCAGCCTCAGCAGTACCTTAGCAGAATCATCTTGCAAGAGGCCTATCCCATCTTTCTTCCAAATGAAAACCCCCTGCAGTTTGTGTTATACTTTTTAAGATATGGACAATCTTATGAGGACAAATTTTGGAGACATCACCTTTCGGCGAGAAAATGGATTACAGATAGATTTCCAATGGCCTCTGCAGTGTAGCAAATTTTGTCTGGGAATCTGAAAGGACGTGGGCTTGTTCACTGTTCACTAGCGCCCCCAAAAATTCTGAGAGTTGCATTAGCTTTGCTGAAATCCGAGTTTCCATATGGGCGCCTCCTTGTGGCCATAGAAAAGGAGGAAGAAAGAACATTTTTTAGTCCAAATCACAATCATGCTCCACTACCATAAATGCATGTAAATCTCAGACAGGATTGATATTCAAATACAGAGATCATTTATGGGCAACATTCCAAGATCGAAAACAGGGTGGCTGGGACCTGACTTTTTATAGCCAGGATATTCTTATAGTGAAATTTGATAAGTGTAATTAGGGTATCATAAAGGATAAGGAGACATTTGCTTAATCTACTTGTTTCATAGTTTGCTCTAGTTGAGAAGAAGCCTTGTGTTTGTTGTCTTGATGCTCTGAGTAAGGATCCTTTTGTTCAATTGTTGGATTCAGTTGTAAATGATGACTATGTAGGATAAAGAGATATTGACTACAATATTGATTACTCGGTTTGTGCAAAGGAGCTCGAATCTCTAAGACAACTTTGTTTTCGAAGTTGAGTGGCATGTCGAGCTCAGGATTTGGTTTATGGTAACCTTACCCAGGAGTATGCAATTTTATCATGGAGGAGAGCTTTGGACGAGATGGACTTGCAAACGCCTTCGATCAAGTGATTGATGGCGCCTTCCTTTAGAGATTAATGAAATTGCGGAATCTTGTAGTCTTTGATTTCCTGTGGCGGCGAGACATCCACACCTAAAATTCGAGAAAATATTTATAGGTCTCTGAATAGTAGTTTCGTGTTTGCAGTCAAATTTGTAGCTCAAGGATTCCAAGCTTCTTTTCAACAAGTGAAACAAATGGGTGTTAAGAATATTTTTGGCTTTTTTTTTTACCCCATTCTACTAGGTAGGCGGTTTGAAAGAGAGATTGGGCCACGAAAAGAGAGTATTGAAGTTGTTTCGATGAGTTTAGTGAACCGAAAGAAGAATGAAGGAAGTGAAGAATACCAATAAGAAGTGTTGTGTAGATTCTAAGAATGAATTATATGAATTGTGAAGAGTGAAGAGAGTATTGGGCGTTCAGAAGAAGCAACTACGTGCTCCTTCCGTCTTCTTAAATTACTCCTTTTGGCAGGACAATGCATTAGAGTTGTTTCTGTGGAATCACTGGCTTTCTCAGAGTTTGTTATTCCTTAAAAGGTTAAGTCTTAAAAACCTTTAGTTCTTTTTATAGACACTCTAAGTTCAATTAATGGCTTCTCATACGCTATTTTAATTTGTGATTAATGACTCATTTGTTCCGGCAAGTTTGTTGCTAAATCGCAAAATTATCGTCAAAGGAGATGAATTGGCCAAGGGGGTTCCTCGAGCCAGCTTACAAAGACGAATCTCTTTTATTACGAGTCCTTGGCATGAGAGAGACTATCTTTTTTCTTTCTTTTCTTGTTGTTGACCTTGGTATTGCAACAAGGACTTAGAATTGTACTTGGATTATTAGGGTTGGTCTCCAGCTCCACTTGATTAGGTAAACCGATCTAACAGGTCTATGTTTGTTCAATTTATCAAGCCTTAGCCAAATAGTTCTTGTCCCCAACTTTTCAAACATAAGTCAAGGATCTTGTAATGTACCGGAAGAAAATGCCATGTTTTGCTTCGGTCTTTCTCCAAGAGCATGTTGGCTCCGAATGACAAGGTTTGGTGTTTAAACTATGGTTCTGCTTTTGGCAATAACGACATTCATTGAACGCAAAGTTACCATTCATGGTGTTAGGACGAATATGGACGAGATGGCTCTAATCAAGACATACGATTTTAGGTTGAAGTGTACCTTAGAATTGTGATCCACACATTTGCTCAGTCAAACAAAACAATCACATGTCAATGCATTTATAACTTCGTCCTCAATTAGAGACTAGAATGACATTCGTTAATTTTCGTCATTACTTAGTGGAGTGTAAGTTAGTGAACCAAGGTATGGCCAATTGCATGAAATCCATAACAACAGTGGGTACATGGAAATCAAGTTAGGCAAGGGAGCAACAACGAGATGTCGAGTGACAAACCATCCATCCCTATTCAATTAGGTCTAACGCGTCAATGGCAAATAAATTGTTTATTATGCTTGTAGCCATGTGGTTCCTTTGGTGTAAGGACCTTTAGATATCCAATTCTCCTTCTTCTAAGATAAGAAGCCCTTGAAACCTCTGCTTTATTTGCAACTTCTTCATTACTTGCCTTTCTATGCATAGGCTTATTGAAAGCCTAGAAAGACTAATCTTAACATCTTCTGCAAACTTTTGTGATTGTATCGCCCTCTTAATCCGAGGTTGAAACTTTTGATTGCATCTACTCTTGACATCTTCTGCCCACAGTTGTGATTGTATGTCTCATTCCGAAAAGTGAACTTGTGTTGATTGAAGAGACTTCCGCGGTTCGACATATTAGGCTAGTACCAAAGCCCTTACCTTGCGCCAGAGTTGTTAATCAGAATAAAGTTGCATGTACAATGACCTACTACTAAATATCAACCTTGCTATGAAATGCGAAGGCTCTAGCAAAGTTATATCAATGAGGCACAACGACTATGTATGCTCATGCACAAGCTTCGCTCAAGAAAACTTGTCACAAATAGTGATAAATCCTCTATACACTCTTAATATTAGTAATCAAGATCAACATTTTACCATGGATTATAGCACTGAGAATAAATTATCCCAGGGACGTCGACCGGGCTAAGGAAGCCCCTATATTGAGAGAGAGCCCATCGTAAAGGAGTCTTTACGTTGGTTGGACTAACATATCTTTCTAGCATGGCAATGTGCTTTAGCCCCAATGAGATACCAAAGATCTTTAAGGAGTACTATCTTTCCATGTAGTCAATAGCACCAAACAAACGATGGTATCAAGGCTTTTTCCTTTGCTCGTATCAATTGAGCATCATAAAGCCATCCAAGGTTATTGGGTTCTTAACAAGGGTGCCACTGAGGGACCTCGCGCATGCTCAAACTCCATTTGACTGCTTCGTGCTCAAATCTTATACCTTACAAGTAATACTGCAACACATGCTTCAACGATCTAGTACATAAATGTTGAGGCCTAAAGTCGATAGTCGAGCACTAAAAACACTTTGGTGAAGAAGCATATAACTTCCAACAGCATTAAACATGCATCTCTTCGAAATGTACACCGCGACTACTTCAGTAACATTCCTAACAAACCATTTATACGGACATCCTAAACCGCATATTTGGGCTATCTACCACTAGTCTTCCTTTTTATCCTATGTCATTTCTTTCTTTTTTGGGACTTTTTCCTTTTTCACAGGAATATACCGTCGGCGAGGCATGAGAAAAACTCCACGAGCTCAATTATTGGTCGTCTTTGCTAATATCTAATCATTAACCCAAGCAATACCACATGCTCAGTCCTAGCCATTATTATCGAAGCTATTGGACATCAATGGTATCAGACTTGTGAGTATTCACAAAAGAGGCTAAACAAACCAACTAAAGCTCAATGCCAGTTGAAGGCCCTCCTCTCCTGAGCATATTGTGATTAGCTTTCCCTTTCTTGTTGGTCGGCTTGGGTTGGTTCCCCACGATTGTTCCTCCCATATCTGTCTAGCTACTTCGTTCCTCTCTCTCTATCAATTGAGTTACTTTACTCTTCCCTATCAATCGACCCCTTTTCCGCCCCTCTTTGGCCTTAAGAATACTTTCCTGCTTTGATCGCGATATGGATGTATACCCACCATATACCTATAATCTAGCAGGTCATAGCTTATAGCTTTAGGTGTCTTAGATGTTTTCGTTAATGAGTAATTGAGTATATAACTAGTATAAGACTCAAACTCTAATTGTTGCACCACGCCACAGTCCCAGACTAAATGCATCAGCGAGGATTGAATTCATGAATTGGTGGATTGGATTGATATATCCATGGATCAAATGGATTTGTGGATTCATAGATTGAATCATATGGATTGGTGGATTGACCCATTCATCCAAATGACATCCAAGCTTTGAACCAATATGTAAATTTTGAAAAGTCTAGGTACTAAAATGTCATAGTAAAACATTTAGGTACCAAAACATAATGTCATGAACTCTTCTTTTAACGAAGAAACCCAGTGATCCCCAAAAGACCTTCTCAAGAAGGGACAATAGAGCCCTTGCTAATTCTGAAGAGCTTAGTGGCCTTTGGAAGGGATACTCGAGATAAAAGCATAAAGCCAACCACAATTGGCTTATGCGACAACCCCAAATCCCCCTCATATTGGCTTAAAGGCATGCTCTTAGAAGTCGAGCAAGCCTGCAGTTTATGCTCTAAATTAACGTAACTTATTCAGAATTCTAAGACGAGATTTCCATTAGTCAAACAGTGATCAACTAGCAATCACTAAATTCAGAGAGCTATGCCCGGAAGATAAAGAGAAAAAGGAGCTTGAAGGCTAATTAACTAGGCAGCAGAAGTTCAAAATAACAGCAGAAATAAACCACCACGTTATCTACAACTAGATGGAATAGAAAGTTCATACCATCCTCCATCTCCCCTGAGCAGAGTAGTTCGAGCCGTTCAGGCAAAATAGAGAAGTTGTCGAGGGAGGAGAGTTTGCTTCACACTAGGGCCACTACCTTCCGCTGCACATGAATTCACATTCGGTCCCAAGAAATTCTCCTTCGACCCTGAGAAAGTTCATTTACATTCTGACCTGCAAACAAACTGACTAGATAGTGACTGATTGTTTCAAATCCATAATTCTGACCATGATGGAAATATGAATTAAGAACGACCAAGGTAGATATGGGCATATGGCCAAGCCAAATATAGGTGACTGGCAAGCTTCATTGAGAATCAACAAGTCAGAAAGAGCTCAGAGAGTTGGCCAACGAAAATTACAGTCAGAGCATAAAGATTGGTCAACAGCAAATGGAGATACACGTTTCAAAGTTGTAGCTGCAATGCACAGTACTTACCAAAAAGTTGACGAAACAGGAGCACCATCCCTCACTCAGTAGACTTAAAACGATCTATAAGTACCTTCAGTTCCTCACCTTGTTGCTGAAGTCCAACGGGAGCATGACCAGTTATGGTATTTTAACAAAAATGACAATTTCAATTTTCTGATGAGAAAAATGCAGAGGAATCTGACATACCTTGTGTATGGCTTCCCATGTTAGATTCACTCTTGCTTGATGCACAGCCCAGTCAATAGCCATTTCATGCTCAATTGTATTGGGTTGCGAACAATGAGAAGTAGACACAGCCTCTCTCTGCAGGATAAAATAGGAAATGATACGGGAAAGTTCAACTAAAAAACAAAGAATAAAAAACAATACTGCTAAACAAGTTTTGAGATGTAGCAAAAGCAATGCAGATTTAATTTTACCTTGTCACGATGAGTTTGGTGTTTCAGTTTATCAATACCAAAATGACCAAAAAAAGGTGACTGTTTTCCTTTAAAAGCACTAGAAGCTAGCCTAGCCACAAGGGCCCTGACCAGAACACAGAAAAAATAACATTTTCATATTAGTCGTTAATTAGTTGACTATACATGTTTAGGATCTCAAAAAATCAATCTGGAAAATCACTACTGCACCCAGTTTTGCCATACCTTCCACCAGGTAACACCAAACAATGCCTGTCCAATTTCGCAACCACCCTTCCTGCCACTTCCTTTGACGAGAATTTGACAAAAGCTTGACCTTCGGCAAGAAAGATCAAATGGATCAAAAACTAAGGCAAGAACAAAAAAAAAAGGGTGAAAAGATAGTAAGAAAAGCAAAATGACAAAGCTAGGGAGCATTCCCCTTCACTTCATTCCAAGTAGTACCAAAATTAGGGCTGGAAAAAGCTGTCCGCTGAACCATCTTTGCAGAGCAATTTTCCTTCAGAGCATCCTTGATCAACTCCTGATCCACAAGAACCATCATGATGATCCAGCCAAATAAAGAAACTGGTGTATTGCAGATTGCACCACAGACACGAAGTGAATGTATCACATCATAAAAGAACTCCATACTCTTCAACGAGCATTACCTTCACCTCGTCTGATGTGTATGATGGTTCCAAGTTTAGAAGGAGAACGAGACTTCCATTCTCATACCCATCTTCCATTGCTTCATCCCAAGGCTGGCCATAACACATGGCAGAACCAATTAGTACAGTGGGTTGCAAATTGAGGAAACAAAGCAATGTCTAATTATGAGCTCTATATTTGCATACATTTCACCCATGCAGTTATTTTGAGTCCGTAGATATGCAGGTTTGTCTGTGGCAGAAAACTTAACGAACTTGCATGACGGATTATGGCAGTAGGCTAAAATCAAGCTCAGAAAATTCCTCATTATGTTTGTACGACAGGAAAACTCTTGCTAGAAGTACCTCTATATTAACAGAGAATCAATTATCCATTATTCCTAAGTTACCCATCAAGACATATTCCAGGATATTTTAAGAAAAGAAAGCACCAACACCTTGTGAGTTGACTCCAAAATTTCTGATTTGAAAACAAGTTATTAGGGACATATTTAATTGCATTCGGAGTGGGGTAAAAAGACAATGATCAACCACGATATCAAAGGAAGCAACCTAATACTCTGTGAATAGCACCAAAACTACCACACGGCCAACATGACCACCAAATAGCAATTTCATCTCAGAACCACCAGCTCAAAACTTAGCAGACTCATAATTATACCTTGCCAAAGTATTTTATTATATCCTCAATAAAAGAGAGTATGAAATGACCATATAACCAAAACAATTGTTAAGAAAATCAATAAATGACAGAATGCAGCAGAAATGGAATTACAAACATAAATAAAAAAGAGCAAGCCAACACAAAGATGAAGATGAGATACTCACTTGTTCTTTGCACCATCTTGATCTTCTTTCCTCCTATGATATGAGTAAACAACTTATTAACAAACTCACAACATGAATCCTTAATCACAGGGCATGGTCAATTTAAATAGACATCAGAAGAAGCTCCTAATTAGATAAATAGTCAAATGAAAGCATTCTCTCCTTTGTTTATGAAGTTAAATGTGAAGATTTCCTTGGGACAAAGCAGATTTTGTCCAGTATGTTGAAATAGACACAAAACAATGGCCAAGTAACGTGTGTTAAACAATCATTACACTCAAGTGATTTCGCTATTTAAGTTAAGCGTGAACGAAACTAGATGATACGCTTCAAATCAGATCAAGCTTGAAGGAGACTACATGCTTAATACGCTATTCTGAAAACTTAATTTATTTCAAAAGGTAAAAAGTTTGCACTAAGAAAACGGGAACAACTCAGAATATATGAGTAGTCAATTGAAACCCTAACAATGCAACTCACAATGCTAATGGCTTCAGACCCTTGATTATCAACCCTTTTCCTTTCATCGGTAGATTGGACTGGTGATGGTTTAGGCAACTTTGCACTAGCAAGCCTATTATGCTCTCCTTCCAGTTTTCGCTTCTTAAGACCTTCTTTATTCTTGGGTACATCCTTTGAACTTTTAGAGTTTTCCACAGTTCTCGTAATTGTGGAGGGCTTAGTCCTCCTACTCTCTCTATTAAACAAATATTTAGCTGCAAGAATTATGAAATGTCACATGTAAGGATCTAACACACATGCACACACAACGCACACAAGGCAAACAATAATAATTCAGTCATTGCGAAAAGAAACAAGTGCTGAATATCTAAAGTTACATACTCTCCACTTTAGCAATTTTATCATCCATCTTTTCCACAATCTTGCAACTCCCTACATCAAAGGCCCGGTTAAAGACATAGTCTGCACCGATGATCTCTTCCTCTAAGGGTTGACGATTCCTACTATCTCTTGAAGTGCATACCACTTTGCATTTTCCCGCAATGGCTTCCTGGATCAGTCATGGATATTTATATTTACTTACCCAGCTTATTAAGGACACGACATCTTTAGAATACTACGTCTCCAAGAGAAAGCAATGAATAGTTAATCACAGTAAGAACCACACTTACCACGGGATTAACATCAGAAAGCCCTACCCCCACCCCGGCTGCCAAAAGCAGTTCATTCTCCAGAAAGGTCTCCCCTCTCAAGTAATATGTAATATCGCGAGGGCGAAAGTACCACAAGATCGTACATAGTTTACGGCCTTGAGGAGTCTCCCACAGTCTCACTAGCTTCCCTATCTCAGGCTCGTCACAGTCTGCTCGGTACATATACACCGAGTCATACAATCTATATTTCATGCCATCATACATGAAGGACTCATAAAACTGGACGTCATTATTCTGTCCACCCATGGATCGCTTTTGTAGCCACTGGAATTCATTCCTGCTCGGTTCATCAACTTCAGCAGCCATCCTCTATTTCGTAACATTCAGACAAACACAAACAACCAACGAAAACAAATTGTAAATCTCACCACCATGCTCAATATTTATGCATAAAGATAATGAAATTCCAAGTAAAAATACACCAAATAAGCAACACCGCCACTGCCTCACATTTAAGCAATGTAACCACCGCGGAAAATCGGCATGCAAAAGAGCATAGACTGGGAAAGAACTCGCACAGAGAAAATGTAATTTAGGGCAAAAGAAATTAAACCAGCGTGCAGGTCACTTGTCCACGGGGGCGGCGGCGAACAGGGCAGTTCAAGAATCGAGCAGTCGGAGGAAGACTCTTACCGGCTGCCGAATTCGAACTCCGAAGAAACCCTCACTTGCCGATGGGGGCAACGACGAACACAGCAATGCGATAATCTAGCGGTCGGAGGAGGACTCTCGCCGGCAGCCGAAAATGAACTCCGATGGAACCCTAGTTGCAAGTTACCGGAGCAACGAAACGGTTCACTTTCCCCTCGCTTCGAGTGTTTCTCCGTTCGCGGTTGATTATCAGTTTTCCTTTTCTCTTTTTCGTTCCCAGTAAAGCACTGGAGTGGAGTGTCGAAGGCGTATATATACACACATGGTGACACGCGGTTTTTCTCGCGGGATGAATTGTGACGATTTTTGAAAACCGAATCGGTTGGTTTCATCGGTAAAATCACTAACCAATCACATGTTCGATCTAATTGGTGTAACCGACCGTCATTTGTGAACCGATCGGCTTGATGTCGGTCTGATTGGTATAATTCCCGAGTAAATATCGGGATAATATAAGGGGTCGTAGACTCTCGTAGTTGTGATTGTTAGATTTGTGTTTATTGAATACATGTATTATGTATAATACAATGTTTAGAAGTATCAAAGTGTAAAACAATGTATGTATTGTTTTAGGTAGGTCCCACCAACAATCACAAAAAATTATGCATTATACAATCTCAACTAAAAGTTGTGAATACAATCTCAACTAAAAGTTGTGATTGTTGTGATTGTTTATTTTAGATTTGTGTCCACTTTTTCTTTTCATCTATATTCCTATTAGTTTTTGTCTTGTGCTAAAAGTTGAGGGTAAATGTGACATTTCCCTATAAAGTAACTTTATACAAGTCAATACATCATTTAAAATCTCATCAACCATTGTACCAATACATGTATTTACATTATTGTGATTCATTACAATGCAATGATTTAACATTCGCAACTTTCAAACGACCCCTAATAATATGTAAGATAGCAAATCTCTTAACCTGTGAATTCTTCATTGTTAATTCCTAAATAATTATTGTCAATTATTATCTAGCTACAATCAAGTCAAAACTAAAGCCAATTTGGTATGTGCCTTTACAAAGGTGAGGTGTAACATTCTATGCTTCTTCTCATTCCTTTACACTTCCTTCTTTAGGGGTTAGTGAGTTTAATCACGCAGAGAGGAATTTCGAAATAAACGAGCAAAGCAACGACGATTTAGAAAGAATAATGGGACGGTTGATGTACACTTCAATCGAGCACAAAGACATAATGGTGTACATGTGCTACAGTTCAGATTGTTAGAAGAAGACAAATACCTCAGCTTAGAGAGTCAGAGATGAGGAGAAGAGGTCATCTGGATCGGTGGATAGTGGACACTTGATAAAAGGAAATATGAGTGATATGTAGAGGATGAGCTTCGCAACAGATGAGCTAGCGGTGGTCAGCAGCTAGGGACGAGCTTAGCAAACGAAGGAGTGACTGGCTGCTGGAATCATATTGTTGTGACGAGCAACAAATAAAGGGGGTGGTGGTTAACAATGAGAAACAAAGAAAAGGGTTCATTAATGTTGTGATTTAGGTAGGGATGACAATATCGACCTGGCCCGTTTTACGCGACCTGTTTGACTTGTTTTGGGGCGGGTACCCGCCCCGTAGGCAGGCCGGGGCGGGCATGGGTACTCTCATCGACCCGACCTGCCCTGACCCGCCCCATTCTCGACCCTTTCTTGCCTAAATTACACGCAATTTTAGTCAAAATACTTAGGATTTTCCTTTTACTACATCAAAATTTAGCTATAATAAAACTGTAAATTAGTGAAAACCTCAATTTCTCCAATAATTTAACTATATTTATCATAATATTGTTTGTTTCCATAGTCTTATAATAAAAATAACGAACATTTCTAATATTTTTCATATAAATTGCTTACCCATTGGGTCGACCTGTCGTGACCCGTGATAAATTACCCGACCTGGACCCGACCTGCGACGGGACGGGTCTGGGTACCAAGAAACCCGCCCCGGACCTGCCCCATTGCCATTCCTAGATTTAGGGGTTCCAAATTTTCCTTTCTTCGTTTTTTTAAACCAAAACGGCTACGTTTTGTGGATGCATGGAGTTTTTTTTATTTAACATACCATCCGGCATAACTAACACCCGCTAGTATTTTTCGACTCGCATGGTAGTTCACTCCATCCTAATGAGATTCTGTTAAACTCGATGTTTTATTCAGTTTACGTCTTCTACATACAAGGAAGAACGTTGTCATATAAACAATTGTGTTTAACTCTTTTTCGTGCATTACTCGATCCTTGCACTTTTGGTCTCAAATCAATCCATGATTGTTCCTCAAAGTCATGGGCCTCTCAATAATACTCAATCAACAAGCCAACACATAAAAAATGGTTAGTTGGCTAACATAAATAGTTAGTAGTGCAAGCCTAAGACACCAATGTGCATAAGAAAAGTATAAATAAATTTGTAGCATTATGCATTTATGAAAATATCTCATTGGATACGGTGATAAGTGTCAATTATAAATGTTAAGTTAAAGCAGTCGACATCAAACTCTTACAAGTATGAAGAGCACTGACCATTTGATCATTGTCCACTGCCATTTTTTAGAAATACACATACAAAAAAAAAGCTTCGCTAGTTGACATTAGCTCGAAACACTATAATGTCCCATTCAATTATTGAAGAGGGAGTTTGAGAAAATATGATATTGTTAAGTGATCATAGAGAGAGTATAAGACGCTCATCACTTAGAGCAAAACTATTATTGTATAGATAGTACACAAAATTTCATAGGAGAAAAGTAAAGAGAGTAAAGTGTTTAGAAGAAGGCACATCACGAGAGAAATTGGATTACGTGCTAAAGGAAGTAGCCATACTTTAAGAGAAAATGTGTTTATAGAATTCATAAAGAGAGAAAGTAGTCATGCAGCAATTGAAGGACTCCCCTTTTCTCTCTCTCTTTTATTTTTTTAATCATCTACCTTCTCAATAGAAATCCTTCTAAGTTTTTCCTAGGGTGCCCCCGGCACACCCTAGTGACCGGCGACAACACATTCATATCCCACTGCTTCCCATCCATCTCCTCTCCTGCTTTCCCTGTTATCGATCTTCCTCATGTTTTCCGTTCTATTTGTCTCCTGCATTTTATAGCTTCCTCTTCTTAGCTTCTCCCCTTTCCTTCTTATTGCTCTTTCCTGCCAAGGGTTGGGTCTCTTTTCCCCTTTTGTCGGGCTTCTTCCTTTGCTATGTTGGGATGATGTTTTGTCCTCTCATCCGATCTAGATATGAATATGTTATCGATCTTAGATGCAAAGGAGGCCGATTCTTCTTTGATTCACCTTGCACGTTTTGGTGTTTCATAGATGTGGAAATCTGCCTGGACTCAAAGAGAAGATTCTGAAGACTGAAGTTCACCTCCAAGATTTTGTCATCGGTCACCCTCTCGACCGGAGGTTCTCTCGCTGGTTTTGTCGGTGGGGAGCTTTGAGAGTTTGGTTTGGCGAGGTTTTCGCTGGAGGTGGTTCATGTGCCTCTTAGTGTCCACTACCCGGGGTGGTTCTGCTTCGACGTGCTTTCTTAGTGCTTGTGTGGTTACCATTCCTTGGACTTCGATGATGGGAGGAAGGTTCGCATGTAGCAGTTAGCGACGGTGAGGAGTAAAGGGACAAGGATAACCAAAAAAAAAAATACTTTACCCTGAGAATGCGTTTATTCAGATGTATGGACAAGTATATCAGAGCGTTTCAGAAGGAGTATCAAACTGTTTGTGCAGCTAGGGTTGGGGATTCTGGGCTTGGGTTGGACTTGGTCTGACCACTATTATGTGTCCAATCTTTTGTTGGGTTTGTGGGCTTTGAGCCTTTTTTTGTGCATTTGTTTGTATGTGTACTTTCCATTAGGCTTGTCTCTTTTGCAATCTAAATGAACCTTTCATAAAATAAAATAAAAAAGAGAGAAAGTAGTCATACTTTTGATAGTAACAAAAAATGAATTGTGTACCAAAAATTGGATGTGTTTTGGTGGAGAGGAGATGGAGCTATGTTCATAAGCATCTCCTGAACCTTCTAGACCGCTCTGTTGTGCGAGTATTAAGCTGGGTGTCTAATTGGCGAATAAGTTGGTATATAAGAGGTTGTTTGCATATCTCAATTGAAAACTTTGATGACATGTCGTTTAGTCTTTTGTACGATGTGCTCAATTTGAAATTCGAGTTAAACATATTAGATTGGGCGTCTTCATAATATGTTTCATGTGGATGAGTTAACATCTGATATGCGACTAGGTGTTACTTTTTGTTTTGGTGAAAGTGATTAGGTCACAATAAGGTGTGTTTGATGCAAGGTTGTCAAACCGGTTTAAATCATTAAGCCGGTCAAACAAGTGGTTTGAGATTTAATGGCTTGATCGGGATCTTACCTATTTGAACCATTTTATACATTTTCTAAATATATATACAAATAAGGTAGTAATTTAAAAATTTAATGAATGAAATGAAATTTACCTTATATGTATCTATTAATAACTCATCTCGTATCACGAAAACCTACCTAACCCCCATAACCGATCCACCATCTCTCTACCCTCTCCCCCTCTCCTTTCTCTCACTCTTCTTCTCCCTCTTTAGGGGTTAGTCCGCTGATTTTATGGATGCTATTTTGGAGCCCGATTAGTTGTACTGGATCTAACCAGTTGGCCGATAAAGGTTTAACAATCTTGGTTTGGTGACATGTAAGACCTTGTTAGCATCCTAAGTCGACTCTAGAAGGAATTCTCTAGTATGATAAGGAAGGCTACGTCCCTAAGATATCTATAAGGAATCAGACTTCGCCCCCTTTGCCTAGTAGTCTCTCACCTCTTCTTTGCGGATGACTCATACCTTTTCCTATCTGCTTCACCATAATATTGCACAACTCTCCTCTCGCTCCTCCAAGTCTACGAGGAGTTGAGCGGTCAAAGAGTCAACTTAATTAAATCAACCATCTTATTCAGTGAGAATACAGATCCAATTGAGGCACGGAGCATGGGTGCTCAATTGGGAGTGGGGAGAATAGGAGAGCAAGACTCTTATTTAGCACTACCAGCTATCCGATCAAGATCTAAGAGAGATTCATTTCTTTTTATAGAGGAGAAGCTTATCAAAAAGCTTCAAGGGTGAAAACAACTGTCTCTATCCAAAGTCGGGAAAGAATCCCTTATAAGAACTTCAACCACTAACATACTGATCCTCGGAATGGCATGCTTCAAACTGCCCAAGGAAAATTGCAGACGTCTAAACGGTCACGTGGTGAGGTTTTGGTGGGGAACAACGGACAATACGATCATTCGATTCATTGGCTATCCTGAAAAAGCTTAGATCATAGTAAATTCCATGGAGGGCTCGAGTTAAGAGACTTCAGTGCATTTAATCAAGCTCTACTAGCTAAACAATGTTGGAAAATCTGGACTAATCTAAACTTTCTCCACCCCCAGATCTATAAGGGTCGATCTTTTACTCAATGCTAAGTATTAGAAGCCCCCAATAGGCTCAAACCCATTGTGTGGATGGAGAAGTTTGCTATTCGTAAGAGATCTCCTTGTTAAGGGGTTAAAATGGCATATAGGCAACATGCAGGATAGCAGAGCATTCCTTGATAACTGGCTACCGGGTGACAAACCTTCAATCCCAAACATCCGATTCCAGAATCCGATTGGGTCTCCTATGGTTTCTTAGTTCATTATAGAAGGCCGATGGGAGTGGAACATCTCAAGGCTTCAATTCTTCTTCGAACCTCAATATGTCGATCTAATAAAGAGGATCCCTCTACCTCGCCTCCCTGAACAGGATACTAGAGTGTGACACTACTCCAAAGATGGAAAATACGCAATCAAATCAGGCTTTCACCTAACCTTAGAATCATCTTTGGCCTTATCTAGAAAACAAATAGTCCATATCGTTGTTCCTCTCATTTGGAAAAAGACTTGGAATATCCAAGTTCCTCCTAAACTTAAAATTTTCATTTGAAATTTCCTCAAGGTCATTCTACCCACAGTGGTTTCCTTACAAACACGTGGAGTTAATTGTCTCGATTGATGTCCTGTGTGTTGGAGACATCGAGAGAGCATTAAATACTTATTCTTTAGATGCCCCCTAGCCACCAGATTGTGGACCTTAGTGGGATTGAGCAACTTCATTGATTCCACCCCGACTGTTAATTTTAGTCTATGGTGGCAACATGTCATGATCTCTGAGATCTCCCCATTCCACATTCTCCAGGTACGTATGTTTACTTCGGAGAATCTGGAAGTCTAGAAATAAAGTGTTTTTTGAATTTTACCAACCTTTTGTCTGTTCTCTAGCCAGACAATTCTACAACCAGGTCCTTGAAGTCTTCAGTTTATTTCCCCCTCCACCGCCCCTAGACCGTCCCTCTTTTATCCTCCTTTCAGCCATCTGGGAGCCTCCACCAGGTGATTTTTTGAAGATAAACTTTGACGCAGCTGTTGGCGACTCAAGTTGCTCGTCTGGACTTTTTATACGTGGGTCAGACGGGCATGTGGTGTTGGCAACCGATTTGTGTCATTTTGGGTTAGTCAACTCTTACTTGGCAGAGCACCTAGCAATTAGAGATGCTATCATCGTTGTTGCTTCAAGATTTATGACTCACGTGATAGTGGAAGGTGATTCCGAGGTGGTCGTCAATCAGATCTTGAAGGTGTCATAGAAGATTCGATTGGTGGTCCGGTGTTCTGAGAGTGTCGTTAGATCTTACATTTCTTGTCAGTATGTATAGAGTTTAGGGCGGTTCCTATAGCCGCCAATAGTGCCGCCCATAGAGTGGCGTGTAAAACACTGATTTTGTCTCTCATAGAGCTAGAGTCTTTTGATTTTCTTGAATAGCTTCAATAGATTATTGATTGTACGGAGTACTTGAGTAGCTTTGTTTATCCAACTATTATTTTTTCTTAATATCACTCGGGAAAAAAAATCGACAGGGGTCGTTTGGAAGTTGCGATTGTTAAATAGATGTATTGTTGAGAATGCATGTATAATATTATACATGTATTGTCGAATTTGATGCATTGTAGCATACAACGTTTGGTATGTGTGATTGTGTATGTCGCATTAGCTAAAAGTTGAGACAAAACAATCTCAACTCAACTATCTCAACAATCACAACTAAAAGTTGAGATATAACAATCACTCAAAATGAGTGATAGTTTCTGTCACATCACAGAAACAATCCATGTATTGTTTCTGCTAAAAAAACAAAAAAGCGATGCATTGTAAACCATACATGCATAATGACAATCTCAACAAAACTATCGCAACTTCCAAACGACCCCTGTATGTGTGATTGTGTATGTCGCATAAGCTAAAAGCTGAGACAAAACAATCTCAATTCAACTATCTCAACAATCACAACTAAAAGTTGAGATATAACAATCACTCAAAATGAGTGATAGTTTCTGTCACATCACATAAACAATCCATGTATTGTTTCTGCTAAAATAACAAAAAAACGATACATTGTAAACAATACATGCATAATACAATCTCAACAAAACAATCGCAACTTCCAAACGACCCCTTAGTCAATGTACAACAAAAATAGATATATAGAGTTGGATTCCATTTCATAGTTCGGTGATCATTTTGTGAAATGTTTAGAGTGTAGTGACCTCTTGCTGTTCGCTCTATTGCTCGAAAAAGGAAAAGGAATCGGGCGCTCAGTGCAAGAATTTGAATGAGTAATCGCGAGAGTCCCATCTGAGACTCCGACGCCAGAACAAAGCCACCGCCGCGCCCAGCCGGAGAAGGAACTAGGGTTGTGGCAGATTCAACGCTCACTAATTTCTTTCGCGAATCTCTCCGGTCTACATTCATGGCGTCCGATTCTCCCCAGACTCGGATTAACCAGGTTTGTTTCCGATGTACTGAATCCTCGCAGATTGCGTAGCTTCTGTCGAACTTTAATTTTGTTATGGCGCGTTCTTCTCCCATTGACGCTTTTCTTCTATATACCCACATGCGGCCCCCGCAGGACGTAAACCTACTGATCTTTTGGGCGCAATTGCGTTTTCTGGGCATTACATTGACGAGTTACTGCAGATAATTGTTTTCCCTTCTTGTTTCTTTTGGGAAGAAGTACGGTCTATTGCTGCTTCTTTTATTCTTGTGAATTAACTTGTGATGTGAACTGGGTCAGATATGTCAGTAGGACGACCTCTTGAAATTCTTGTTTGATTCCCTCATCCTTGCCATTGGAAATTGATCAGAGGATTTTGATAGCAAGAGTGGGTTGTGGTCAAAATGTGAGATTGATTTGTGAATGAATTTAGTTCAAGACAGTGTATAACCTTTCACACTGTCCTTATGTTTGGAATGACAGTTTTATGCCTCAAAGAAGAGAAAACCCTCTTCGCCAGCATTGAAGGCAGGGCGAGCTGAGAAAGGTGCCAAACTGACTGTAGAAGGATCACCATCAAAAGGAACTTTGTGCAGTTACTTGGTGGATTCAAAGGAGCCAGACCTGGAAACTAAAGCTGTCCCCGAGGTTCAATGTTCATTGGCTGGAAAAGAAACACCCGAGTGTTCAACTAATGCTGGTAACGTTGCAATTGAAGGTACTTCGAAGGGTTGCTCGGTTTCAGGTGCTGGGGGAAACAACTCAGAACTTAAGCAGTTTGCAGCTGACTTTTTGTCTCTGTATTGTAGGTAATATACTAGATATCCACTTTACGGTTCTTAAAAGGTGTTATATACTGATATTAAGTGGTATATTTGTTGAACTCGCATGAAACTAACATAGTGAGTGGCATTTCTTGCAGCGAACTTCAGTCGACTGCAACTTCACCATCGAAAACAAATTTGAATGATAATAAGAGATGTTTAAGCCAATTGTCAGAGGCTGGTAAGGATAGAATGCCCAAGAAGAGGCTCTACATAAACGATCAGTTGCAGCCTGGACAGCTTGCTGCTTGTTCTACTTTGAAGAAAGAAGAAGAAAAACAGACTGTTTTTACTCATAAGAACAAAGCACATGTTGCTGGTACCTCAGGAGAAGTAAGTTATTGCTTTTCCGTGTGTCACTCTATTCTCAATTTTTATGTTTGGTCATTTTCTCAAGGTTCTAGCCATTATTCACATCTTTCAGGTTGCACCATGTAATGATTACATCCAGCTTCAGCCAAGCTTGGGCAAATGTGAAAATGAGTCCAAAGTGACTATAAATTTGACTGATTGCAGCACGCCAGGGTCATCCAACACACAATCACGTCTTAATGGCACCCCTAATTCGACACGTGGAAGTTCAATGTTTTCCCCGGGGGACGCATTCTGGTGTGAAGCAATCCAAATTGCTGATGGTATACATGCTGAAAAGGACAACGCTCTTACCCTAGCCCATATTAATAACGGAAATTGTGGAGACAATACAACGGAAGCTGATAGTAGAATTAGGCTGATGGGGAATAGCAGTTTCGAGGAGTCAGTTGTGAAGCACCCCATAAAAAAATCAGCTAAAGAAGTGTCTCCACTGCCGGTGAAACATCTTGACTTTATGTTGGACGACAAACCCTTGAACTTAGATATCCAATCTGTCGGGACAGATGGTTTAAATGTCTTCAGAGATGACAAAAAATCCGCATGCCTTTTGCCTGGTCTGAAACGCTGTCCAACCACTAACATTTTATCAGGTGCTGGTAAGGCTAGGACATTTCAGGAGCCTGATCGAATAAATCAGGATACAGATATATCACCAGCCAATGAACTTAAAGTTTTAGTGTTTAATAATTCGTCCAGTGCATCTGCAACTCCTTCAAGTTCAGCTCCGCACAAGGATGGACTAGAGATCATGAACTGGCTTCCTTTAGAAGTATGCTGCATCTATAGAAAGAGAGGAATCACGAAACTTTATCCTTGGCAGGTAAGGTGGATCTTTCATGATTGGTTGACCGATAATTATTGCTCTTCAGTTTTGACTTTTGTCACCTGTGTTGTTTATTCTCTACTGTATGATGTCACTGACATGGTTTGTTGATCCTATGCTGGCTTAACTGTGCTAGTTTAGATATTATGTCAGCAACGAGTGTCTTTATGAAAATATCATTGATTACAATTAGAGCCGATCATACGTGGTCTAACTTCTCATTACGGATTCTTTCGTATAGGTTGAATGTCTTCAGGTTGATGGTGTTCTACAGAGAAGGAATCTTGTATATTGTGCATCCACAAGGTACCTTCCTTTGCACATTATTTTCTCATTATTAGATGATGCGTGAGTTCTTGAGTGATTCAATGTGGCCTGATAAGTTTATCTTAGACTTTCCTCATTCCTAGGAACATATTGCTTACAATTTTGCTTCATTGTTGCAGTGCGGGGAAAAGTTTTGTTGCTGAGATATTAATGCTGCGGCGGGTTTTATCAATGGGGAAAATTGCTATACTTGTTCTCCCTTATGTGTCGATATGTGCGGAAAAGGTCTTATGTTTCTCTTTTTTCCTCTTATTTTTATGTAAGATACTTTTACTGACCCAAAATAGAAGCTGTATCGCCTCATTCGTAGACTCACACATGCTAGAGGATGTATTGAATTATTTCATGTTATCTGGTCCAGGCTGAACATCTGGAAGGCCTTCTTGAACCTCTTGGTAAGCATGTCCGGAGCTTTTATGGTAACCAGGGCGGTGCATCGCTACCTAAAGATACTTCTGTAGCTGTTTGCACAATAGAGAAGGCAAACTTTCTAATCAATAGACTGCTGGAAGAGGATCGTCTGTCAGAAATTGGAATTATTGTCATAGATGAGCTTCACATGGTATTTTCAAGTGTTTATTGCACGTATTTTTATCTTTCCTAGGAATTCGTCCCAGACTGTCTCATGATTGTTGTAACAGGTTGGAGATCAAAGCAGGGGCTATCTTCTCGAACTTATGCTGACGAAGCTTCGGTATGCTACGGGTGAGGGAAACTCAGAATCCAGCAGCGGAGAAAGCTCAGGTACAAGTAGTAAGGGTGATCCTAATAATGGTTTGCAGATTGTGGGAATGAGTGCAACAATGCCAAATGTTGGAGCTGTTGCTGATTGGCTTCAGGTAACTGGATTACTGGGCATTTTATAAAGTTAATTTTTATGTTAGCGGTCTTCTTGCTAGCTTATCTCCATGGAATGTTGGTGCCGTATTCATGAACCATTTAGCATATAAATTTCATAACATTGAGTGGTTGGAGCTATGATATGCGTCTTTTCCCTTTGGTGCTGTATGCTAGTTTTTCCATCCCATTTTATGTTGTTCTCTACGTGTTGCATATAGCTCCTTCAAAGTTTTGACAAACTTGTTTGCTGGAAGCATGATAAGGTGTCCATTGGTTTTATAGCTTCTCTTTATGTGGATAAACTTGTTCGCAGGCTGCCCTGTACCAGACAGATTTTCGGCCTGTTCCACTTGAGGAATACATCAAAGTTGGTAACACCATTTATGACAAGAAAATGAACATTATCAGAACCATCCCAAAAACAGCAGATCTTTGTGGTAAAGATCCAGATCACATAGTGGCACTCTGTGATGAGGTATGACTTTTGACTTGTCTCTCATAATAGAGCTGCATCATCAGTGACTTAATAAATTGTTTAAATGTTTCTCTCAGATTGTTCAAGAAGGCAATTCAGTGCTAATTTTTTGCTCCAGTCGCAAAGGATGTGAATCAACTGCAAAACATGTTGCAAAATTCCTTAAAGGGTTCTCCGTTAATGGTCAGAATGATAGTGAATTTGTGGATATTTCCTCAGCTATTGATATGTTGAGGAGGTGTCCTGTGGGGTTGGATCCGGTATTAGAAGAGACTCTTCCTTGTGGCGTTGCATATCATCATGCTGGTTTGACAGTATGGTTTCTTGCCAATCTTCTTCAATCCTTTTTTCTCAACTTTTTTTTGGTCTTAGTAATTGAGTTTATTGCCATCTATGTACGGAGAAAAAAAGTAGAAGCTCTTAAGGAGAAGACTGAATTTGAAAGCTGAAACAAATTAAGTCCTTTGATATATATATAGTTGCTGGTAATTTATAGATATAATGTATACTGTATGTGCCTTTTCCAAGCAGCTGCAGTTTTCATAATTTCCGACTCTTGCAGGTTGAGGAAAGAGAAATTGTTGAGACCTGTTATCGTAGGGGCCTTGTGAAAGTCTTAACTGCCACATCGACCTTGGCTGCTGGCGTCAACCTACCTGCTAGGAGGGTGATTTTTCGTCAACCAAGGGTTGGGCGTGATTTCATTGATGGGACTAGATACAGACAGATGTCTGGTCGGGCTGGTCGTACAGGAATAGATACTAAAGGGGAAAGTGTGAGTTGAATTGCTTCCTCTTCAGCAGTTCCACTTATACGTTTTATTGTTTGCTTCTTTCTATACTTTGCGCGGGTCTTTCTTTCTATTCTGATTTCGAGTTTTAGGGCAATCCATATATCTTGGAAATGGACGACAATTCTAAGTGAAATGATGTGTTGTTCATATAAACTTTGCTTTGAAGCGACTACTCTCTGGACAGATGTTAGGGACAAAAAGCTGTCTTCTTGTCATCTAAGTAGAATTATTAAAGCTAGCACAAAAAAAAAAAAATAGTTTTAGAATTATAGTCCATTAACAGAAGAGAAGTATCACATCTAAGAGACCGAGCTTTTGATATAACCAGGTACTGATTTGCAAACCAGATGAGCTCAAGAGAATCATGGAACTTTTGAATGATAGCTGCCCACCCTTGCAATCATGCCTCTCCGAAGATAAGAATGGCATGACACATGCCATTTTAGAAGTAGTGTCTGGTGGCATTGTACAGTCTGCCAATGACATCCATCGATATGTTAGATGTACTCTTCTTAATGCTACAAAACCTTTCAACGATGTGGTGAAATCAGCACAGGATTCACTCCGATGGTTATGCCACGGGAAGTTTGTTGAATGGAATGAAGATACGAAGCTATATAGCAGCACTCCCCTTGGACGTGCAGCTTTTGGCAGTTCTCTGTGCCCTGAAGAATCACTTGTAATTATCTTTATCTTTCATTTTTACCAGTTTCACCTTTTAACTCAATTTTGTGGATGCTTTCAAGTTTTTTCTCTTTCAATATTGTTTCACGACTGTTTTAGGTTTGTGGTCATTCTCCTTTTGTTTTCTCAGACAAGGTCATTCACATTATAATCCTTCCTGGTGGCATTTTTGTAGATTGTTTTAGACGATCTCTCTAGAGCAAGAGAAGCATTTGTGCTAGCATCTGATCTGCATTTAGTGTACTTAGTGACACCAATAAATGTTGATGTTGAGCCAGACTGGGAAGTGTATTATGGAAGGTTCGTGGAACTATCTGCTATTGATCAGGTATAATCCCTTATAGGTTGAAATGGGAAGCCAAGTTAATCTTTCATTATGAAGTTTTCTGGTCCCTTTTCTTTTTCTTTGTATGGTTGGTGACATATCAGTTGGTGATACCATGCTTCTGGGAATATACCAAAATGTTCCATCGTTCTTTCAAGCGTTTACTTGAGTGTTAATGTTGTCACATTACCATATAGTTCTCCCTCATTAATGATCAACCGCTTACCATATTCAACCTATGGTGGGTAAATTGACAGTTTAAAGATCCATTTGAATTTGAAGAGAGCCGTGCTTCAGGGATTATGGTACCACTTTGCTAAGCATGTTCTGCTGTTGTGTGAAATACTGCAGATTTACATCACCATTTTGAATTTTCAAGTACCAGAAATTAGAATGATGTTTCTCCCTTCCATTGCTGTTCTCTCTTTCACTCCTTTTTGTTCAACATGGTTCTTATGTATTTTTACTGTGTGCCTTCTATTGTGTTTCCTTCACACACTATATCTTCTTCTTTTTCTGACAATTTCATAAATGAAGTCTGTTGGAAACCGAGTTGGGGTCACAGAGCCATTTTTGATGCGCATGGCTCATGGGGCACCCATGCGGCATTCGAAAAGGGCAACAGTCAATTCAGCAGCAATGCGAGGGAAGCTTGAGAAACATGCTAGCCTTTTAAGCAACAATAGCCTTTCTGATGAGCAAGCCCTTAGAGTGTGCAAACGGTTCTATGTTGCTCTCATCCTGTCAAGATTAGTACAGGTACTTCATTCTCGAATATTTTTGGCAACACAATTAGTGGCTTTTAGTTATCGTGGCTATCTGAAAGTTGCTTCTGTTTACTGTTTCCCCCTTCCCTTCTCTCTGCCTTATACTTCCATAACATGTGAGTTGAGATTTGATCCTGATGTTCTGGTTCTGTGTACTGTTTGAACTCGGCATACAGGAATCACCTGTAGGTGAGGTTTGTGAAGCTTTCAAGGTAGCTCGAGGTATGGTCCAAGCCTTACAAGAGAATTCTGGAAGATTTGCATCTATGGTAACTTTATTTTGCGAAAGACTTGGATGGCATGATCTGGAGGGCCTAGTTTCCAAGTTTCAAAATCGTGTTTCTTTTGGAGTGAGAGCTGAAATTGTGGAACTTACTACTATTCCTCATGTTAAGGTAATTGTGTGTATTCCTATCACATTTCATAGTGTTCTATATGAGTATATGTGTCTTAATCTTTGGTTCATCACTGCTGTAAAAATTGCCCGTATATTGTTGATAGGGTTCCCGGGCAAGAGCACTCTATAAAGCTGGGCTACGTACACCTCTTGCTATTGCTGAGGCTTCCATTCCTGATATTCTCAAAGCTATGTTTGAGGCTTCGTCATGGTCTACCGCACAAGGTGAATCTGTTAACTATGGAAAAGCATATGCCTATTGCATCATAATGTTAGAATTTTTGGTTACTGCTTTGATTGGTAAATAACCGCATCTTAAAAAATTGTCAAGGAGTATCTTACTCTCCCTTCTGTTTTATTTGATGGCACTCCATTTGTTAGTACTTAGAACCCAAACATAGGAAACAGGAGTCTAATCAGAACATGATCTGCCAATGAATAAGAATGTCAGGATATTCTTGTGCTCTGTTATTTGAGTGAATATGTGCAGTCATATACGCCATATCTTTTCATTTCTTTCTTTCATGAGCTATAGAAAACAGCTGTTAAATGTCTCGGGATGGAATGATGGTGGTGGATGCTGTGTTCTGCTTCATTGCTGTACATAATAAACGCAGGCTTGCTATGCATTTCACCTAGCAGGCAAACTTGAATATCTAATACCTAGGTCCCAGATATTGTTGAGGATTGTTCATGTGCCATACTAGTGGGTTTCAGAATTAGACATTTTGGATTCTTCCACTATAGTTACTGTTTTTGCATGTTACTTACGCTGGGCCAAGAAAACGACAAATTTAAAACCTTCTACTTTGGCATCTCATGTACATGTATTCTTTATATGGAATATCATCTTGTAGTTATGGTCTTATTTTCCTTTTTCATAAGGATTGAACAATTTGTGAATGTGCTACAGAAAGTTCAGCACAAAGACGTATTCAGCTAGGAGTTGCCAAGAAAATAAAAAATGGTGCCAGGAAAATTGTGCTTGAAAAAGCTGAGGAGGCAAGGATTGCAGCTTTCTCAGCTTTCCAGTCATTGGGATTGAGCGTTCCTCAGCTTTCTCGACCTTTGCTATCAAATGATGCCCAAAATCCTGTGGAGCAAGGAGATATAAGGGCTGAGAAAACTGATGTTTCTTTTCATGCAGAAGAGAGCAAACCTCCTTCACCTAAGCTGGCAGGGGGCGGTTCTAAGACCTCTGTTAAAGTTGTTTCAGTAGGGGAAGATGTGACAGCAAAAACACTGGATTTCGGTCCAGTGGCCCAGGGAGGAGTAAACTTAACTAGCTCACTGCATTCTAAGGATATGGTAGATCCCATCCTACCAATCAGAAGCTCAATCCTCAAACCCACAGCTGATGGTAGTAGTGGCCATAATGGAATTGCTGATGCAATTGTTTCTGTACAATCAGGAGAAAATGGCAACCTAATGCAAGGGCATACGCACATGGTGTGCGGATTAGAAGAACAATATGATCAAAGACGTAGTGATAACAAAGAGAAAGTGGGTGCTAAGGGCCCTATTACTGCCAGTAGTATTTCTGGTGGATTTGATTCTTTCTTGAATCTCTGGGATGCAGCTCCAGAATTCTATTTTGATATCCACTACAGCAAACAGGCAAGTCTAAATTCTGATGCCACTTTTGACGTACATGGTATTGCTGTCTGCTGGGAAAACTCTCCAGTGTACTATATCAAACTTCCTAGGGATCTATTGCAGTCTGATGATAAGGGAAATGGTGGCTCAAAAGTGGGCACATTCAGTGATACGGATAATGTTCTGCCAACAGAGAACTGGTTGGAAAGAGTTCAACAACGATGGAACAAAATTCGTGAAATCATGAAGAAAAAGAATGTCAGGAAATTTACATGGAATTTAAAGGTCCAGATTCAGGTGCTCAAGAATGCTTCAGTTTCTGGTAATAGGCTTGGCCATTTCAGTACTGGTCAACAAGATTTGGGCCTTCATCTGGACAGCTCAAACATATTGCTTTCTCCTACTAATATTAAAGAGGGAGTTGACTTGTCTATTGTGGCATGGATCCTTTGGCCTGATGAAGAGAGAAACTCGAATCCAAGTTTGGAAAAGGTTATATCATATTATTTCAGTAAATTTTCACAAAAATTTCTTTGGACAGTTCTTTTTGCATGTAATATTGCTTCACCTCTTATTTACTCTACTTGTGTTAGTTATATGTATTTTGAGAAGCTTTTCAATATCATTCTAATGCAGGAAGTAAAGAAACGATTGTCTGGTGAGGCCATTGCTGCTGCTAGTTGGATTGGCAGGTGGAAGAATCAAATGCGAAAAGTTGCACACAATGGCTGCTGCCGCCGTGTGGCACAAATGCGTGCCTTATGTGCTGTTCTTTGGAAACTGCTCATAGCTGAAGGACTTGTTCGACCACTGGATGATATCGAGATCCCATTGGTAAATCTGTTGCTTGCTGATGAGTGATTGTTACTGGAACTGATCCTTTGTTAGCAGATTTCTTTTCCGTATTTATTTATTCACACATTTATTTCATTTTTTCCCTGTTGAGGCAGGTGAACGTCTTAGCAGAAATGGAGACGTGGGGAATAGGTGTTGACATAGAGGGTTGCCTTCAAGCTCGTACTCTGCTTGGGAAAAAGATAAGGCTTCTTGAGAAGGAGGCTTATCAACTTGCTGGAGTTCATTTTTCACTAAGCACTCCAGCAGAAATCGCACATGTTCTGTATTCACGTCTGAAACTGCCATTACCTGAAAGACTCAAGAAGGGGAAGCAGCATATAAGCACTGACAAGCACTGCTTAGATTGGTTAAGGTACTGAAGTTGATAATTTCCAGTTCATTTTCAGCGTACCTGTGCAAGTTTTCTTGGCAAATTCGTGGTCAGCATCTTGTGTGCCACTTTAGTTTCCTCAAATTATGAAACATTAAGACAATATAACTGTTAAAAATTTGAGTATGGTACCCTGAAGTACAATTTGGAATGACTTTGAATGTTTTACATGTTAGGTGTTAGTACCTTTTTTTCTTGGCTTATGTCTAGCTGTATGAATTGAACACTTAAGCTCTAGTTGGTTTATGTAGAGGAAATGGGAAATGAGATATAGCTTTCAGTAAACGGTGCGACCATAACTCTTTCAGAAGCTAATATCACATTGTTTGGTATGCATGGTGACCTTCAACCTCTTCTGCCTCCTCCCTCCACAGAATGTCCATGTTGTACCAAGGGTACCATCAGCCAAGCACACATTATTTCTTACAGAGTCCTACCTGTGCTACTTTTTACGTGTATCTCTTAGATGACTTCTGTTCAGCTTATTGTGTTATCTTCAGTCAACTTCTGTGTTTCCTGTGCCTCTCTACTCAATATAGGCAGAAAGCTCCATAAGTACCTGCTTCCTTAATGCTAAGAGATTTACTTTGCTTGCTCTCTACATTTTCAACTTAAAGTTATGCAACTCATGAATAAGTATTTGGTTCCTTGCAGACATGAACATCCCATAATACCAGTCATAAAAGAGCACCGGACCTTGACGAAATTGCTGAACTCTACACTGGGTTCAATATGCTCACAGGGTAAGCTCTCTCTGAAGTCACAGAAATACACCATTCATGGCCACTGGCTTCAAACTTCTACAGCCACGGGAAGGCTTTCAATGGAAGAGCCCAATCTTCAGGTGAGGGACAGATCAATTTGTATCCTATGACTCTATGACCTAAGCATGTTAGTACCATATCTTGTTACAAGGATAATTTTGATAGTTGTGAATCATTTATTTGATTTCTGCAGTGTGTTGAGCATATGGTCGACTTCAATATGAGGACTGATGAGAGTGGGCATGACATTGATATTAAGCATCACAAAATAAATGCTCGCAATTTCTTTATTCCTACTCAGGTAATTATTCGGAGTGTAGCTGCAGCTGTTTCGATTACCACAAATGCATGCTTGATAAGGAAAGTGCAAATCAGAAGGACCCTTTATTGCAAATTGGCCTTTGATTGGCAAATCTTACATGGAGTACACTTGGTATCATTGAGAATGAATTTGTCTGAAGTTATGCTAACAATGACTGCAGGAGAATTGGTTACTTCTAACAGCAGATTACTCTCAAATAGAGCTCCGGCTGATGGCACACTTTTCAACTGACACTTCATTGATTGAACTCCTTAGCAAACCTCATGGTGATGTTTTCACAATGATAGCTGCCAAGTGGACTGGGAAGTCAGAAGACTCTGTTGGCTCAGATGAGCGAGATCAGACAAAAAGGTTGGTCTATGGAATTCTTTATGGTATGGGTGCTAACAGTCTTGCCGAGCAACTGGATTGCAGCCAAGATGAAGCTGCTGAAAAGATTAGAAGCTTCAAACACACCTTTCCAGGGGTTGCATCTTGGCTCAAGGAAGCAGTTTCCGCTTGCCGCCAGAAGGGGTACATTCCTTGTTGTCTGCAGTTCTACCTGAGCTCTTTTCTTGATGTCTGGTGATGTTTGTTTGTAATAGCTTTTCTTTTGAGTTTTAGCAAAAGTGAAAAAAGAGTGTTAGGTAAGGGTTTACAAAAAATCGAGTTGACCGGGATGAGGGGTTCTTGTCCAAAAGAAGATAGCGTATAAATAGAATGTTCATGTATGTTTGGTATGGAATACATTCCTTTCTTCATCGTGTTTCTTGTTAAGGCACATGAATAGTAGGTTTCTGTTGCAGATATGTGGAAACTCTTAAGGGAAGAAAGCGCTTCTTGTCCAAAATTAAGTTTGGCAACAGTGAAGAAAAAGCTAAGGCTCAGAGACAAGCAGTTAATTCTATTTGTCAGGTATGACAGGATTCTTCTAGTTGCTAAGAATATTGGCTAATCACAAGTGTTCTAAACCACTGAATTCCAACAGGGGTCAGCGGCTGACATTATCAAAATAGCAATGATTACTCTATACTCGGTAATTGCTGAAGGAACTGATGGAGGAGATTCGGGTTCTCCCCTTGTTAGTGAGTTCCATATGCTGAAGGGACGATGCCGAATTCTTTTGCAGGTAACATTTTACGACCTCTATAACTTTGTTCGAAGTTTTGTGAAGTTGCAAGTGTTTGATTGAGTTACAGCGCCCAATTTAGCATCCTTTGCGGAAAAAGAAATTAGAGAAGTGAGAACTGTGGATTTTACACATTCAGGTACATGACGAATTAGTGCTGGAAGCTGATCCCTCTGTGATCAAAGAAGCGGCATCGTTGCTCCAAATTAGCATGGAAAGAGCAGTTTTGCTTCGTGGTTTGTATTTCTCTATCTTCCTATTTTTGCCATGTATTAACTTTTTCCTTAACCCCTGAAACGTCATTCTGACAATCTAAATTTTTACCCTCCAGTTCCGCTGCAGGTCAAACTGAAAGTTGGACCAACATGGGGTTCGTTGGAGCCGTTTCAGACTGAGAATTATGCACTTATTGTTGAAGATCCCGGTTCTTGATAAACAATTGCTTTTTCTTTGCTTGCAATGAAAACAATACTGATGATAATCAAGACTGAATCGAAGTCAACTGCAGCAGTGTGTAGTTTTATATACATGTAGGTGATTGATCCCCTTCTGATTGCTTACAAATTGTATATCGCAACCTTTCTCTTGGAACTTTATGATATTGATCTTCTGATGATGATAACTGGTCTGTCGTGTACTGATTTCAGCAGAGATCAAACTCTAATGACGTACTTATTATGGTCTGATTATATCAAATTCCCCTTGCAGATCGTTCACTGTGGAATTAATAACTGCATTGGCTGTTGAGTGTAGGAGAAGCTTTCACAAAAATTCAGGTTAACATTAGTTGATTGATTGATAACCTTGTCAGGTATGCTCTCTTGCATCCTTTTGTGTCTTGTTATCCTTTTTTTTTTTTTGGGATATACAAATTCTTGCTACAGTTGTGACTTTCCCTATTCCTGCTGTTTGATCCTTGCGTACACAAATGGGTTAGCGCAACTCTGAAACCAGAATTTATTCTTATAATTAAACCCATTAACGTCTTTGATCTAAACTCCCTCATTACTCTTGGATATCCTACTGGTACTTTAGTTTTACTGTAACTCCCCATGCAAATTAGACAAATAAGGCTGGTTGTTTTATTACTAAACGTATAGACTATAGTATATTCGTCCACTGTGAAAGCAAAGCATTTTAAGTGTACATAACGTGACTGTAGTAAATTTGACGAGTACATTATTAATAAGAAAACCTTACAACACTCCAACTGTAGCTATCCTGAGCTGACCGATACAACTGGGCCGTGTTTGGAATTTGTTTTTACTGCAGGATAAACCTTACTTTTTGGGAACCCAAACAACATGATCCTGAGGAAGGAAGTGACATACTGGAACGCTCCCTGGTTTAACTTTCAGCAGCTGGAAAGCCAAATGCTTGGGGTTCCACCCTGAAGTATCCGTATGACACACTGCGACTGCGTTCACCTTCTTCCCGTCGGCGCCCTCCATAGGAACGACGTACGCCCTCGAGGTCTGGGTGGTGTGGCAGTAGAACACAGCGTAAGCATACTTCTGGTTGTGGCAAACCACAGACCTGTAACCTGGCAGCTTCTTCACTCCATCTTTGATCTCATACTCCTGCTTCTTCTGAACTTCACTGTCCTCCACTTCTGTAGAGATGGCCTCCACGTTCCTGCCGAGCTTCGAGGTGCTGAAATCGACCATGGACTCGAGCGACGTGGCACAGTACTTCTCCTCTCCTTTGATCGCGGGGCTCTCGCATTCCTCGATCGTGTTCTTCATCGTCTTGCCTTCCTGAGACTCCGGTTCGACCGAGAATTGGTTCAGGATCTCGGGCAGCTTTCCGGATGAAAATGGGAACGAGCCGGCCACTTGTCGAGGTAAAAAGGTGGACACGTGGCGGGTTTCGGTGAAGTCCAAGTTCATTACTTTGCCAGGATGGATGTCCTTTTCCAGGAAGAAGATTGCTGTGTTGGAGTTGCCGTGTAGTTGATCAGCGGTGGCGGCGTAACTGTACACGAAGGGGTTTTTCCCCGGTTTTACTCCGACGTAAACGGGCCTTTTCCCTTTCTTCCCTGTGTGTACTGACACTCCGCCTTTGCCTACGCCGACGTTTGTTCTGCCGCCGGGCTTCCCGGTGCTGACGCCAACACCGCCTTTGCCTACGCCGACGTTAGTTCTGCCACCAGGCTTCCCGGCGTTGACAGCAACTCCGCCTTTGCCGACGCCGACGTTCGTTCGACTCCCGGGCTTCCCGGTGTTGACACCAACTCCTCCGCCTTTGCCTCCGACGGTGACATGAGTTCCCTTGCCGGTGTTCACGTTCACGCCGCTGCCCTTTCCAACGTTTACCGTTGTGCCGCCTGGCGGCTTCCCTTTGGCTGTGTCGACGTTGACTCCGCCGGCACCGACGCTCACAGCTGTGCTCTTGTCTTCCAGGAAGTCTGCAAAACATGCAATGGTTTAAAAGAGGGGTTGAAAATGGATGATTCATATTGTCATCTGGCAGGCATCTGGTACGTTTCTGGTCTCATCTGTTTCAACTTTCAAGACTGCATGAATATACTTGTCTACCCTCTAGTTCGCATCATCTTTTTTTAATATTTTTTTTTTATAGACATATCTTTTGAATATTAAGGAGTCGTTTGGATACGAGAATTCATGAATGATGAATCATCTACATATTTTATGGATAGATTATGGTAAGACTGTATTGTGAAATTCCATCTTGGGAAAACAGAGATTTGACAATTATATGTAATATTGTCCAAGTTTTTTGCTTGCCAAATGAACGACTTCTCACATAACATTAAGAAAAAGAACTCGTTACCTACTCCATCATCCAGTTCTAAGTTCTAACATATAAACGACCCCTAAGTTTACAGTGCTTGTTTGGGTGTTTGTTTAATGGGGGGGGGGGGGGGGGGGGGGGGGGGGGGGGATCCAAATAGCTTACTGGGCTCATTTTGTAGGCTTGGGAAATGGAGATTGGATGATAAAGTTGGGAGCTTTTTGATTTCTAGGTATTAAACATTGATTACCTGGCTCCAGAAGATCACTAACAGCTTTTGGCATGGGTGTGTTTGGCAGGACAGATTTCCAGTAGAGTTCCGGCGGTAATGCAGCATGGCTAGCCACAAGTGCAACCTGCAACACAAGAAAGGTAAATCTGAGATCTCCCACCAGGCAAAATGCAACTACTACTACAAAGAAGCAATGAAGTAGCAATCAAAGCATACTGTGAGAAAGCCAAGAATGTAGAGGGGATTGGACTTCATATTGTTTCCTCTTTTGATCCACTACAAACAGAGCTGAGATGGGTGTTCTTTGACTGATATGGCAAAGGGTTATATGGAGTTGGGAGAGTGGGTGGGAGCATTTATAGATGGCTTCTCAAGATAGTACTGGGAATCACTCTTAACAGCATTGTTACACACACCTACATTAGCAGCCACCGCTTTGAATTTCTCACTGCCAAACTGCCCCAGTCGCTCTCTCCCATTAATGAAGCTGGACACACGTTGGAAGAAGAGTGGTACTGTGATCAGTGGTGGCAGCATGGGACTTGAGAAAGTCCAAGTGAAGAAGTAAAGACTTAATTCTGCAACGACGATCGTCTCAAAGAATTAAGGCGTCAGAGGAATGATGGGACATTTGGATTTGGTTTTGTACCTTGGCTCGGGAGTTGGGGGTTGAGGAAGATGATTCTATATTTGCAGAGCAGATAACATACACTGATTCTACATTTGGGTTGCAGCCATTACGTAAGATGCTCGAACTTGATTGGGATGTTCAACTCAACCCGATTATCATCTTGTCCATTAGAGCCGTGAATCACTTTTTGTTGTTGTCATTCCGTCGATTATTAACAGATCCTTATCTACCTTCTTGGCTCGTATATGACATTTTTCGGGAATTTCCTAGCTATATTCGATTAATGTACCAGGTTATGATACCATATCGAGCTCGATCTCTTGGAAGAAAAGGAACGGCATTTCATCATCTGATGTGGGGATCTGTACTGATATGATGAGTTATTAGAGGGGAGACTTTTATGATGTTACACTTGAAACAGTCGTGTTTAATTTTGCATGGACTTTGTTGCTACAAGTGAACAAACAACTACCATATTAATGGAGGTGGTCAGTGGCAGTTGAGGTAAAAGGGGACCGGCCATGGTGTTGGAATGAATGCTTCAGTTGGGAGTTATGGGGGTGACATTTGGAGCTTACTGAACTGTTTCTAGATGTACTGTTACAATTGCAGGTTTGAATTGAAGCTGTCGGTTTTAGGGTTCTAGAGATTGGGGGAAAGAGTTTGGCAGTCCCAAGATGATGTGTCAAGCTGCCTTCCATGACTAAGGAAGTAACACTTCGTATGAGCAAGCCCCAGCGGCTATTGGACTGATTCATTCGGATATTTGGTTGGGTCTGTTTTTGGATCCAAAAGCAAATGGACCCAAATGTGTCATTTGGGCTTTGGAATTAGATTGGGTTTTAGGATAGGCGTGGTAGTAGTAGGATTGGGCATTGGAATTAGATTTGGTGCTTTTATTTTTGCTTGCTCCAATGGTAATTAGTGTAGATTGATTAACTGTTCTTTACAGATGCACAAAGTACTTCATTGATCTCACTAACGAAAAAGGTTTTCAACTCATTGCTAAGCTGTGCCATTATTCTCTGTAAAATGTTCTTCCTACCAACAAATACAATGAAAGCTGTGTTATTATAGTGTATATTTTTATTGTTGAGTACGTCTAGTCTAGTGATGGCAATGGGTCGGGGCGGGACGGGTACCTCAATATCCATGCCCTGCTCTACGCTACTAAGGGTTGGGGCGGGTAATACCCGCGTGGGTACGGGACAGGGCGGGTCGACCCACTCTTACTTGCTTTTTGAAAAAATACACGAATTTTTTTACCTTTTAGGATAAAACGAAGGGGAAAATGCTTCATGAATGAATAATAGTGATAATATAATGGGCAATTGAGTCTACTTGGTTGAAAAATTAAGTCTAACTAGTTGAAGAAAAGCCAAAATATGAGATATATGAATGAATGACATAAGAAATTGACCTAAAACGGGTTAAGAACGGGGCAGGACGGGGCGGGTCGGAAGTTGATACCCATGTCCCGCCTCACGCTAATGCGGGTCGGGTAATACCCACCCATCCCGGATCCGGTGAGATAATACCCGACGAGACGGGTTCAAATTGTCATACGTCCTATGGCAAAATGGCAAATCAATCATGATTTTAAACCCAAACCACTTATGTCCATTGTGAAGAAAATGTATTCAACTGTAGTTTCACAAAATAATACGCAAAAATAAAGACATACAGGGCTGCATATTACACAGACCATCAGACCCTAAAAATTAGTTGACTTGAAAAAATCTCCCACAATTCATTTGTGGCAAGACAATCCCCTCTTACTCCGGCCAGCCTACAAATTAGCTTTCTATCACATAGCTGCACAGTCTGTAGCCAAATTAACACGCCAGTCTTTCTTACAAAAAAAGGAAACAATTAACCGTAAAAAATCTTCCTTGTAATAGTGATTTTCCTGATCAAATCACTTTACAGTAATTGAGGAAATTCAAGACCAACCCCATTTCCAATGTTTCCATTTCTGTGTTTATATATATGAATCTTACAGTCCAAGCAAAGATCAAGAAGAAGAAGAAGAAAGCTCCAGAAAGAGCTCTGCAATTCAAAACACAACAAACCCACCAAAAAAAAAAAAGTTGCCGTTTCTTTTGAACTTTTCATCAGAAATGGGACACAAGAGAGTGAAGATGGAGCTGATAAAGAACGAGCGAAACCGAATCCAGACTTTCAAGAAGCGGAAGGCCAACCTGATGAAGAAGATGTCCGAGTTCTCCATCCTCTGCGGGGTGGAAGCGTGCCTGATCACGTTCGGTCCGACGAGGACGACCGAGGCGGCGAAAGAGGAGGAGGACAACGAGCTGGAGACGTGGCCCTCGGATCCTCGAGCTGTCAGGGCAATGATCCAGAGGTACAGGACCTCGGATGGCCCCAAGAGGACCTACCAACTCTCCGATTACTTCGCGGAGAAGAAGAAACGAGTCGACCTCGAGCTCGCCAAGATCAACAGGCAGATCTACCGGCGCAGGTTCGCTGCCGGATGGGACTCCAGGCTCGACGGATTCTCCGCGGATCAGCTCACCGTCCTGCTGGGTCAGTTGGATGCCAAGCTCAAACTGGCCGATAGAAAACTCGCGAGCTTCAGCTCAGTTGAAGCTGCTCGTCGTTGTAATCGGCTGGAGTTCGATTTCAGTCCCATGGTGGTTCAGTTGCCTCCTGTTATTCCTGCTGCTGTGGTTGGGAATTCGGACATTATGGGCTTCGGTTGGAATATCGAGAAATCGGGATTCTGTGACGATTACTTGGAAGTCAGGCAACAGCAGCAGGATAATAGTTCCCAGTCGACCCATCAGCAGCATCAGCAGGAGCAGGAGCAGAGTTCGTTTATGGCTTTGTTGAATGCGAATTCCTCCGAAGCAGGGAATGAGATTCAGTATCCTAACCTACATTCCCACATTGGGTTACAGCAGCTTTTGCCGGATGTGAACAGCTCTGGTGGTTGTTACTCTGCAGCAGCAGCAGCAGCAGCAGCAGAAGAAGAATCGAGCCCGAACGAGTTGAGCAATACCGGGTACTCGATCGATTTCGAGCTTTTCAATCATCAAGTGACGAAGCCGGTGCCTGATAGCCAAATGATGATGATGACGACGACGAGGTTTGGAGGTTACGGTCAGGATTCGGAGACATATGGTTCGTTTGGTTGTGCTGCTGCTGCTGCTACTTATCCGAATCCATGGGGGTTGGATTCTTATGGTGAGTTTGGGATGATAAATTATTCTCACGATTGGTCGACGATGAGTTACATGAACCCTCCATTGAGCAGCTTTCAGCAAATTCTGCAGCAGCCGCATCAGTTGCAGTTTCCGACGACGACGGCTGCAGGATTTTCTCATGCGCCCATGACTGGAAGCTCTGGTTTTAACCAGAAGTGAACTGCAATGGTCTCTTGATTTCTACTTTCCTTGTAGGTTTCATTTTCGTGGCCATAGGCTCTTGTGTTTTCTCTGGAGTCAGTAGTTGTCAGTTACTAGCTTCTTCACTCTTGTATTGAACCTCGATCTAAGAGTATCCAGTAGATGATGATGAAATAACAAAGCTAATTCAATTTCTTATTGATTAGGGTTCGTTGTTTCTCTTCTTCGTAAGTGTGTTGATAGGTTTTACAATAGTATTGGTGTTTCTCTTCTTCGTTAGTCCATTACTTTTACTTCTACTTATAGTTTTTTATTTTATATATATATATAGGCTTTTTCCATTTTGTTGTAATTCAGGAGCGGCTGTACTGGACGATCGACTCAAGAAAGATCGACTCGTTTATTAATGACTCAAGCTTGAGCTAATCTATGTTTACCTTGTAAGGTTAGCAAGCCAGCTCGACTCGGTCTTGTTGAACTCATCTTGAACTATTACCGACTTAGGAGAATATCGATCTATATCTTATGATTTATATATCATAGATTCTTAGATACTAATTACTACGAAATTACATGATATGAACTAGTTAAAATTTATTAACTAAATATATATTACCATTAAAGTATATAAAAACATGATCAATTAATCACAGGTATTGTCGAACTCGAATCTTAATGATGATGCACGATTTTAATAATTGAGTCAGCTTAAACTCAACTCATTGATAAACAAACCTAGACTAAACAAGACAAAACTCAACTAGATTCGACTCAAAGGCTCAGCACCTTCTATCACAAATGAAAAGGGTCAGCACCAAGTTCTGACTTGGCAACCATATTTCTTTCAAAACCCACTTTGGTATTTAATCACACGTGTTTACTCCATAAGAGGAATATCATATATATTAATATTAACTAGGAAACAAAACAAAAAAAGCACTATTACCTAATCCTTTTTCATTTACCAGACAATTCAACCCAATCTAAAATCCTAAGCGCGACCAACATCTGCAACAGGAAGCATGAAGCTGTTCCTGAGACCTCAACAGAGGCACCATGTTCAGGAGAGAAAATTCTTCCATTGTTCCTGTAGTAGTTCACTTTTCTGACTTCAACCTTTTGTAAGAAAACCGCCTTTTACTACTCCCTTCTAAGCTTTCCAAACATGTCCCTAGCTGGAGTTATGTGTGTCTTAAGGCAAAAGGGGCTGATCTATCATAAAAAAGGGCACTCTCTAGTCATCTCCATCTTCACCACATGAAACCATGTGGGGAAGAGATATGGGTTTCAGAGCTCCGAGAATTCGGATTCATGGCGTTCAGAGGACAGCATCCTCGAATCGACAACTGCCAGGTGAGTGAGTTTGCTGTGTAGCTAATGGTGTCGAGACTCTTAATATTATACAGATTGCTGATTGTTAATTAATTATCATAATGATTCAATCATATGACCATTAAAAAACTATTTCAAACAATGACGCTTTGAACTCGTTGGGAAGAGTAAGCAGAAGAAAACACCCATACTTAAAACAGAAGAAGAAGAAGAAAAAAAAGCCAGGGGAAGAGTACTACTAACCTTTGACATTTCCCCCCGTTTCCTCATTTGTATGGAATCATTTCAGAAACAAGGTCGCCGTTGCCACTGCTGTTTCGCCGGAGGTCAAGCGGGCAGATCATCAGGAACATCGCCACAGTTTCAAGCAGCCTTCTGCCTGCTTTTGGAACGGTGATCGATGAAGGATACTTGCAGCTCAAGAAATATGTCGTCGCACCTTACGACCATAGATACAGGTAACTGTTGTTTAGAAGGGATAACTGCGCTCTTGTTTTGCTTCGATTCAACATGAGAAGAGTCCTTAGTTTCTTACTGTTGGGATATGGATTAATATGCCTACAAGACTATAAATGGGTCCAAGCCCAACGCAAGGAGTCACGGGCCCAGGCCCACCTATGGAGTCTCAAGCCCTATATAAGGAGGCCAAAGCCTCCAAGTCATGGATCCTCTTCTTCCCTTCCTCACTTCTACCCTAAGGTCTCTCTCTAAACTCTCTCTCTCTACATACAATAAACCGCATTCTATATCGTACTAACTTGGGCGTCGGAGCGTAGATCCCGGGGGCCGCCCCCCGCGCCACAGATTCTTCCACTCCCGAGGAGATCGGACGAGGGAGTCCAGATCGGAGCCCCACAACCGCCTAGTACATTCTAGGCGCCAAACAATTTGGCGCCCACCGTGGGGCAATGATTTGGAATTCTGATGTTCGATTTCTGAGAGAGGAAGAAATCAGCTCTTTCTCAACCAAATACAAGCAACAAGACCGACAAAATCCGACCAAAGCCGCTGGAGCAAAAGAGCGGATGCTTCCCCCACCAACCACGCAAGAATCGGCGGCAACAACAGCAAAAGAGCAACCGCGGAGAAGCGGAGGAAAATCAAAGAATAAAAAGGAAGGCTAGTAGTCACCAGTAGAACGCTCAGTCATCACCGGGCTGCTCGCCCCCCCAAGCGCCGACATTACTATTGGCCACTTCCGATCTGGGAAGAAAGAAGAGAGGTATGGAAAAAGGAAGAAAATGAAGCAAGCTGGAGTTTTCGACAGAAAAGGAAGAAGAAAATTTTAGATATGCAAAAAGAAGGAAAGGAATAAAAGAAAGACAATGAGGGTCATCAGCATCAATCCTACCTGCCAAGTCTCCTGTCTTTGATCCACCCACACCACCGGCGATCTTCCCAATCTCTAGCCTTCGTCGGCAAATCATGCTGCCGGCATCAGTCGTCGCACAACCAATCGACTTCTTTGGTGCCGGTGCCTTGCTCTTTCAACCATCAACCACCATCATCGTCGCGTCGACCTCGTCCTACTCCAACTCACGCCTCCCCAAATGCAAAAGTTGCAAGGAACAAGGATACAATCTCCCACTTTTTCGGTCACCGGACGCATATTCGGCGCCGGACCTCCGACGGGAAAAAGGAGACGTCCCGTCAAAGTCAACATCATCCTGACTCTCCTCCATACTGCTCACCTACAGGGGCAGACCACCAGACTGTCCAAATACGAAAGAAGAGACAAAGGTCTCAGTCTGTCAGTCACATTTTCTCTCCTTCCAAGAAGCGAAGTTCCCGAGGTTGCGGACGGGGTTTTCGAGGCAAACTTAAGCGCCTCGGAAGCGGGAAGCGCTCAACAAGAGCATCCATGAAGCACCTGAAGTTGAAGAAGAGCCTCGTCATTGGACACACCCAAGCCAAGAAGAACGCCCAACGCAGCTCTAGGATCGGAATGACGAGTGATGACCAATTGGAAAAAGCGAACCGCCCTTGTGAGAAAGAACGCAGGGAGCTTCCTGCTTCGGCCCGGTCGCCACAATTAGGGAAGAAAGATGAATCAGCGAAAGAGTGGAGCGCTCAAGCCGCCAACCAATTGGGCCTTCGGTCCAGTCCACTTCTGAGACCCACAACGCGGGCCCGCCTCGAAAACAAGGCCAGCACCCTCACATCACAAGCTCAACACGCCTTCAAACAAGACCGCATCACGGTCAGATACAAGACCGTCGACCTTCAAGACAGCAAAGGCGGTCAAACACAACACAGCGCGGCCCAAGTTTCAGCGGGCCCATCTCCATGATTTTCTCGTCACCAGCCCACTTGGTCACGCGCGACCCTCCTCCCGCCACATCGTCAGGATCGCAAAGAGTCTCGGCCGCTTCGCGTTTGGTCTTCTCAAGGCAGTCCCGCCTCGCGTAGAATGGGCCACCTCCAATCCGTCAACATGGGTCGCCTTCATTCCAGCCTGCTTCAACCTTGCAAGGCCCGTTCCGCCTTCAAACTCCTCGTTGTGCGTCCAGCCCGCCAAGAATAGTAAGCTTCCGGCCCAATTCTACTCGAACTGGCCCACCTTCTTCAGCGGCCCACGGCGGCCACGCCCTTAGAACAGGATCCAACCGCTCACCTCGCATTTGCAACCCGGACCCGCCTTCAACTTCACCACGTAGGCCCGCTTCACAACAATATTGAAGACCGCCTAAGCCCAAGTCAAGGCCCGCTTCGTCTCGTTCATGGCCCCACTTTAGTACCCGACTTCAACGGATCGCCCTCGCGGTCAAGCCCGCCCGACCTGCCAACCGCACAACCTCGACGCTGCCCGCCAAGGAATCAGCCCGCTCAACCGCATCAGGCCCAACGCACTCCCCTAGCCTGTCTTTAATCACAGAGGCCCGCTTCACTTTCAAGGCCCACCGTATCAACGCCTTCAGCCCATCTCCTCTTGCGGTTCACCTCCAGCTGTCCCAACTCTCTCGACGCTGCCCGCCAAGGAATCAGCCCGCTCAACCGCATCAGGCCCAACGCACTCCACTAGCCCATCAGACGCTTCCGAAGCCCACCTTCACTAGGGATTAGATGTCCATAAGCTTGATGAGTTCTTGATCCTTCTTTTATTTTCGGCCATTGATCTAATTGCAGTTCTAGGACCTGTTTCAATTCGTCCAATAAAATAGAAAAGTTTCCAAACATACACCAGCTCTTATACCAGCTATTCTTGAGCCAATTGCACTTCTAAGGCAAGCTCTTATAGAAAATCAGCAGCAGACAGCGTTTAGACCTAAGGATTACTCAGCTTAAGGCGAACTGTGGGAATTGATACATCAACAATCCTCCTTGACCGCCTTTCTCTCTACCATTCCTTATTGAGGGGGAACTGCTCCTGATCTAAGGTCGGATTAGTATTTCATGACTATACCGACAATTTTCGAATGACTAAATGGAATGGACTTTATTTCGTCTGCTCCGGTCTCTCTGTCACAGATGGTTAGGCTGAAATTCCTTCGCTTGTTCAGAAGCATGGGCGGTGGTCGGATGAAAAGAATGTCCCTCCCCAGGTCCCTGGTAAGGGGTACAAATTGCAAGCAGCCTACTTACCCTCGGGGAACTGCTGTGAAGAAGTACGCGCTTAGAGAATGACAGAAAGCGGGAATCACTGGTCAGGTGGTGGCTACGAACCACGGTGTCGGGGGTTCGAATCC